AAGGCCAGAAGGTTCTGAAAAGTCCCTTATAGTACTTCTTAAATCATGGTTTGATCTGTCATGAATTTTCTAACACCAACCCACCCCCCTCCAAATTTAACTGAATTTTTAAGGGATTTACATTTTTCAAGAATCCAGCTCACATCTAGCAAAGAGAATGGCTAGGCCATCTACGTTTACCGTTGAGTATAACCTTAGCTTGTATTATCGTCACTATTGAAAGGAGATTAGATATCAGTAAGAAAATACAACATATCTTTTAACCATGTCAATGCACGTGAAATGCGGGGTACCTTGATTCTAGTGATATCATATAGACTATAATTATTATATAAAAATACAAAATACATTCAGAGAGGTATAGTGATTGCGTTGTTTGCTTTAAACGGTGGTGATAAAAGTAGTAAGTGCAAGTGGATGTGCTCTGTGTCACCATTCATCAAAGGCGTAGAAGACCAAAAGGCTGGGAGGACTGCAGCGCCCTTAGCCAGGCAAATTTTATCATTATTTTTCAAGCTCCATTCGGCCAGTTCTACAGTAAGTCCCCATTTACAAGAAACTGAAATGTTCATATTATCAAGCTGTAAAGTTTCTTAAATGTTGGTCTGTTAAATGAGTCTTTTGCTTAAAAGTCGACATAAAAACAACATAACTTTCCTAACAAATCGAACAAAGAACTAAGAAATCTTATAATTTTTTATCATCACAAAAGTCGCTCTTTTGCTTTTTGGTCTCCAGTCAAAGGAAGCAATACTGTATAGCTATTGTCTTGTGGGGCTTTCTTGAAATAACTTATCATTTTGCAGTTATGCTTATGAAACATCTTGAGATATATTTTTTGGAGATTGGGAAATTACAGTACCCGTACAAATGGTTGTAGTCGCTCTCCCTTTCATGAAAGCATTACCACACTCTAAAAGTACAGAGCTGCATACTGATGTCGAGCAATTGATTCCTATCTCCCCAAAGCCAAGCAAATACAAAACTGCCACCATTTCCTCTTTTCCTAGACCCTATATTAACTTGCGATTGTATACATAGGGTGTAGGTTTGTATGCAATTGCTACAGGTAATCCAATTCCATTCAAACTAAACTAACAGGCCAAAGGATACTGATTTTTTTAGGACATACATAAGTGAAAGCTCTTCAGAGCACAAAACCAAAATATCGTGGCAGCTAGAGCTAGAAACAGAGGGTTCTGGCAGTAAACAGAAACATGTCGGTGTCGTTTGCATCAGTGCATAATTGAAAATGGAGTTAACAAAGATTAAAATCTAGTCACTATTTATTTTCTGCACTTCTCAATGATCTCTTGTTACACAGAATCGAGATTCTCTTTATTTACCTTTTGAGTAATTTCAGAAAGTGGTGATTAATTCATTCGATAATCGTTGTCAATTTTTTGTTTTTGCTGGCTCAATCGCCAGATAACCCTTTTTTAAAAAATCCTTGTTAATTCCTTTGAATATGCCGATACACCTGCAAAAAATCTAGAATTCAGAGAAATATTTGAGTCAAGAACTGCAATGTTGTTGACTATGTAGTAAGCAGTCAATAGCTTGCTAGACTAGTTTATACAATTTAATTCGCAAGTGCAAAATTTCCAGCAAGAAATATTTCTCGTTAGGATTAAGCAATAAAACATTGAAAAAGGCAAGAAGCAAGTTCCCAAGCTATAAAAAGCGAGCTGCTGCGCATGCGTAGTATTTTAGGGTCATTACAATCATCCGCAGAATGACTTTGTGTCAACATGCAAATCGCAATGAGCTTCAAATTGCGAAAAAAATCGTCAAGTACGATGCATTTTAGACTGGGAAAGCTCATTCCCCGAAGCTTTACATATAGAAAAGAGGTCCCTAGAACGCTATCAGTGGCCCAAGGGCAAGGGACGGAGAACTACTGAGCAATTTGAGTAGTCTTAAGAAAAGTGCCATATAAGAGGTTCATACTGAATCAAAGCATTCGCAAACATAAATCTAAAATTTATCAAATAACAATGAAAATTAACTGATTGAACACCACTTGTCTCTAAGTAAACTGTCTCAGATATTCGAGCCAACATCCTGCTAATGTTTTGTCAGACTTCATCTTAAGAATAAATAGGACTTAAAGATCTGTATTTAATTACTAACTTGTTAATTAAAGACTTTGTGTGAGCAAGCTAAGCATCAATTAATACTAAAGCAACAATGATAAGCTTTAATCATTAAGCAAAATGATCACTGAAATATGAGACAGATCGTTCAACTGAATAAATCCCTTCTTTAAAAAGAAATTTGCTTCAGATATCATTCAGACAAGCTTATCATTTAAAAGGATAGGCAAAAGGGAGACTGATATCTTATGACTAAGTCTGTACTGAGGCCTTTCATTGTCAAGTGACGTTGGAGGTCATGTGTCCTTATCTAGTAATTCTATAATACAACTATGTAGCGGTTTGTAAGCGATATCTGAGACGGTGGGTGTCATTCTTGCTTCTTTTTCTCAAATCAAAACACTATTGAGGTTTTCTTGGCAGGTGTGAGTTACCAACCTTCTGTTAGTTGGAGGACCAAAGGCCATGACCCTAGTCCTAAAGGTAACCGTTTAAATCGGAAGAGGAAGCAAAAGGAATAAAATATCTATAAAGTGGCAATTTACTCACTGTTGAAAAAGAAGGACTGAAATTGACATAAGCAAAATATTGGGTACAAAGACAACACTAGCAATTTTGCTAACTCTATCAGCCCAGTGACCTCATCTTTATTCAGTGTAAGCACACGTGTATGCATATAACTATTGTTCTCAGCTTCATTACTATCATTCGTCGAAGTTAAAATCAATGAATTGACTCTATTTATTGTGGGTTTTGTTAGCAGTTTGCAAAGACCCAAATATAGAAGAAGAATGGGAATTTTCTGTATGATAACAAGTTTTTTCATAATTTTAAATTTTTTTCATAATCTCAATACCAAAAGAATTTCATGTCAGTGTAACTTAAACTTGTTTTCTTGTTTCTTCTCGTGATTCGCTGAAGAAATTAAGCTAAGCTATTGCAATGTGCATTCGTCTATACATCAGTGAAAAGCAAACAGAGATTTTTGTTGCATGTAATGAAACGATGCAATAGGTACAGCCTAAACACCAAAAGCTGTAATCTCGGATGCAAATATTTAGATAATAGTTTCTTTTAATGTCTTTTGTCATTAAACTGCACACAAAACAGCTGTCTTGATTTCTGATTTCTATTTTCTGTTTACACGAGCCAATCAGAGTGTTGCATAATTACGCCCAACTACGGTGGACTCCTAGTGTCGAACTGGTACCTATTTTAAGTTCTATGTTATGTTTTGAAGCAATTTTCTTTTCCTTTAGTTACTACCTTCAAAAATGCGCCTTCAGTTATTCGAATCAACGTTTTTCAAACTATTTCTCTTTCTTTAGGGAAATCCTTCTTTCATTCTCTTTTATGAGTTTACTTCAACCGCTCATCGGAGTAAAGCAATATCACTTTCATAGAAAATTCACATTTTTCTAGGTCACAGCTCTTGTCGACAATCTGTAATTTGATATTTGAAGGCCTTAGAAGAAAGTTGCTTTTGCAAGCCAGGTGGCTTTTTTGTTGCCCTTGGCTTTCTATTCTGAAAAGGAATAAAAAGTCGATGCATATTGTACGTGACATCTTGAATAGAAAATGTTACTGTTTTTCAGTTTCCTTTTCATTTGGCCTAGTTTGGATTAAAATCTAGAGTATGGGAACAGGTTCTGAAATATCTGATCATTTGAAATGAAGACTGAATGAATTGTTCAGTTATAGAAAACATGCGGATAAGAAGTGGTGTATAGTCTTCAACGTCAATATAGTGCGTGTCTATAGCAATTTTACAAAAGATTGCAAAAAAGAAAGGTATTTGTCATAGAATCTCCTTCTCAACAGCCAAGGGTGCTACATATTTGCACAAAGTAATTCAGTTCAACATCATAATTTCTTTTGCAAACTTGTTTGAAAGTAATATTATCGCTTTATTCAACTTAACATGTTTGCAGGGCAACTTTCCCTAAAATTTTCAAAGATCTGCTGGCAATGCAAGCTCAAATCCAAAATTCGTCCGTTTCTGGACACTAGTCATCATGGACCTTTTGTCTCATTTTTCAAACTGAAGGAATTTGATGCATCAATTGCAAAAACCTTTATGCATGTTGTTCTCTTATGGCTCAAATATTTAAATGGCTCAACTGGATTGCCATCTCTTGCTTTGTCGCTATAATATCAATCTACTATTTTCTTACATTCATAAATAGAAAAATCTCCATGAATAACCATTTACCAGATATTTTTTTTCATGGTTATTATCCTTATGTAATATTTACATTTTGTAAACTAATTGCTAAGAACATATTTTGTAATTTTAGTGCGTTCGCACACCCAGTATTCGATAATAAGCTTTGAAAAAGATTGCAAGCGAGGCACGTACCAACATAGGTTCGTTTGTTAAAGGTGGCTGAAAATTTTTCAAAGTTTTTTTTATTATCTCAGTTGTGATATTTCTGCAAATAAAGTGACATAATATTTTTGCCGTTTAGAAATAATATCAAAATGCATATAGTAAGATTGGGAACATTTTAAGTATTTTCCCTACATCGAATATTCTATAACGTGTATAGAAAATGCCTCACATACCAACTTTGTGTGCGAGAAATCCCCTAAAATCTTTATAAAGTTTTGGCGGATTAGCTATGTGTCATAAAAAAGCATTGTAAAGTACGGTTAAGGGTGCGGCATTTAAAAGAAGCACAAAAACGGCTCTGCATCTTAACTTTTAAACAGAGCACTTCATCACTGAATGTTGTTATGCTATAGCTGTGCCACTTGCTTTCCCTCCCATGAGTCAAGCGAAAATTTCTTCCCTATTTCTGTAGCCAGCGTGGCCCAGGTGTCCTTGCATACCCACTTTAAATTCAGTCCTGATGATTATGCGTGCTGTTAAAAAACTAGATTACCAATAGACAAACTCAAATGTTCAAAACATTTGTATCAAAAGCACATGACATCACAAAATTAACACTTTATCAAGACTGTTCATAACAACATGATAGGTTTTAGATAAATACAGCTCCATAACAACACTTAATGTTGTTTGAAATGTTCGATGGAGTATAAAGTACCGTCTTCATCTACAATTCACGAACTAGACTCAATCCTGGTCTGAATCTGAGTCAGAAACTACTGTTTTGTGGGATAGGAGGTAAAATTGAATCCAAAATCCATACTTATCCAATCAATTCAATATTGCAAACGTAAAGGAAAGAAACTAGTCCCTATCTCTATCAAAATCAGAGTAAATTTGTAGCCATTTTATATTCCGACGGATCAGATCTGTGGACGAATTTTTGGGTGCTCCACGTTAATAACTGAAATCAGTTGAATAGAAAGGCCTGTCTCTATGAAATGGAATAAGTCAGTTTTGTTTTTTAAATACTATTTTAAAGGATGTCCTTTAATTTAGACTGCAGCTGCATCACGTACCTACACAGCTTGGAGTCTCAGCGTCAGGCAAAGTGCAGTTTTTAGCCGACCAGTGCATTTACTGTTGCTAAACTTAGTCTTTCTTTGGTAAGAATAATGCATCAACTGAGTTCGTCGATGAGATCTATGCAACAATGGACAAGAAAAATATACTAGAGGGATAAAAGCCTGGCTTCCCAATTGTTAGGTTATGTTGTTTTTTAGAATAAATGTGGCTTGCCTAAGGATACTTGCACTCTTTCAATGTTTTCACAAACTCTTTCCTTACAAATTTTCTCAACAAACAAGATTATTAATTCAAAACTTACTAACTCCATCTAAAGAAAATCTGTATAGAGAAAAGCGACCAACGACCCTTTAGGATGGGGAAGTGTCCCATGTTTGGAGAGAGGATCAACCAATGGAATTCTTTGCCTAGGGGTATGCGATGGAAAGGACTGTTGTCGTCGTTTTAAGTAGTAGTCGTTCCTCTAAAGCCATACCAAGGTCAAGCAGTTTTTATATGCCAGTAAAAAATTAACTTTCGTTCTTTAGTACCAGTCAATGGTTATCCTGTTGGTCTCAAGGGTAAGTCCGAAGCGAGGGGCTTCGAGTTGATGCTAATGCCTCCGATAATTGTCAAACTGTATTTTTTCGACATTTTTCCTTTAAATTTTCTTCTATATTTATATTTCCTCAATACAATGGGCAGTCCTCAGTATGAATTTCGTTCCGACGACACTGATAAAAAGTGCTTGTGCCAGATATGTTGCACAAGGGTTTTGCCCTGTTCTGTTTAAAAGGAGAAAGCAGTCGATGAGCTTCAGGATTTTTTCCCAAATCTCTTGGTATTATAAGAATTTAAGATCTTAATTTTTATCTCATTGTTTTGAAAGGACTTTAATTTCATTAATTCCGTGACTTCCTTACACGACATTTGCATGCCAACTGTAAAATATTTGCAACATCTACTATTTCTCTAGATGATATGATTAGATACTCTTTAATTCCACTGCTGTTAACCAATTGTTGCTTGCTTAAATTTCTCAGTTGCTTCAAAATATTGGAACACAAGATTTGCTGCCCAGCACACTGGAACGAAGCCCTGCATGAATCCAGCATGGCCTCCAACATAGGTTTCTACCACCAACATCATCTCAGAGTTTTTCCAAGCACCTCCAATTCGAGCTTTATCGTCTGGGGCTAAAATCTTATCGTCGTTTGAGAAAACGACCAACAAAGGAACCGAGAAACGTTTTAAACGACTGAATACTTCATTTGGCAATGTTGTTGATCGATGTAAAATGCTACCTTGTGATCCCGAATAGTACCTGCTTTTTGTTACCTTGCGGAAAAATGAATCTAGGCTCTGCGAGTGCTTCACTTTACTACTTGAGGGCTTTGGCAGTTCTCCATTAGGTCTTACTGGCATAGTGGGGTACTTCATCTTATGCCAAGCAGGCGAAACAACTGCAGCCGCTTTCAAACGTTTTGACCTTGCGTCAGAAGCTAAGAACTTCAAAAGAGTCGGGCAACCAAACGATATACTCACGATATACAAGGATGAATATGGAAACTTATTGGTTATATACAAAACTGCCTCTGCCAAGTCTTGATAATCGTCTGTTTCCTCGCAACCGGCCTTTAAACGACTGTTTTCGGACGCATGCCGCAAACGGGGCAACTTTTGGGAGTTACTGTTAATGAATATAGAAGGACGGAACCTGTACTTGTATGCAGCTTCTATATATGGGTGGAAGTTGTTGCTGTCAGTGTCCGGACTACCAATAAAAAGAACAACAGGGCGCTCCTCGCTTGCAATTTTCCTCAACTCTTCTTTGTCTTTCGGCCACGTAATTCCAATAAGCCTGCCGTTTTTTACCTCAAGATATTCCGTTTTGCTTTCCAAAGGCCATTTTGAACGTAATAGAAAAAACACACTTTGAATCTTTGGCAGGAATGCCCAGATGGTGGGTACATAAGGCTTAGTGAGCAGATCACTACAATACTGAACAACTAAAGAGTTGAATAGTGACTTTTTGCAGGAAACATTGGGAAGTCTTGACGATTTCCTTTGTGTCCAGAATAGATAGAAGTATACAATAGCGCACAGCGGTGACAATTCAAGCAGAAAGCATAAAATCGACATTCTCGTCACTGCTTTGTATCCTCTTGTTTGTCTATCTTCGGTGAATTTTCTTTCGCATGTGGCGTGTAATCGAATCAAAACTATGTAAATTCATCTTTTCCTTGAATCAAGATTCCTAATAAGCGAGGGATGGCCAATGGCTAGCTGAATTAAAAAGTCAGCTGAACTTGAGTAAATAGTCAGTGTTCTAACAATAGTGGTGAGTCAATCTGAAATTCCACACGGTCTCTAAAATGTGTAAGATGTTTAAAATTTATGCGAATTTTCTGTGAAAAAGCTTAAAACATCTTATCTCTTATGCTTATCCTCCTTTGAGCTCTCAGATAACTTGCTCACAATCGTTCGGAAACCGATTTTCAACCAACAAGGCTGCTTACTTAAAAATCCGAGCGATCGTCCTCTGTTATTCTCGTTCTTCAAACACTGGCCACATGTATGGCCTCGGAATAGCAATCTTGCCTCTATTGATCAAATATTTTTTCTGAGTCTTTTTTTGCTACTCGAAAAAGCCTAAGCACATCTTTATAACTCACCTTCGACATTGTCCGTAATTGATTTCCTTTCTAAAGAGCAGGCAAGTATAAAAAATGCAAGGCTAAACCGTCAGGTTCTCCTTCACAGCTAGACAATTTGTTGAAGCAAGATTGTGCTAATTCAAGTTGTTTTGTTTATGTTTGTTCATGACTGGACCAGCCATGTGTTTTCGCAAGTCATGTGAAATGTCTCAATCAAATAGTTAGTAGAGGCTGGTCTCGTTTCCAGTTTCTCCAAGCCTTAAAGCAAAGAACAGGAAACAGGCAGAAAGGTAGCCTGCGCGCAGACTCGCGGAGGAGAAAAATAAAAGGAACTTTCCTCTCATTTTTCTCCTCCGCGAACGTGCGCGCAGGCTAGCAGAAAGGTAACTCTCGTCGGTTTCTTTGTTGTTTTTGAAGCCTGAGTAATTGTGTATAAATGTGCAGTTAAATTAGGGAGCTATTGTGGAGATCTTGGTTCCGCAATCCGATTAATAAAGGTCCAGAAATTAGGAACTTAGGTTTTGAGTTAAGATCTTTATAAAAAGGCATGAAATGAATATTTGCGTACTGTGGTTTTGTCGAGATTTATGGCGACTTTAAGCGATTATTTTCTTATATATTTTTTAGAGTTGTTCAAGGTGTGACCGGTATTTGGGGTGGTGCACTTCTTGGGCACAGTCACCGACTTGACACTACTCTGCATACATAAATAACGGTCATCAACAATAGTCAACTCGCACTTGACACCATGACATAGTTTAGTTCTAGCCCAGCTACCATGGATTCCTTTCTTTTAAATAAAATGACGATAGTTTCTAAAAAAATTGTTTAGCTACAGATTTTTGGGGGTCCAGTTCCCCCCATCCCTCCGGAATTCACGGCCTTGAGTTCAGTATTTGCATTCAATGAATGAAATAGATAAAGAATATAACCAACTCCAGAACAAATCATAAAGAAATAACTGAAAGATACGTAAAGTTATTCTTATAGGTTGAGCTCAAGCCAAAAAGTAACGCATTGGCTTTATAATGAAAAATTAGAACTTAGAAGTTTATTTTGTCAAAGGCAATGTTTTTTCCCCAAGCTCTTGAGTTGTTTTTCTCCAGGCATTCGCCGCCACTGCTAACCCTTCACCTCAAATATAAAGGCAAGGCAGCTACCACACATGGTGAATCAGGGAACGCGCACCAATCTAAAAGTGGGAGGCTCAAAGCTTGACCCGACAAATTTTGTCAGGCCACGTCCTTTCAAGCCTTCATAAGATACTTGCTTCCTTCCATTTTTAAAAGTGCGCTACTACGAAAGATCCGATACAGTTAGCCTTCCAGAGTTGCGCGGCGTTTTAGTAAACTTTCAACAAATGTTCAAATCTATTACTGTAAAAATGTAGGGGGAGGCATTAGCCCCTGTATGTCCATTGGCTGCGTGGTGCCTGCGGTGAATGTACTGGGAGAGGGGGGTGACAGAGTAGTGGTACCATGGTACCAAAAGGGTGGTACCTAGTACAGTGCTGCAAGCGATAAAAGTGAAGGCATCTTAGGGACAGGAGAATGCAAGTCAGTTGATGGACACTCAGGTGTTAGTTCCTTAGAAAAGCTTGTGGCAATCACAGGGGAGGGAAATTCATTATTTTTTATCGATGCAAACAGTTTGAGGATAGCAACAGGGGCTCAGCTTGTTATTCAGTATTGCCAGATCTTCAGTAACACCTACCAAGCATTCAATATTCTTCAAGAAATACTGAAATTTTCGACTGCAAGTGGACTAGAGGACGCAACACCACTACTCAGAAATGCAAGTAATGCTCCATGACATTGTAATGAATGCAAATATTTATTTTTAATGTGAACGGTCAGCGTCAAAGACCCCAGGGCACTCCCTCTCACAAGAGCGTCAGAAATTGGAAAAAATTATTGCACAGTACAAACTAAACTTGAAGTCAATCGTTAAAATGAAGGCCCTTTCAACATTTACCAACGAATATTTCATCAGGGTTTTGATAGATTTTAACTCGACCCCAAGACTGAAGCCAATTTACTTTGACGTTGCTCAGATTTCGGGCAAGGAATTCGTCAACAGAATATTCGAACCTTCGCCACTAAAGATAATACAGATATTGTGGTTGATGAAGTCAGTGTGCTCTAAGGTAATAGCAGAGAGGGGAATTTTGCAGGATTGATACTGAAAACGCTGTCACCATTAGCAACAGTAATATGATGTATTTTTTTAGACAGCCACCTCAATCAGGATTCTTTGAATTTCTTCTTGGTTCTGGAGGATTCGTGACATGTTCAGACACACGCCAAAAAGAGTATCTGGCAAAATTTTCATCAAATAGAGGGGAAAGAATTTGAATTTTGCAACAGCGTGATAGGTAGGGTAAAAGAAGATTATTTTAGAGGTGACGCACTTTCAAGCTTTCCTTCCAAATAGAGGGGAAAGAATTTGAATTTTGCAACAGCGTGATAGGTAGGGTAAAAGAAGATTATTTTAGAGGTGACGCACTTTCAAGATCATTTGTCAAGATGATACGACTTTCGCGAGGAGATATTGAAGATGACGAAGATTCAGCACGTGAAAACGTCAGAAAAACGGAAGAGCCTTCTTTTGAAGCCCAGTCTGATGACTCTGCAACAGCAATACCGGAAAGCATGTATGTTACACCAAAGATCTTTGGCGTACAACAGCGGTACGTCCGCCGAATTTTGGCGTATTTCTCCGGAAAATTTTTGGCGTAATTGCTTTGGCGTGGCGTGAATGTGCTATTTTTACCTTGAAATTTGCTGACGTGTCATAATATTTAAAATTTTATTTCAAGCTTTCTATACACTGCATGTGCGTGGCAGGGGTGTCCAACATACGGCCCGCGGGCCAGACGTTCCAAGTCAATAACTTTATCCTTTAAGTATATTGAGTATTTATGACTATGGTCCTTGAGTATATTTTTATGATTAATTATTAGGCATACCTTTTAATTGTTGGGTATACTTCCTCATTATTAGGCATTCATTCGCATTATTTTAAGCATTATTTTTACGAAGCTGAACAGACGAAGTCAAGTTACAGAAAAACATTTAAATGACTTTCTTTGCACGTCAATCACAAGTTTAATGTGTGATGTGATAAAATTTCTGAAAACAAAAATTTTAACATTTCACATTGATAATTTTTTCGTGTGACAGCTTATGTAACTTTTCGTGTAATTTTTCTTGCAATTGCAATTTTTAATCAATTCCTTGTTCAATGCAAAATCTCCCGATGATTAACATAATTATTTATCTGGCCTGCCTGTGGATAACATTGCCAAATAAACAATTTCTGAATAATCCGAGCAATCAATGTTCACCCAAACTCCAAAGAAAGAGTTGGACAGCCCTGGTGTAGTTATTTCGGGTTCATCTTCTGTTTGTACTGAACCTTGTGCAGTTTCCGTCAATGACCCATTAAAAACCATGGAGATTTCCATGGTTTTTAATGCCACTATAACCCTCTCTTTGCGTTGAGAGATTTCTATAGTAATTATCAAATAAAAGTATTTTTGATAAACGACAGGACTCGAAAATGACAATTAACGTTTCATCCTTAAAACAGAAGAATAGAAAACATATCAGATTTAATAAAAAAATTTTGATAAAATCATTTCTTAAAGTAATTGTCCACATAACAAGGGGAGCAATATTAGGAATTAAGAAATAAGCTTAACTTTCATTTCATCTCGACAACGTTCCAAATTCGCATCCACAATCATTAAAGCATCCAGGAGACTTGATTTCAAACTGTAATTACGTTATGCAACTATTAGATGGAATACTGTATCTGCATTATCAGCCATTTTTTTAAATAAAAGCTGTGGTTACATGGTACCATAACCTTTCATGTAGGTGGAACATGGTACCAAACCATGTGGTACCGGTACCAACGACCCCCCCTGTCACCCCCCTCTTGGGAAAATAACTTAGAGCCAAAAAGTGTACAGGGCCAAGGGCCGTTGCCAATGCTACTTTTTTAACTGACACTCCAAGCAATGGTCAACGATCCATAGTGATCATATTCCTGATCATATTCCATAGTAATCATATTCCTGATCATATCCCATAGTGATCATATTCCGTAAGCGATCCATAGTGATCATATTCCTTGGACAAAATAATCCCCTGATTGGACCGAATCAATCACACGATAGATCGCAGACTACTTTTTCAGCCTGTCCCCGTGAATCATAAAGAGGCTGGTTCTTTGATTGTGTCCTTTCGCAAAAATGGAGGGCCGGGCAGTTAGGAAGGACGGATCGCTTGCCCAAAATGTCCGTGGCTTTGATGAATGTAGTCCAAAAACAACTGATTCACGCGAAACAACAGTTGATGCGCCTATAGGTATGTATTACTGCGTTTTGAGAGTAGGAAATCTGACCCCTAGCCTAGACGATTGAATCTTGAAATTTTTTCTACTGGAATGTTGATTTCACGAATCATATCCGCCAAACCATCGCGTAGAGCCCTGTTGTGAAAGTCCAGATCGCAAGATAAAATATGAGTTACTTTCATTCGTTAGAATTTTCCTATTTCACATATTTTTTGCGTTTTTTGGTTTTATTTTCGACGTTTCTTAGGAATCTCGCCAAAACAAGCTTTGTGTGATACGAAGAATTCTTGACAGGGCATGTCCAGCGGTCTTGCTTAAGTTTGGACAGGAATTGACCTTAGGAGTGATCCAAACTTTACTGCAGTTGCAATGGATCAGTTATTACTGAATTTTTGATAATCGACTTAGGCCTAGAATTAAACATGATATTTTTTCCATAAAAGTCACCACTCCCTGTGTGTGGTTTTTGTAATACCAATTTCCCAAAACTGGAAGCTTTGAAAGCATAATTATATTTGTTTGACTTATTAAGTAGATGCCATCATCCATGCCCCTGGCCTATTTTAAGAAGAACTAATGGTGATGAAAACTAGAGTAGGTGTGATAAAAACTCAAAGAAGATAACAGTAGATTCAAATTTCCCTGCATTTATTCTGTTGTAAAGGAACTGCTAAACACAATTTCTCTATCATCTTCTTAGCCCAGTTTGTAATGGGATGGCACAGTTTGTAGTGTTCTTCATTATATGTCTGACACATACATAACATTTAATGATGTCTCATTAACAGTGCAGTTATAATGTAAAATAGTTTAACTATGAAAATTTAAAGATTATGTTTGCTGTTTTTTTGGCTTTTCAAAAAGTCAGGAATGGCTTCTCAACTTTGTTTGAATATCTGGAACTGACCTTTGCATATTTCAGCTGGTAAATATTTGTTTCCTTAGTGGTTAGGTCATTCAAATGGTTTCATGCTCAACAGATACAATGTGAAGGGTTGAGGAATGTTTACTATGTTAAATTATAACTTAAACTCTGAGGTCTATTTGAAGCTGTAACCAAGGCAAGCAATGGATCATTATCTTGATCCAGCCACAAGAACTGATAATGTTAAGGCATGCGAGGATAATCAGAATTTTTTTAGCTGTTTGAGCATGATGTAATCAAGTTTACAAGGAGTGAACTATTCAAAGGTTTGACACACCTTTGAATGCTAGGACAGTTGAAAAAACATTTTCTTTTTCATAGAAAGTCTGTAATTTCAAAGGTTTGACACACCTTTGAATGCTAGGACAGTTGAAAAAACATTTTCTTTTTCATAGAAAGTCTGTAATTTCCCATCTAAAACTTGGTTATTGAAATAAAACAGCATTGTCGAGTAACCATTAGGTGGTAACAGTCATTTTTATGGTAAATTTTGTCTGCAATACTCATTATAGAAGTATTGGGCTAAAGAGCAAAACTGTTCAGCAGAAATGAATTAAAATGTTCAAAAATGAAATAAAGTCATAATAAGAAGGCAATCTAGCCCAAAATCATATTAAATTTTTGAAAGAAGTTTTCAAGTTTAGATTTTTTGTTTATATTTTGATCTAATGGTGGAATCCAGAACTTTTTTGACTGATAGCATATCTAAGGTCACCTAAAGAATCAAACATCTTCAAAAAACAATGTTTTCCGCCCTTAACAATTTTCTGTATCTACTTCTTTGGTTTTTTTGCTACTGGACTAGCAAAAGACAGCAGTATGATAAGAACAATGCAAAATTCAATGGAAAACTGGAAATGCTAAAATAGTTGTATTCAATTATTTTTCCAAATTACCAACATTGTTCTAGGGGAAAAGGGGGCAGAAGTAATAATAGTATTGGGGAAATAAAACAAAAAATAGAAACACACAACAAAAATAGTTTGGTGTCCCAAGCCGTTTTGATAGTCATTAACAATGTGAGGCATGAATTTCTGGCAAGATGAAAACGATGATAGAATTCTGTAAATTAATTAATGACACAGTATTTCAAGTCATTACTTCAAGGTACCAAGTTTGAATCATATCATTAAAATTAATTTATGGAGTGAATTTTATATTCTGGAAAATATTACCAGAAGATATAGGGTAAAGGTGCTTTCTTGTTGTATGTAGGACTACCAAGATTTGATTGTTTTAGCTAAATTTATGATTTGGGAATATGAGTCCAGTTGCAATATTAATACTTTGTATTTCAAAGTTTTTATATTCAACATGTAATTCATCAATAAATTAATGGACATTTGTTTGTAAACATCAGTATATGAAAATAACTGGTCAGGTTTGTAAAGAGAATATGTGTCTAAAAAGCAAAAAGAAATATTGATTTGCAGCTGAACCATAATGAGATGCCAGAAAAGCAAATACCTGTTGAAAGATTGTTGATTTGTACGAATCAGATTCAGATTCAGGTGATAGCAAATTGTCTAAAAGAACACTGTTCTTTTTTATCTGGTTTTGTGCCAAAATTTACTTTACTTCCTAGCATTTGATAAAATTGTAAGTAACTGAATATTGTGGCTCTATATTAATACTTTGTAGCACTCAATTGAATTGCTAAACATTTCAAGGTGGGAAATCTTAATGGGACACTAAATTCCATTTTACTGGGCCTTTGTATGTTTTCATAGCTCCAGTACTTTTAAAACATTTTTAACAACTGGCTAAGTCAACCAATGAAAGTAAAAATCATACAATTTTTTATGCATTAAATTTTTTCATCATATTAATATGGATTTATTTGTTTTTAGATAAGCTAGGACCATTTGGAAGATGGATACGCCATAGATTACTGGCAAGTATATTGATTGGAACGCCAGTTTTGGTTGCAGTGCAGGTAATTTTTTTTGTTTTCTTTCGCATCTTCATCATAAATCTTACAAGTGGTATACACAACTGCATGTTCTCCTTGCAAAAACATATACACTTGTTCATTACAGTATCTTATTGTGAAAGTGATATATGCTTTTAATGATATATACTTTTAATGGTATCATATGGCTTTAATTGCCAGGCGTATTATTATATGGAATATTTGTTATGCCAGTTTGTGCTTGTTGTTTTTTATTTCTTTACCAATACCTATCCTCTTGATGGTTAAAATGGATATATTCAGGAAAATCTGTATTTGCTTATGAAATTTTCCAAATAAGTCACAGGTTTTTTGAATACATTGTTCAGTTGATATTGATTTATTCCAGTTCATCATTGAGAGAACTACATATGACCATTTAATTTTTAAGGTGAGACGTCATCCACTGGCCACAAAAATCCTCAGAGTTGCAAGTCTTTTTGGAACAGAAGAATTTTATGGTCTTTTAGTTTGTTTCTTGACCTGGTAAGGTATTTTAGATTTTCATTAATGTCGGCCCAAAACTATGTTGAAAGTGTATTATTGAAAGCATTAAAAAATGCCATATGCATGGATTATTGCAAGGAATTTTTGAAACCAAAATAAATTTTTTTATCTATTTTTTCTTGATATCGTGATTAAGCTACAGAGGCTATGCTTCACACTTCAAGCAACAGGGGACATAGAATAGAAAAGTGTTAAGTTATCAAAAAAAAATTCTTTACTGGTAGCAAGCCAGCGACCAGCTTAACCTTTCTTTGGAATTTTTTTAAACTCACATGCATAAAATATAGTGCACTAGTTTAATAAAGTTAAGTTCAACAAACAATGAAAAGTTGCAATGGCAAAGCTAGAGAAATGGGAAAAAATTGATTATAATTCGCTACGCCCCATTTATTTCACCCCTTCAAAGGTAGAAGGTTACAAAAAAATCTTCAGTGCTATTTTTAGAACCTGGTTGTAGAAAAAACGTTAGAAAAATTTTGCTGCTGAATGTGACCTTGTATAAACATTTCAATATTCCTGGGATTACTTCAAATTTTTGTTGCTTAATATTTTAGTGTCAGTTACGCTATTTATTATATTTTTTGTTCATACCTCATGTTTTAGGGTAAATTTAATGCTTTTTGCTTTATTATCTTGGTTGTCATACTAGCTGAGCGTATGTCAGTCTGACCTGCATTCATAAAAGTGTCAGTCTCTAGTTAAACTGACTCCAAAGTAATTGTTCAAAGCCTCTTTTACTATTTAGTCACATTGCCTAAGCACAGACCCATCCCATCCTACAACCTTTGGCTACTATCTCTCCTATTGGCCTTTCAAGATTATTCCTTATGTTGTAGCTGCTGATTATACTTTCAGCAACAGACTCAACTGAACATTTGATCAATGTAGCAAATATTGCTTGCAGGAGCATCTCGATTTCATTTGAAAGCCCATTATACTCTTGAAAAAACCTGGAAATCAATTCTTTGCTGTTAGTTTTTTGCAAGCTCCTAATTATTAATGCTTCTTGACATGGTTTCTCACTTTTTCAGCAACATCCAAAACCGTGTCCCTAGTATCCTTGCACCTAAACCTCCTTTTTTGCACCTCTTGATTCAATGTTAAAAGTTTGTAATTCTGTGTTTTATCAAATGCTCATAAGCATAAATGAAGAATTTTCCCAAAATATGAAATGATTTTCCCCTAGGATTGTTGATATAAGACTTGCCAGGCTGTGTTGTATTCTTATGGCTGTTGGGTTCTATGCTGCCAATTTTCTCAAGGTTTGTTTGAACTAATTCTATTTGTAATTAGATTTTTTTTGGTGCACAGAGACAACACTGGAAAGCCTTTGCACTTAAATCAACAAGAGTATTTGAGAAAAATTGTAGCATGTTGAAATCTCTATCAAAAATCACATAATAGACAATGACCAAATATGTTACTCTGCCATAATATTTTCCTGTGATCAAAGCCTTGCAGTCAAAGCTTTGCACAAGTTATTTCCAATGATCTCACCTCAAAGAACATTGATGGGGGTTTCTGGTGTATGAGTGTTACAGTATAATCATCATGTCTTCAACTGTGACAACAGTTTTAGAATACATCAAATATTTTTTTGATATCATGTAAAGAAATTTATAACAAAACACTTAACCATATATGTCCTTTTTGAGATAAAGTTAAGGTACTCTTTTTAGTTATGTTTTGATAAATAAACAAATTTTGTTTTACAGAACAGCCTGTGCTTGCCAAGGCCACCAAGTCCCCCAGTTAACCCCCTGGAGCCTTCTTTTAACACATGGCAAGTTTATTTGTCTATGTCATTGTTTGGTCTCTTATTTATCCTAGTTTGCTTTTAATATCCTTTAAATACCATATTAGAGCTAGATATTTAGATATTAATTCTCCTTTCTTCTTGCTAACATCACCAATTGCTTAGTAGGCAGACACTCTTTATCAACTATGTTGCATATAGGATCACTGTGTTTGTATTATAAGTGAAAGAAGGACTTGCTATGTCTGTGTGTAGTTCTTGTATTGTTTTGCAGTCAAATATATTTCTAGTATATAGCCATTTTTGTACGATGATAAAATGCAAGAGACAGCAAATTAGGCAAACAGTAATAGATAAAGCTGAAATAAAAACCAAGGAAAACATTGACAGATAGGCCACTCGAGTTAACAGATAGGCCACTCGAGTTAACAGATAGGCCACTCGAGTTAACAGATAGGCCGCTCGAATTAACAGATAAGTGATTCTTTAAAACAAATGTCAATGCTGCAGGTTATTGAAAGAGTTAAATTGGATTACATATTGTACATATTGCTGCCAAGATTCTGAGAGTAATTGAACAAAGAACATAATCATTGAACGGCAAATTGTTTCTAACCAATGTGTTTGTTTATATAATTTCAGGGCCCTTCCAAGTCATCATGCAGTTCTTGCTGTTGTAGTCCCATGGTAGGAATACTTTGTTGTTTTTTAGGCTCATAGCATTTTGATTTCACAGCTGATAACTTTGTAAATGAAAGAGCTGGCCATTTCAAATTCATTTCAAATTAATTTTCTGTGTTTTCAATGTTTTTCCTTCAAGTTTAACTCGACCCCTTAGCAGCTATATACATATGTAGAACAGGTAAGCCTTTAAAGGAAATAAAATTAATTATGCTCTTCCACTAACCTGTAGTTGGGTAGAGTGGATGAAAATTCAACCGGGCATATATTTTGCATATCTAGCGGCCCCCTTTAATAAGAGTATTTAGCTCAATGTGAGTGACGAATAGACCTTTGAGGAAAGGTATGATTTTTGTTGGTAACACGTGTACTTTTACTACGCGTTGCAACTAAGTAACACGTAACGCGTTGCAACTGAGTCCTGGGAGTTATGTTTGTGCTAGCTATTGCAATGAAAAAAACGGTAGTTGCATCCAAGATGGTCGCCGTTAATAGTCAATTGATAGTCATAATTCTAAAACTGAAATCCAGTTGAGCTCATCATCGCAATAAGTCTTGTAACCACAAGTTAATGACTTTACTAAACACACACCTTCTTTTCACATTTGATTTGAGATATGCGCAAGGGAAGCTCTCATATATCTGGAAAGGAAAGCTGCAGCCTGAATTTCTGCCCTGGTCATCTCCTTGTATTCTTGAATCCAGGAATTATAGATCCCGCATATTGAATTCAGGACTAGAATATAAAGAACAAAGTAGGATAATCTTTTAACGGAAGTGAGAAAATGCGATCTTTTCAAGGGGGTGTGACTCCCCACCTCCCCCAATCGCGAGGGCCTGCTCTGCCGTATCCCTACTGTCATGCTTTATTCCCTTGTTTTCTTTTGCAGGTACATCTGGTTCTACTCCTATCTCCATTACAATCTCACCACAGTCCAATATGTCATCCTATTTTGTTTCATTGTTACCTGTAAGTTGTTGTCGTCGATTTTGACCATTTTTCCCACAATTGCTGGCAAAACTTTATTTTATTCCGTTTTACTTGCTAAATATAAAAGGCTCCAACTTTCCAGGATTTTTTTCTCAAGAATGTTCAATAAAGCAAAACGAAATACTGCTTGAAGGGATGGCATATATTCGATTGTCAAAATTATCCTCTTTCATCAATTCCTTGTTTGTGACTGTTACCCGAGAACATTTTTAAATTGAGTGAATCGAGAACGTTTTTCCCCATTGTGAAATTAGAAGTAAGTTTTTGCTTTGAAGTAAGTTGTTTGTTGTCAACATCTAGATTTTTTTCAGCTGACCAACTATTTACAATACTCTAAATGTTATATATTATATATACATATTAAAGACTACAATGGAAGTTTGGCCCAATTTCAAAATTACGCATTGAAAGAAATAGCACTGCTATATATATGGATGAAATAGACGTTTTGGGGGTGTTAAACAGGACGGTTATAGACTATAACTCCGTGTTTCATGCTCAATGGAATCGTTGCGCAACTCCTGGTAGAATACGTTGAACACTGCTTATGCGCCAATGGCTTTCTCAATGCCTACTTGAAAGCCTACTTGAAAGAGTAGATGAAGTCGCGATCTTTATGTCGTTCAGTACCCAAGCAATCCCCCGTGTAGTTGCCAGCAATAAAATATCGAAACGAAATCATAATATGTTCTTGATTTACTGCTTGTCTTGTTCCTTGTTCTTCATCAAGACAGTTGTTTAGACCTAGACAGTTTTAAGACCCGTAAGAAACGCGCTGTTGATCTTTACTTTCAATACTCTTGCACATTTTTCAGTGATAATTTATTAGAAGGCTATTGATTTCCCATCTGATTTGATATAGAAAGAACCTGAGCCCACCCACTCCGGGTACCTTACAAGCATAATGACAAGAAAATTTATGTTTAAGAGCAACTACTCTACCTTAAAACGTGAGTCTAACTTTTATTTTCTGTCGTGAATATTCTTTATTAAAATCATTCGAATCTCCTGTATTTTAGGGTCGTTTTCCGTCATGCTTAGTCGGATATACCTTGGTGTTCACAGCCCTGCTGATGTTGTTGCAGGAAGTCTCCTTGGTTGCCTTGCATTGTCGGCTTGGCTGCACTATGATGATATTCTTGATCGGGCTACTGCTGTCAGTGGGCAAGGTAACGTCATCCTCTTCTAGCCAAGTGTTGCCAATTTGTCACAGTTGTCTGTATCCTTGTCATTTAATTCTCCTCTAAGATCGGTTTTTTGGGGGCTCTCAAATAAGGATTACGTACGTAAAAAGCCTTTAAAGTGAAGTTTAAATCTTTTTTCTGTCACTTTTTTAGTTGTGTTTGATATGTATTGTGTATGTCATATATTTGATTTGCTTATCAATTTAATCAACATCAAAATCTGCTTATCAACTCGATCACCATAATCTTCCAAAACTACATGAAGAGTTAGTTTTTTCTCTTTAATTATAAGTTTTCATCTTTATTGTTTGATTTATTTACATTTGGCAGCTTTTTTCTTGGTTAGTGTTTCGTATTAGCTCATTTTTCTTCGATTTCTTTCTAGGAGCAATGCTAGTGCCGGTATACGTCATAATTATGTTATTTATCCACCCAAGACCTGACCTAGAGACACTTTCATTCACAGAATCGGTACGTTGGCATTCAGTTGCTTTCAGCTATTTCATTTTAACTCCTTATAAACCCCCTGATATCACGAGCTAAAGCCCTTTGTCAGAGACCAGTAAGTCTGGTGGTCACGTTGCCCGCAAAAAACACCAATGAAAACAAAAACAAAAAGTTTCAAACCCCGCTTTTTTGTTGATTTTCCGAGAAAGATTTTCAGAGCTTAAGGATATCGTCAGGAGAAAAGATTTACATTTTTCTGGTTTTTTGTTCGCCTAGAATCTTTTAAGTTTGAATCATTTATTCTTCCCAGATGCGTTAACCTTTCGATTCTTTATATGAACGATTTATTCTCCTCTCTCCGTCTTCTACAGTTCTTTTTCCTCCACACTTTCGAACTAAGAGCTCTATACGGGCCATATTCCCAGAATTAAGTGTTAAAAGACTGTGGACAGTAGTGGTCGTCCTGCAGACTCACTCCGATTATATTTACACCTAGATCAATGATTCATAACCCAAAGAGAAATTCGCTTTTAAATCTCATTTTGACTTTCCTCTGCAGTTGTCAATTCAGCGATTTCATATTTTAGCTAAAACTGCTTTGATGGCTGTTTCTCAATTAATACAATTCAGCAAGTTTGCACTAGAAGCAGCGGGAGACTTTGAAAATGATTTAAGCACTTTGTTATTTCGTAGTTTCAACAGAGTTTCAAATTTTTTGAGTTTTTTAATTAGCTGTAGGCAACAGCTTTGAAGCAATTCCAGCAGGTGGAAATTGGAATTGTTGCTTGAATCTAGTATAAACATTTTCTTAGCTTTTACATGTAGAGTACTATGTTTGTTATTACCTGATATCAAAATAAGGGAGAAAAGCTCTTTCTCTAAAAAAAGAAAGCTAAAACTTTCTGATATTAACAATCGCATGTATGAAATTTAACAAGGAAATCGATGCTTACTTGTTATTCACCCTTCCCCTTTTCTGCGTTTTTTTTGTTTTTTTTTCCTGTTGAAAATAGTTTAATGCAAGTAAAATCATATCTGGACATGAAACCTGATGTTTTCCGTATCTTCGTAGCTTTGCTGATGAAATGCAAATTAGTTTTATCAATTGAGAGTTACCATATTCAGTTCTACTGTTTCTTTACTTCCTACTGTCTTCAAACTTAAAGCCATATCTTGTATGAGACTGTCTCCTAGCTTTTATAAACAACGTTTTGCCTTTGTATTTGAAAGTTTTGCCTGGTTTTATATCTTATATCTTTGCCTAGTTCTGTATCTCGAAAGGATTTGTTCGTCGTGAGAATGCTAATTGTAGTTACTGTTAGGTTTTCTGTAACATTGTGTTGGTAAGAAAGGTCAATGGCAAGTATCACTGTCTGTGTTAATTGCTCTCCTCTGAAATACCATTTTGATTTTCGTTAGTCGTTCTGCATCTGAAAAATCCCTTTGTATATGATGCAACCAGAGTTCATGTTTATAATCGAAGTCAACTTGTTTCCAGGTATGCATGTCCGGTGTAGCAGTAGGGTTCGTTCTCGCTCGCACTATGGTCAGCGGGCCTCACCCACCCTTCAAAGGGATTATTGACTCAATTAATAACAGTAAGTCGTGTTTCGCTCCCAATTACATCAATATTCCTATTGTCATGTGTCGATATTCGATATTTATGCCTTTGTGATCCGTTGATTCTCCCTCATACCTGCCTCAGGTAAAGTTTGCCAGCTGCACCTTGCAGAAAGAGGAATAGGCAACCCGTACAATTTTAGTTAAAGCAGGAGCCTCTTATGATATGCAAAAATTAATTACCGAACGTAAAGACACGAAGTATATTTGGAATGAAACAACAGTATATGCAGCTAAAAGATTTTCTTGTACATTTGCTTGAAGAATTTTATTTGAAGTGTATTTTCCTGTATTTGTTTTTATGATTAAAATGACGTTAGGTAGCTATAGATGTAAAATCAAGTTATCGTTGATACGAATCAAGCGTATTTTAACAACGCTAATTTCTCCTCGAATCGCCGAGAAAATTTACAGCCATGGCGAATGTGCCAAGATTTAGCTTAGAAATATTTTGCCGCAAAAAATAAAACGCTTTTCTACTTCCTTGCCTAATTGCTTGTTAGATAAACAGTCTGCATGCTTCTTTGCGTATGTCAGCGGTTTCGCCGGGAAGTTACTGCCAAATCCGCCTCGTGGAAATAAACCGCGTGCTTATTATCTATAGCGACACTGCTTTGAGATCCAGTGAAAAACGTTGCCCTAGAAAAAGAGAAAGGACCCCAGGGAAGTTTAGTTAAAAGGAAGGAACTGAAGTGCTCGGTAAACTGTCACTTTGGTCTGTTTTTTAAACATAGCACCAGGGACACATTTACAATAAAATCTCAAAGTTTTGGAAACGTTCTACCGCGCTGTTGGAAAGAATGCTATTGGGAAATTTTGAAGGCAAGGCAAGAACACAGAATCATGTAATATTCATTTATGTCGCCCGGCTAGACCCAGTTGACAGATCAGACATACGGCATGTTTTTTGTATTTCGCCTTAAATATTCTCTCTTGGATGACCGAAGCTGTTGCCTGTTTTAAGGCATGATAAGCTGAAGTCCTAAGATTTGCAGCACAGATGTAGGGTCGACACAGCAAACGAGACCTAGAACATGAAAAAAGATGCCGCAACAAAAACACCGCAAGACAAAAACGTTCAAGTTTCCTGCGCTCGATTGACGTTATCGAAAAGTCTGTTATTAGATCACGGTACGCGCAAACGTTTTTTGGTTAACGTTCCCAGGGGCTGATTGACTGGCGTCTGTGTTTGAGGCGTTGTGTCTGCTCCGTGAGAGAATTTATCAATCCAGGAACACTACTGCTTGCTTACTTCGATTAACCGTTTATCGCATTTGTCATGTTTCTTGGAACCCCGTGAGAATGACCCGAAATGGCAGACCCACCTGGCGATCGGGCGATACATTTTTGATAAATTGAAGCCAGGTGGAGATTTTCCCATCTGCACGATGTCCATTTTGGCTCGGCAACCAGCAGATGTAATTTAGTCCACCATGGCACTTACAAAACTTAAAAAGATTTTGATAGGTTTCTGAAGTTATATCAGTTGAAATTCTTATCGGCATAAATTTTTGTTACCTATACATTCTTTCCGTTAAAGGCAATTCTATTCATTTTTACGCTTCTTTGTTACAGGCTCGTCATCCTGGTCGGTGATATTCCTTTTTATGGTTCTACGGTTCTTTCTTGGTAATTTTTAAATTGTTTTATAATAACTTCATATTCTCTTTTTTGTCACAGTCAGAAACATTTTATGACCAATGAAAGGAGCCTTTGGCAAACGTACGGTCTCAAATAAACATGACTTGTTTAGGCCCCTCTATAGCAAACCCAAACATTCCAATTTTACTCATTTCCAGCTGCTTCTGGCAGAAATGCTAAAAATGAAATGGGCTTCAGTATTGGAAGAGTTGGATTCAATTTATTTGCTTGAAGATTGCCTATAGAAAACAAAGTGGTGCCGTTAGAACAACATTGCTCGAGTTATTTTAGATATGGGCCAACTCCTTTAAGGTTTTCATGAAGTTCCATATTATCTCGGCAGCTCCTTTTTTCTGACTCACGTGATCACTCTCATGTCTGCCAATAGCATTGATTCACCGAAATCCCAACTATTCGGGTATGTCACTCCCTTCTATCAACGCTTGATGGCGACGCTCTCGCCTCGAAGCCTCGTTTATATGGGTAATAAATTTAACATCCCCTAATGGTTTATCATCTAGAAAACTTTTGCTTTTTACACCCCCTACTCTCTCATAAAAATCTTAATCATCATCCATCCATTCAGTTCTACTTTTTGTCTTCCCAGTTGTTTTTGAATCCGTGTTAGACTCGGCTAGTATGTTACTGAGGGTGTCTTTTTCTTTTAAGGTGGCGCTCTAGTTTTGACTAGTCGCTTTTTGGTGAAGAAGATGACGAGTGTTGTCTTTCCAATGTTTTTACGGATAACAGGGATTGAATATTACCATGGTAGCAGTACTCGAATCCCGTTCTTTACGGGATACCACAAAGGATTCAAGTTGCCCCCTGTTACTTCGGTGAGTTAGATTCATAAAAAGAAACGGTGACGTCTTAGCATTGGGGTTTTGATAGGGATATCCTACCTAATGAGGAAAAGAAGTGACAGTTTAAAAAAACCAAGTTTATTGACATTCTTAGGAAGCTCGGCAATTAATTAATGAAGGGGTAGTGTCAGTGACATGTTTAGCAAGAGAGCTTTTGATGAAATCAAGAGAGAGAAATGGAGCACAGGAACTGGTAAACGAAGAGAGAAACGAGGCTACTAAAACCTGTATTCGATAACTACGATAACTGTGTAAGGTATTTGTATATTGTATCACTACCACGGAGAGCTTCTGGGTGGTAGCATAAAAAATTGTTTCTTTTCTACGAATGAAAAAGCGGTAAAGGAAGTAATTTTAATGACGAGAATCTAAGTTATAAGGAAAAGACAATAATGAGAAGAATTACGAGTAGAGGAAACAGAACATCGGGTAAACACTTCGAAATATACGGATAATTGAGGGTTATTATTTATTCAGCCCAGTATTATCGTATGGTCATTCTTTCATGTATAACCCAAATTTAAAGAGTCTTATACTCGTAGGTAATTGCGCTTAGAATACCTGGAGCAATTTTTATCGTGTAGCTAATTAGTGTGGCCAGATTTCATTTTATAGCTCATTACCTTATGATGTTTAGAATAATGCTTTTGTGGCTCTTTAGTTATGACATTGCACTGCAAAAACAAAACGACGAAAAAATGCCAACCAAAGCAACTAAAACAAGGCTATTGTTACATGATGGCCAGATTCTATATGTAGCTGCGAGAGGCCTTATGTCATCAAATATTTTAAACTCAAATTCATTTCATTTTTATCATTCAAGAAACTCTTTTGTATTGAATAGTCATCGTTTCATTTTGTCAAGAGTTGTTTTCATTTTCCATTTAAAGAACAAAGAAAAAGAGGAAAAGACACAAGAATCGAATGCCGGCAGTCGTGGAAGCAGCCCCTGGGATGTCGATGTTGCAATCAGATTCGTGACGTACACAGCAATGGGTTATGCCTGCAATTATATTGCCCCTATGCTGTTCCTCCATCTTGGAATCGTCGTATGAAAATTTTGATTTTATAACTTTCGTCTTCTGTTTAAAGATAATTATGATGAGTGATTTGCTTTGAAGTGGATCCCTCATTGACAATCATAGACTTAATTGTCACTGTATTGGTTTGAAATTTGTTTTTGTAATTATTTTTTTGTGCGGCCAAAGCCTCAATCTAACGGTCTTGTAGCTGAATGGTTTTCCTGTTTTTGTTTCCACTACGTGGATGCTACTTGCAATGCAAGGTTCCAAACTATTTTCTTTGTCACATGTCGGGTTTCTGCCTCTCTATTTGCTCAATTTTGAGAACATAAAATTTTCTTTGGTTTTGCTGAGGGCTCCAACGTATGTTAAAATGCGGAGAAGATTAACATTTCAGTCAAAGGTATATGAAGTCTATTAAATTTTCGGTCGAAGCAGGCACCTGAACTTCAGTTTTGAGCAAAAGTAACAATCAGAAATTAAAAACAAGTTAAGATGAATACTGTAGAATTGTTTTACTACTTATGAATGAATCCCCTTTCTAATTCGTTTCCCACTAGAGGAGAGATGCGTGTGTATTCCACGATAAAATACCCTGTGAATTTTGAACCTTTTTTCGAAAAGTCTCTTGAGCCTTGTTTAAAAATCTCCCCTTGAGCTGAGGGACAAAAATTTCCAAGCTTTTTTCCCGATTTTTCGACCTATTATTGTGACAATAAGCGTAGCATTTGGTATCCTAGTAAGTAAGATGACCAAACAGTCTCTCTGTACACATCCTAATTTTACAATTATATAACAGAGTTGAATAAAATCTTCTCAATCTTGTTGTTAGATTTCGTGTTGTGATTATGTACCACTGATGTGGTAAAAGCGTGTTTGTTTTGTATCGGTTAGAATATATGGACTACATGTTATTGTGCGTTGAAAGGAACTAAAGACAAGAATTTATAAAGTTGTAAACTGTTATCAGTATTTCCAATCGGTTAGGATGCGTTTTCTCTGGTTTTTTGCATTTCGTTACTCAGGTAACCTACTCGATAGAAAGTAGCTGGTCATCGAGAATTTGATATCAGTTTCCCATTCTTATTCTTTATTGATATTTTCGTTTTTGGGCAGCCCGTCGCTATCGTCAGGTAGCTCAATACATCCCAAAAACATTGAAAGCACGTGAAGGTCTGATTACAAGGGTCATGTGTGTTAATGGAAAATTGTTAATTAACTTAATTCTTAACCATTACATTTAATTTGATTGATTCCACAGTGATTTAGTAGATGTCACACTCATTCGTTTTCTCAAGCAGTTAAGCTTGATTCTTAATGATGAACTTCTTTGCCAGCTTTTAATTATTAATTTGTTTACCCAGTTTGACAACATTCACTTTGTTTAAAGTTCCATGTTTTCGTCAAATTCTTGATTTACTTTTTTGATTTGATGTTTGCTCCCCCATCGTACCCCAATGTTCCCCCACATGCCTCCATGGTCTTCCGCGTACCATCATGCTCCCAAACGTACCCTCGTGTTCCCAAACGTACCCCCCCCCCAATGCTCCCCCAAGATCTCTCATGCTGTCCCACCCACCCCACACACAACCTCAACTTATTATAATGGCCACGCAAAAACGAGTGTAATTAACATCAGCCATCGCTCTCACCTGACTATACTATTGATTTGGAATAATGATAACCGAAGGAGAACCGGCAGGTCGTGCTGTAAGATCGTTGCTTCTTGAGATAGTTCCACTGGAAACAAAATCCTTATTGGTATTCATGTAAATCGTTCTTTGTCAAATTAGTTCTTCGACGGAAAAGAAAATTTACCTTTATTATTAAGATTTGTTTCATGCGAGTAGTAATATAGAATCTATGAAAGAATTTTAACGGTAGTCTACGTAAACAATAGATACATTGAAGTAAACGAAAAATATAAGAAATTATGCGTTTGATGGATGTTTTGGTTGCTGAAAAACTTGCCTTCTTTCTTGTTTCGACAACTTACTTGAAATTGCTTCGCTGTATTAAAAAATCCAAAAGGACTGCGGCAAATGTTCTTAGTTTTTGCATAAGCGCTTTTGCTGCAGTGAAGAACGTCGCTTCGACATCAAACCCTCCCCCGAACACACCATATTGTGATATCTCCAGGACACTGTAGGGTCAAAGAAGCAAGTTTAATAATCATATCATTGTTACGCTTTTAAAATTGCCGAATTTTCGGGCTGCACGTGTTGCTGCCAATGATAGGAATATTGCACCGAAATTTTTCGTTGTTCCATTACTATGGAACAAAAAACCACGCCTTCTCGTACTGTTTCTTGAGAATGACATTTCTGACCACGCTATTCTAGAAGTAAAATAAAAATGTAATTTGTTCTCTGTTCTTTTTCCCCAAGCATCACGCTGGACTTGCGTAAGCATCCGGTCACTTTTTAGAAATGTGGTCGCACCGCTGATGCCCCAGGGCGCATCATAATTAGTCCACATCTGCTGTCTGTGGCATGTAACAATCACGATGGAATAGCACACCGTAGGCAATTGATTCCGTAAATAAGATTATTCATCTATTTTGTTATCAAATAGATTAACAATAGCCCAGCAACATAAGCTTAATTAATCTAATATCAACTGCATTGAAATATCCTTCGATTAACCAGATTATTATGGCTTAATTTTGTTGCAATGCAAATTAGGGCGTGTTCCTTTCAACCCAATCCTGTAACATGACAAAGATATGATCGGAAATCCTAGAGTGAAGATCAAAGAAGTACCATAAACTTACGCATTACCTTTTGAAAATACGAATGAGAATAATGATTGTTTATTCTTGTGATTAGAAGGTACTGGTAAGGAATTAAAGTTCAGGGGGTGTTTTTGTGTCAGGCTTTTTATCAGCAAAAGTGCATGGAAATATGAGCAGATTTGCTCTAAACGCCTACCCTTCCATTTTTCATCTTTCCATTTTATGTTTTTTCGCAAACTGTTTTGCAAAACGAACTGCTATGGCAAAGAAGATTTTTTTGAAGTACCCCATTGAAGAGTAAATTTTGAATATGTCATTGCTGTATTTTTAGAAGCAGTAATAGGTTTGCAAGAATTTTGCATAAGTTGTTTCAGCATTTCATACGGTGAGCACTTAACTACATTTGAAGGCGTTTCAATAAATACTGCTTGAAACCACTTCAGACGCCTAGAAATTTGTGTATTCTTTTCCTTACAATCTTGAAATTTTCTTTTTCTTGCTGCTTGATGTAGGATTCATGCACTTTAGGTATATTCATTGGTGTGTGTAAAACCAAGCTCGTGCCGTTCTAACTTCTGTCTGTTGATTTTGTTTGAATGCCCTGAGCAATCGCAATAATTGTGAAAAAGGTGCTATGAAAATGATTCACTATTAACGTTCTCAGGTTTATGTTTCATTTGTTTGAACACAAAGTTAAATCTTTTTCAAATATCATGCTTGAAAACTTTAGTTGTTTAAGAAAGTAATTTTTGCTTTCAAATTTACTACAACCTGTCAAAAAATATCTGGAATATAATACGTTCTAAAGAGAAAAATCGATAGTTGCCACTTTCAAATTTTTATTCCTAATTTTAAATTCGCGACCGCTTAAAGCCTGATAAGAACTTCGATAGTGAGGATCTTCTACGGCAAATATTTAAAATACGAATAGTTTAACCAGCTGAATATGGTCTCTCTGTTCCCCTTCCTCTCTGAATTGAAATAGGCTAAGGATGTGACCTGAAATAGTTGCTTTGTTTAGGCATGTTGTATTCTGTGCTGCTGCGAATCAAAAATTGTGATTTGAAAGCAAGGTTGCTGCGTAGGTATTTCTGTTGCTAAGTAACAGTTTTAATCTTATCCTAGAATTCAAATGACATTTTACTTCTAAAGCAAGAAAAACATGCTGTGCTGTCTCCAGATTTTATCATGGTCCCAGAAATCTTTTGTAGTCATTCTTCTTTGAACGATTCACCCACGTGCCGCATGCCATCACTTGCTGATCTTAAGAATTCTTGAACGTGAAGATACCATTTTATCTCACTTTATTGTTGATTACATTCAAAACAGCCCTGGTTTTACGTTGCAGTTAACTTTTGCCATGAATTGCTTTCTTACGACTGTTAATCACCACTGCCACTATTGGCAGTAAAGAAGATAGCTTTATTTCATTTATTCATACTCAGATAAGGACGAAAGAATTGATCCATATATCAGGGAATTGAAGCTGTAATGTGTATAAATCACTTGACCTTAGTAAACTTGTGGTATTTTGGAAGCTTGCGATAATTTCAGTTATCATGTCGAAAGATAGATGAGATAGGTGAACGAATGCACAAATAATTTTTGATGTAGGGAATTCTTCTGAAGGCTTGTGACAGTGGGCCATTTGTGACTAGGCATCTCATCGAAGTCCCGTCTCGTGGTTGGTGAAGGGAAGGCCATATTCGATGGCAGTTTCTAAACGAATGTTTGTTCTGCCCTGTGAAAAAATTTGCTTGAATAGAAGTCAAACAGTAAGTTCTTTAGAGAACCTAATAGTTCTAAGGTCGTGTCTTGATACAAAGATTTTCAATGTTCAGGAATTCATCTTATACCTAAACTTCTGTTGTCTGTAGAGATGGCTGTGTTTTGTATCGTATCGAGATTTTCGATATAAATTAATTTGTCAATTCAAATGTGTATTGTATTTTCTGGGTCACATTCACAACGTTCTTGTTTATGCCATTCTCTTACAATGTCAGTATCTTTTTCATCTTAATTGTCATAAAAAATTTATTCATTCTTTAACTTGGTCACGCGCCAAACTCGTCATATCAGTCATATTGTTGTCTTATCTTACCATTAGGGAACAGGTGAAATGAGAGAAAAATCAGATTGCTTTCCCGGGTTTATATACTTTTGCGTGTTTATCGTGATATTCAAGTTTGTTTGCGTATGTCTGGTCAGATAACATTGAACTAATTTCTCTTCCCTATGTGTTTAAAATATGGCTTTTTTGTCCTTTTACTTTTCTTTGGAGCCGCCAACAGCACGCCTTGCTTTCTTACCAGCTTTCTTCCTGTACGTTATGCTTCTATTTCTGTACTAGAAAGAACGTTATCAACGTGTAGGAGGCCAAGTTGCAGGCAGAATATACAAAGATGCACAATTTTTTGCGAATAAACCTTTTGACATGCCGAAAAAATCCCCATGTTTGTGAAAGTCTGCATCGCTTGTCAAGTTAACATATAGAGTGGCGACCCTCACCTCTTTTGAAGGCTGATACTCTTTTTGAAACTTATTTGCAAAAACCCAGTGCTTTTTCTCGTGTGTATCATTAATGAATAATTTAGTTGACCACTCCATTTTCGGCAAGAGATATCCCTGCTTGATGCAGAGAAATCCCGAAGAATAAGGACGGTTTGTCCCTTTTTGGGCATGGAAATTCTTGCAGAAAATGTATATCTCGTTTTTTAATAAAAATTCAGATCTGAATAGAATCTATAGTACAGTTAAACCTCACCTCACTATTAAAACTTTTACAAAGTTCCATCCTTGGTCATGGCTACACCCCAAGCTCCATGTATTATCGTTTATTGTTTCTGTGTCTTGCAGTTTACCAAGCTAGAGATAATAATGGTGATATACACAAAGATGACCGTAATTCTGTCAAAGAACCCTAATATGATCCACATTTTTAGCGAACGTTTGAACTAAACTGATATCTCTTCAATTCCTGCTACATATTGCTGAAGTGCCAAATTCGTTTGATGACTTTACGCATTTCCAGCTTCTTGTCCTTACGTATTAAGAGTATTAGTAATAACTCAAAGTACATTCAATGTGAAATTAAAAAATTGCAGATAAAGGCATTAACCATGCTTTCTAGATAAAGTTTGTGAAAAATTTAATGCTAAAGATTTGACTTCGATAAACAGCCAATCACTAGTTACAGGACTTTCAATCTTGGACTCATTGTTATACGATATATGACGATAAAGAAAACATCAAAGATAGGCTGAAAGTAATATAGTTTTCCTGCAAACGAATAAAAACTCAAGTTGCAAGAAAAGATAAGATACTTGTGAAGATCAAATAATAACTTAGGCCAAATTAACCAGAGCAATTAGGAATTAATTGCTGAAAGGAATCGCATGCATGGAAGGAATTAGAAAGTGATTTGGAAAATGGCTGCTCGAAGACTCCATAATTTTGAAACGATCAATTGAGTCGCAGCCCTTGGTGGAGGCGAAGCTCTAACTTCGTCTGCCATCTTGGACCAGTCTTACCTGCGTCAAGTGCCTTTAAAACTACCTTCAGATGATAGGTAAAGATAGTTACAAAGAAATACAGATCGAGCCACTACCCTAATATAGTCGTCAGTCCTTGATAGCTAGTTAATGATACATCCAGATTTTTGTTACGGCGACACAAGATTGGTTAAAATTTCAAAGGTGAAAACATTCTAACAGTTAACTTCTGATAAATCGAATCAGGTAGGACCACTTACATCTCGTCGACTTAAGCAACCTTTATGTTAGACATAGGTCCAATTGTTTTGTCATAGATTATGTATATGTTACTAAAAGTTTGTGGTTCTCGTTTGTGGCGCTCTCAGCTGCCATCAGACCCATAGATCGATTCAAACAACGCTAGAAATGCAAAATTTCATATATAATAGATTATATTAGCCTTGAAGATTTCCACGTATTAAATATTTGAATTTATTTATTTGTTAAAATTAGCTAATAAGCAATAAATTTCAAATATTTTACCAACGTAAAAAATACAGTTAATTTTTGTTCATGGCTTGATCAAGACTTAGGTTTCCGTTTGAGATGACTGAGATTTGATTTAAACTTGAAAAAAGGAGAGATTGTGATAAAATTTGGAACTACTTATAAATAATTTGTACTTTGTTTCTTGTATCAAAATTTTAACAGCTTAATATATCTGTCTATTTCCAAAGAAGATTCGTGCCAAGATATTTTCCTTTTCAGTCAGAACTAGAGAATGCATCTCTAGTTATGTGCTCCCTCAATTCAATTGAAACGCTCTTAGCTCTTAATATGAAATTAGATAAAAGATTGCTGATTAACTGCAAGAAGAAAAATAGCACAGATCATAAGAATTCAAATGAAAAAGCCAAAATCGTCATTTTTATCCATCGAGGCTTGGTTTTGAAAAATTTTTGAAGAGATTCTGTTAATTGAGAAATATTCACTCTATCTTTGCAATTCAGCTGCTTCGGTAATAGGTTGATAAGTTTTCAAATCCTGAAAAACAAAATACGAATTTTCATTTACATATAGCCTGCTCCATAACTTTGACACTATAGCTTTCTTCAAGATATTTCACTCAGCGCCCTAGTTTATTAAAGCTTCCTTGCATAGGTACTTAAAAATTTCTTAACATTGAATCTACTCAGATTCGGCGGCTGATTTTACTAACCATTGTACTCTTGTTGTGCACAATATCAGTAAAATGCTCATGGATAGTAATGATGCTTCAAACAGTGATAATTTAGTTGAAAGTAAGAAAGCAGTGAATATCAGAGAGCAGAAAACGGCTGTCTTCGAGAGCGTTTCTATAGTTTAAGGTAGAATCCCCTGCAACTCTCTATGAATAATTTCTAGCGGCTTAAATAGGCATGCAGTACTTCTCAATTTGAATGAGTGTGCACGCGCCCCCTTGTCAAGATAGAGAAAAGTGCTCACAAAGAGATAGAGGCAAAGATAAAAAAAATTTTATCAAACTCACCACTGCTCGTGAATATTTATTCTAGAGATTATCTCTTTGATGAATCTGATTATGGCAAATCTGTAAAGAGGGAATTGTGGAGCAGACTTTATAAGCATCGTAACTTGCTTTTCTTTTCTCCATCATACATCTGCTAATGGTACGATTTGAATATAACAAATTCTATTGTTATCTCTTTTTATATGCAATTAACATGTCATCAGAATCTCTTTATTCAAGTCTGCTGGATGTCTAACTAGATAAAAAGCCACGACTTGTTATGTTGGCAAATGATCTTCTGATTGGAGGACGACAGCATTAGAACAGCACAGCCAAAGGGAATTATGCTGTTTAACTGTTAACTGTGAGTAAGCATGATAAACTGCTTTTTTATTCTTGAAGAATTTAAGCCGCTTAGTCATTAATGTTTATTTACAGGTTTAAGAAGCTTTCGTTTCTGCGGTACAGTAACTGATATGCTAATACGATAAAGAGACTTATCCTCCTCTTATCCTTGGCTTATCAGAAACTCCTGTTAATAACTGTCTATGTCAAATATTTGAAGCTAATAATTTGATTAACTTGGATGGAACGGTCCATTTCCAGACAGAATTTCTCACTTCGAGAATAATATTTTGCAATTTTTTTGTTAAAGCACAAACAAGTGCGTTAAATCTAAGACGAATTTCAATATATTTCGTTACGAGCTTGTTTTCCTTGAATTGTACTTATATCCTTCCTCTTCGGGAAGTTTTTCGTCATCTTGGGCATTGAATTCATTGATGTATCAACAATAGAATCTCTAAGGCTCTCTAGAAAAACGTTTGCTACATACAGCTGGAATTTGGGCGAGAAAATTATAGAGAGAGGATTGTTACTGGCGAAAACCAAGTCCTCTTATTTTCTTGAACATTTCTAATTTTCCATTCCGGAAAGCAACCGTTGTTTTCCATCATTCTTCCAGAAAGAACATTAAAAGTATACTTTCTTCAGTGGCGTAGCTAGCGGTCGTGCTTGTCATGCCGGGCATGACCATCTATTTCCAGAGATAACATTTTTCAAAAAATTATATTTTCGTAAGAATAAAGTCATATTCTCCTGATGGCTCAGGCTATTCGCCTTTGGAGCCCTATGGTTCCACGCAACAATATGGAGCCCTCCGCAGGCGCTCTTCTATTGTCGGGCATGACTAAAACAGAGGGTTTCCAATTTAGTCATGCCCATAACTATGAGCATGACCAAACCCTGTGTTTTAGTCATGCCCATAACGCTGGTTCCCTATGTTTGGTCATGCCTAACAATAGGAGTGACGCAGGAGAGAACAAAGGCTAGTCATGCCATTTCGAGAGGGCATGACCATCATTATAATCATCAGAACCGCCCTGTGTTATTTCATGAACGCGAATGCGAGGCATCGATGGCGGCGCTGCTATGCCTAGATCCACGAGCTGGGAGGTAATTCTCTGTAAGTAAAATGCAAGCAAAAGCTTATTGCCAAGCAGCCACGACTCATGTTAATCTCCAGAACATTTTATGGCAATGAGAGGGTTTTTCAGCCTTAGTGGTTTTGCACTATGTGGAGAAGTGACAGGCACGAAAGGCCATTTTTGGGCATAAAATCAGCGAGCAGGATCATTTTATGCAACCAAACCAAACTCTCAGCCTTTTCAGTAATCAATTGTTACTAGTTGAACATTTGGAGAAAATCTTCTTGATTAAATGAATGCCAAATCTTGGTGCTGTTTCAATGGAGATGGATGGAGGAGATAGCAGTGTTATTTTCCAAACCAACAGATTTGAGAGCTTAAACTTTCCAGACATTTAGCAGCATATTCAGAAACTGTTAAGCCCTTTAAGAGCATTGTTACCATATTATGATTAGGACAATAAGGTTGTAGTTAATGGATAGGAATGCTAAAACTTGCTTAAAGTTATTCTTCAATTTTTTATTCATTATCACATGCAATAACACTGTTTTTACACACAATTAAAGTCAAACTCAAAGCTCTACTGACTTCACTTGTAATTGAAAGTACCTTTTTACTACTTATAGATGTTTAAATAAGATGACCAGCGACAAGTCAAGCATGTTACTGATCTTGTTAGTTAAACAGTTTTATTTCTTTATAACTTTTCATGTATTTGAAAATTTACAAGATCAAATTATTTCATTTAAAACCCTTGTTTGCTAGATTTAGTAAGGAAATCCAATCATGTGGATGTTTACCACAAGTATATGTGGAAACATAAATGTTTTTATCAAGCTAAACTTATTTTGCAAGGTATTTTTCTATTAAGTCTTAACTTTGCAGGAAACATTTTGCAACTAGGCCTATCCATTATTTTAGCTTCCTATATTTCATATCAATATTTACATTGCATATTCCTTTGCCCATTTGTTTTATTCATCTATCAGTTCTATTCGGGTTGTTAGTTAATCGTGATGGCTTTAACTTACCTTCAATAGATTGATAATAAGACTATTTGTGAAAAATATCACCAAAAAGCTCCCATTCAGTTTCATGTGATTTATTGTTTTATTTACAAATTTTAGCTTATCTCTAAACTTTACAAATGTATTTCAGCCTGCAAATTGAAAGAAATTAGGAGAATAACACAATTATTTGTTTAAGCTAAATTTATCTACTATACTAAACTAATGTTTTCGTATGTCTTCTGTACAGTTCTGTTTTGAAATTGTCAGAACTCTGTCTGTATAAATTACCAACAAACCAAAACAGTGTCACAGCTATAAGACACAAAGGTCATTTTATGGTGTAACAAGATAATAAGAAAAGCTCTTTCCAAAGGTTCATCAAACAATTTTTTATAAGTTGCAAGCCTTAAAATTAAAATTTCCCAAAGGAACTCATCAACTGAAAAATTGGGCGTGGCAGAATATGGCCACACCCATATTTTTTCAAATTTGAGGGAGGGCATGACCACTGCTATTTGGCTAGCTACGCCACTGACTTTCTTAGTAATAATAAATAAAATTTGATTTTTCTACACAAGTTACTTTAATGCAATCTTTATGTTTCAGGTAGCAATAATTGCAGTTTTAGAATGGGTGTATCTTCACGAAGTCTTTTGCATTTATATTTGAATTTGAATACAAAGTTCTTTTGCCTTTGCAAGATACTTTCAGTAAATCTTTGATGTTTTCTTTATCATCGTGTTTTGTGTAACAATGAGTTCGAGATTGAAAGCTCTTTGGCTAGACTTTGTCTGTATATCACTGTCAAAGCTTTAGCATATAGTTTTTACAAACTACATCTAGAAATTATGGGTTATATCTTTGTCTAATAAATATTTTCCAAATTCCTATTGGATGTACTTGTAGTTATAACCAATACTTTTGTGCCAGACTAGAAAAACGCAAGGACAGTCAACTGAGCGATAAAAACTTGCAATAGCTATGTTTGGAAAATACAGTGCTTACAGCTTTTTTAAATTTCTTCGATGGTGTGAGAAAATTTCAAACTTAGGTGTAATGGTCATCAAGGGGAGGTAGAAATTCGTTATTTTTTTAAATCTGCCGTTCCATTTATATTTAGCCAAAACTCCCAAAATTGTTGATAGATGTTGCTGCCCAAAAAAACTGAGAATTTACCAGGTCCTTTTTTATAAGACAACAGCTGAAGAATTTCGCAAATCCGTGAAACTTTGTAAAAATCCCTTATTCCGTGTAGCATTTTTGAGAAAATCCGGCAAGTTGGAGAATTCCATCGTTCCGTCGAGAAATTGACAGATTTCCCTAATCCGCACCAAGTTTCCTTCAAATTTCCTGACTCCGCAAACCCTGATGACCCCCACAATAGATACTGTGTTGATGATAAAAAAGTCTTTAATGCCTGCCTGCCAAAATAACTTGAAACACTAAGTAACTTGCGTTGTGTTTTTGTTTTTCTTTGCATACTTGCCCCTTCCCGAAGAGCAATGCTGATTGCTCAAGCTAGTATCAAACAAATTAAATGAAAAACGTAGATCTCAATCTATTGTGTTGATTTATAGTAAGCCAACATTGTTCCTAGTGAAGGGAGGATGATTGATTAACATTAGTGTTCCACGACTTTTGGTAGAGACTGTAGGAATTACCACTGTGGGATGCTTTTTGTCCAATGCCAAAATAATGGGTGAACTGAGCAGCAAAAGAGAGAAAAATACTCATTCATATAAATTTCATTTCTTTATTTTTAGAAAATTCATCAAAATTGCGAAAAATGTTTAGTAATCTGAGTCTTTACGTTGCCCAAGAACATACTATGGCTGCCTTCAAGAACCTGCATCAAACAACAAATCAATACTCCCCGTACAACACAATGGAATCAGTAAGCTCTGGCATGTTTGAGCCAGTGTTTCATCAAATACCAGCCTACCAAACATACGCACCAAAAGATAAGATAACAAGCGCTCGAAATGACATGCACATTTTTGAAGGCCACCGTCCACTGCATTTTCCATCCTTCCATGTTGGTCTTCCCCAGCGACTGCCGAGTCCTAACCGAGCACCAAACTGGCACCAAACAACTTCAATTCACCAACAGGCCCAGATGTCTCTAGGGGATCAGGAATCACTTCAGATTCCAATGGTAGTTTCAGACAAATGCCCCTACATGGATGATAAGAAAAGCAAGCCCTGCTCTTCAGCGATTTCATTATCCGACCACGATGCAATTCGGTCCGGTGAAACTGACCTGAACCCAAATAAACTTTGGACACCACAGTCGCAGGGCACCGCTTACTATGACCAAAAGGGCATTAGTGCAGGAGGTCTTCATAACTGGATCTATGAAAACCCAAATGTTGTTTTAGGTAAGCAGAAGTCTTGATGATTATTGGTCTATTCAGCAAGTATTCAGGAGGTTGGATTATACCTAAAAAAACATCATAAATCTGCCCATTTCATTATAAAAGTCACCCATGGCTGTCGCTACTGGGTCAGGGGAGATGATATTGAGGCGTGACACCCCCTTGGAAGAAGACTTCATTGTAAAAACGAGCAGTTTTTGCTATTTAGGGATGCTTGTCGGGAAATGGGATCGGGGTACCTCCCTTGTGCACAATAGCTAGCGACGGTCACTTCTTCCACTTTTGTTTATTCCCTGAAATCACAGGATCCTTTCGATGATTCTACCTATCAAAACATGTCTATCAATGAACCAGTGGACATGTCTATCAATGAAGCAAAATTTTTAGTAAAGACAGGATACCTTGAAACTTGTACACGCCATCTTACTGTCTGTTTTCCTTCCATCCTCATTAGTATAAACTAAGCAGCTGTTCCTTAACTAAAGGAAATGTCCATCTGCTTTAGGAAACGTACGAGAATGCGTTAACTGTGGAACTCGTTCAACACCGATTTGGAGGCGAGATAATTGCGGACAGTATTTGTGCAATGCCTGTGGCCTGTATCAAAAAATGAACAACACAAACCGACCATTGAGAAGACCTAGGAGAAAGATGGTACGTCACAAACTGTTTTTTTAAACCAGAAACCTTTCAACCACCTCTTGGTACCACTTCTAGCTGACGCTCTCTGCTGTCTCCCTATCGGTTTTCTTAATCTCTCCTATATCAACTTATCAAGCCCTAAAGTACACTTTCTTATTTTTGACCACTTATTCTTTTAAATTCTTTGACCGTAGACAATTTTTGTTAGCCCGGGGTAGATGCTAGGATGTATTTTTCTGTGATGTCACCCGACACATTATGATAGTGCTATATTAAGGTGATATACCCACAAAAGCACCTTTAAGTTCATTTTGTACCCTACTTTTGTTGGACTTCTGTCAGTCCAGGGTAACTTGCTCCTTGGAATCCCCCGCTGGAAGGCTGGGAATAAGAATCGTAAAAACAAAATTTTTAAAATGCAAGAATGAAACAGACCTGAAAAAAAGCATAGCAAGGTTTATTATACGGTAAACTCGACTGCAAGAAAATTTATACTAGGAATTTCCTTTCAACTTACCTTTCTCAATTCTTAACTTCCCATAATTGTTTAAAGAATAACTGCAAAACAAAAGGGTACGAAAGTCTAGCGAGGTTACCAAACGTCAACCATCTAGATCTTTCTGTTCAATTTAAATACTCTCTTTCAGTCAACAACAAAGAGGGCAGGGATGTCTTGCAATAACTGCAAAACAACAGAAACGACGCTGTGGAGGAGGAATGCTAACGGAGACCCAGTATGCAACGCGTGTGGATTGTACTACAAGCTTCATAAGGTAAAGCCACTTGCTAACTTCTTGAACGACAAGACAGTGTTCCTAAACTGAACCCTCCTTCAACTATTTTTTTAATATCCTTCCCCGAAGTAAAATTTTGCTCTGCCAAATAATCTATCAGCTTGCTTTCAAAAATTTCTCAGCAGTGAGATATTTTGGTGATTTTGCAGGTAAATCGTCCTATAACTATGAAAAAGGCCAGTATCCAGACGAGAAATCGAAAATCAAACCAGTCATGTAAAAAGCAACTGAAGAAAGAAGATGCATCAAAATTACCAACAAGGCAGATGGACTTAGACTTTTACCAAACTGCAAAATTCTTGCAGCAATGGCCAATGAAGAGTTATAACTAAAGGTCGTTAATATTGCTATCCACATAAAAACAATAAAAATCTACAAAGAGAAAGCGTAGACCGTCCTTTTTGCAATGTCAGGGAAAATGCAATGTGTTTCCTTGTGATAGTTATTGATGTCAGACAAACGGAAGAATATGGAAGTTAGAGTGGAGCGAATCTGTACCGTACTGTATAAGATTTTTAATTCTTCAATGTTGATGAAACATTTGAAAATTTGATTAATATAAATATTTAGTTTATTAGGATTATTAATTGATTAACAAGTAGAAGGGACGTATAAGAATAAAATTTATCGAATATTAATGTAATCTATAAGATTAACTTTGAGGAATCAAAATGGTAAAAAATTCTGAGAACAACCAGATATATCAATGAGAGTTAATTTCTTGTGTTCTTTAATTTCTTAAGCCATTTGTTGGTGGTGATGAATTTGAAATGATTTGAAAGCTTCCGTTTTTGTCAAATCTATTTTTAATTTCTTAGACCTTAGATTTGTTAATTCTAATATATAAATACGAAGATTAGTTGCTATGGAAGAATTATATGCATATTGTCCTATCTTAAGATTTGTAGGAGCTACAGGAACGAAAAGAAACAATCCTGAAATTATAGTCAAAATTATATTCTTGATAAAAAACTAGAGAAGTAAGTAATTTTTAAAATTGAAAGAACACTGTGATGAATGTCAAGTTATTACTCTGGATTTCACAACAATCTTTTGATCCATAACTAAGAAAACCTTTAGAGATATCTCAAATCTTTTTCGTCATCATTCATGGTCAGTTTCTGTCGTCTTTAGAGACAAAAAACTTCAACGTCAGCGAATTAAAAAAGTCCTTAGAAAGTCTTAACAATAAAACTTTAAGTTTTGCATAAACGTGACCACTTTAGTGAAATAAAACTGTTTCAATCAATATTTTAAAGGTCTATACAAAAAATCACTTCTATCTAGATCTATACAAATACATATAAAAACAGGATGCTTACCAATGTTTCTTCTTTTGCAAGAAGTTGACTTCGTTGATTTTAATGGGACTCATCATTAAGCACAAACGGACGATTTTTCAGTAATCTTTGATAACTACAGTTTCTTGAATTTTATAAGCATGAATTCTCATAATTGATTTGCTATGAAAATTGACTTAAGATAATTAACCTGATTTTTTTGGATATTTGGACACGTTTTTGCTTGACAAAAATACTCCATGAAAGTGATTTCCTTCACATTTGATATAAGTCCTTGTTTTGGAGGTGTTGTCAACAAGGCACTTGCCCAGGGAGAGTTTTCTTGATATCCCAGAATTCCTCTGATACCACTTGAAAAATCCGCTTACTGGACTACGCAACTTACTTAAAAAAGAGCAAATATTCAATGTTTATAAAAGAGATACACCAAAAGCACCTTACGTTCTATTTTTTATGTACTACCCTTGAATTTAAGAATATTATTACAAGCGTTAAAGTTTTTTACTTTTGTTTCTAATTTGATGTCCCATCAATAAAATTCCGGCAGCTTTTACTAATCTTAGGGCTTTTAAAATTAAAGAGAGCTCAAATTAGACAACACTGCATTTAATTTTTTTTACTGACACGCTTAAGAAGGCGTTCCTAAATTCTTCAACGCAATGACTTTTGAAATTGTTATGACAAATTTCTTACATCCCTATGCAGTAATATAAGTAAAGACTTCTCTATCAGTACAAACGTAAAAGTCTTAGACTCTGTATAACTGGCTAATGCTTGTTAGGACCGTACATCTCTTGAATAGGGTCGCCTACACACCTCGTCAAAGACTGATATTTTCTTGGTTACGATATGGCCAATTGTTGTTATAAGAATCTGTCTGTAAAAAATGAGATGGCAAAAACTAAGTGAATAATATTGATCACCCACAACTTTAAGAATTGGTCCCAATTTTTTTTCTTTAAGAAACTGCTCAAAAATGATGTTTTTAAAGATGAAATAGAGATGATTCTTTTAGACGATTAGGCGCCTACTTCTGTCTTAATTGAGCTTCATAATAGAGCGCAGAGCTCTTTAGGATTGATAAGCTATTCTGTTTATTTATTTTTTTGCGTTCAAAAAAAATTAATATCGTCAACTCTTTGTATTTAAGTGGTTCTTAAGAAACTTTTAACGCTAAAATCAACAGTATCTTGAGAGAATGAATACAAATCCTTTATTAACTGCTGCAAAGATAATGAACTTTTCATCACAGTACAACAACTGCACTCTACACAGTGACCTTGATGCCACGAAAAAGCTCCAAGAACAAATTTAAAGATTACAAAAATTCTAGGGTATATTTTTGTCTAAGGGCAGATCGATATCTAAGAAGAAAATAATTTCTCTAATTGTAACGATTTTTTTTCTTCCTAGGAACTGAGGGTTTGTCAAAAAATCTTTGCAAAGGCCAATAAAGTACACTTGATAGCAATGTAATCACTAATACAGTGTCTTCAAAAGATTCAAATTATCTTAGCTGTTCTCCCTTTTTAAGTGGCTTTCAGCCCTCAGTTTTCGGATGCTTTTTTCTTTGAGGTATGATGAGGGCCAATGCTTGTTGTGTTAGGCACCTTAGCAGCTTGAATTTTTGTCTTTGGTTCATCATCCCAATTTTGCTCCTCTTCGGGAAGGAAGTAGTTTTCTGATGGTTTTTTGCCTTTCACTTCTAAATCTAGAACGTGTGTGGATTTGTGAAAAATTTAGTAAACGAATAGACATATCTTTTAAATAGAAAATTGTTCATTTCTATTCATAAATGCACTTCTTTATAAAAGGTTTATTTCTTGCTACTATAGAGTTTCTGCCAGCTATTTACAAAATTTTTAAAGCTATGGATTCTGAGAGTTAGAAAAATCAAGAAATATCCTCTGTTGGTTTCAATCTATTTGTGAAAAGCTAAAAAAGTTGAATGTAGGAAGTTTCTGTTTTGTAGTCCTTTCTATAGATCAGTTTAGATAAAATATACTGTAACTAATTGTGGATAAATGAAATTTGTATTGTTTATTTTCTCAAAAAGATGCTAATACAGGCCTCTTGCAGCCCCTACTAAAAACAATCAAGGTATTGTTAAAAGCCTGGAGAGAGAAAGAGTATATTAACGATAAAGTATCGCTACAATATAGCCATAGTTAGGTCTTCGTACGTTTTTGAATATTAACCGTTTTTCAGGAAAATAATCTATAAAGATAGTTCCCTGTAGGTCTCCTTTTATTCAAATTTCAAAATGACAACTTGTCTAAAAACCCCTATCAGCTTTTCGGCGCTCTTGTTGGATAATTTTAGATATCAAGGCATTTATGACTGATAGCTTAGTTCCAAAGAACATTAAACGTTTAACTTTGCATGCATTTGAAATAATCAGACGGATGCTTGTAGTTTCCAGACTAAATATAATGCTGACCAGCTCGTTCATTTAACTTGGCATCTGCCAACGACATCTTAAAACCGATTTGCTGTTCTTCAGTCATGCTTAGGCCCAGACACATTTTATAATTTACAACGAGGGAACAACTACCTGTATTGTTGTGACTGTAGGGGCCAGCGTTGGTTTCCACAAACCTGGACATTCTCCTTTTCTTTAATGCAAGTCAACGATATTATCTTCCAAAAACTTGAGAATGTTTTTTATATTAATATGTTTCTGCTGATGCCACACGTTATTTCTCGCAATAAACGGGCACGTGAACAATGTGAAAACTGGAAAGGCCCATCCCGAAACGGAATTCATGAACCTCTGGTTATAAGGAATGATGATTATTATATGGAAGCTTACATTATTAAGCAGTCTTTCTGAAATAAGTGGCATATAAATCTCCAACACTAGTACAAACCTTTTCTGTACTGTGTGTGACTTAGCTTTGCAACGTTGCTAACAAAGTAACTCTGTTTTCATACTTACATGAAGAATCTTTTTAAGATATCGAATAACTTCATCTATCTCTATGGTGGTAGCTTTTTCACAAGGTTCATTTGCATCTTTCCTCCGTTATTTCAGCCAGTCACGAGGAAATTATAATACACCAACCTCACAGGATCTTATCAAGAGCATTTATTGGAAGCGATGTCAAGATTGAATGAATACTAGGAAATCACCATGATACTTTCCACATAATGCCAAATTTACCTTTTTCTTTCCAGTTATCATTTGTTTCGTTGCATTTCAAAGATCTCCACAGCAAAGCTTTATATCTTTGTGTTCTTTGAGAAGCAACACAGCTTGCATTGCATAAACAGAAATGCTTAGTTACCAATTCATAAATGTTTTACTTCCAGGAACAGCTCCAATAGCTTGCTTTTCATGACTTTTGAAGAACAATTCATCCGCCACAATACCCAATACAGGTGGCAAAACCAACAAGTGCTCCATATTGATGTACAGGCTCAGAATGTGGAGTTTCCTACAAAAAATTTGAAAAGGAACACTTTGGACAGTCTTTTATGAATTTTTACGCAGTGTTCCTGGAACAAAAGTGGATTGTTCTGACGTTTTCTTCAATACAAAGGTAAATGTGAACTCAAAGCTTACTGCAAATGTTGAAATGATTAAAATCTTATGCACAAAGCTTACCGTGAAATTGAAAATCTACGTGCTTTGTCAAACACTTTTTGGATAGGCCTACTTGCCTAGTCTTGTTCCAAAAAGCTAGATCTGGATAATCCCTTGTTCCATTGTTTTCAGACTTTGAAACATAAATATTTTGCTTATGTTCTTTTTCAGATAATAAAGATTAATTCTGTTGCTGTATTTCTTTTGAGAAAGCCTTTTTTATATAGCAACAAAAAGGAATACCCGTCGATAGAACAATCTATTCGTTCTTCGATTGTTTATTCATAGCACTTCTCGACTATTTTATCCTCTCACTCGACAGATGCACAACAAGGCAAGTCATGGCAAGTTTGAGGAAGTCCTGAAAATTCGTTTCAAGAAATAAAATCATGTTACGCGGATCAAATCTCATTATAAGTGGATCGATCTTATGGCCATTGTAGAGAAGAGAAAATCTTGAACTAACGGACTGCATTTCGTCAAAAATCATAAAAACTTTAAATATAAGGTGAGTTTCCTATCTTTTATGATGTATCTTGCAACACAAATCTGATCAGATCATATTGCAAGAAGCAACTGATACGAGGCAGTTCATGTGCGAGGTCAGACATCATGTAACATGGCGAGCAATTTAGCGAGAAGAGCAGCATTAGTTTGCAGAAAGTAGTTTGATTACTTCCCATTTCTGGCATAAACAAGCAAAGCGATAAATAATGGGCAACCAAGTTCGCAGAATTTATTGTACGTTTTTAAAGGAGTTTTATATTACGAAAAAAGTAAATGGTCCTAAACTTGCGGAGAATAACAATGTGCACGTTAATTTATTTAAAAATGTGTAACATTTAGTGGGCCTTAGGTGTCAAAGGCCCAGAGTTTTTAAGATTTGGGCAGGTGAACGCTTCTCAAAATATGCTAGATATTTTTGATAGTCAAAGTAATCCAATGAGCTTCAACGTGTTTTCATAACTTACTTACCATTTTTTCAGCTAAATAACACCTTTTTTTCCCTACCATACTGCTTTGAAATTCTGTAACTTGAGCAGCTTTTGCCTTGCCCTACTTTTGGGCATTATTAGTAAGTCTTTTGAGGCACTTTCTGCAGATGAGTTACACTGGCTATACTTTCGAATATCTCACAGTGCGTTTTTACAAGATGAGGTGTTTTGGTTTTTTGCCAGATGCTGTGTTTCCAAGATCAGGGAATGTTCAGGATACAAATGGACATGATAGAAGAAGTGACACTTTGGCGATCTCAGGGAGGTCATTCCAGATCAGACTCAGCTATGCAGGCCTACCACAAGCTCAAGTTGGGAGTGATGAGGAAGAGATCTAGCCATGCAAATTAGAGCATTTTCAAATGAAATTAAGCAATGCATACTGGCGTTACCTAAAGAAGAGTTTGAATGAATGCCCATTCATAAACAATGTAAGCCGGGAAAGCATTTGTGCCAAGAACCATCTATTTAATATTCCTTTGCTTTACAGAAATATTCGAAATTAAGAGGTGGGATACAAATGAATTATAACGATTCCTGAGTACTGTTCTCTTTTGTTAGTAATACACTAATTAGTTTAGTTGGTAAGTAAATTTTTTTCTTAAATCTTTCAGGATACTTAAAGTTTGTTTATTTTTTCTTATTCCTTGGTGAATAACATTAATGGAAGTTAATTTTAACAAAAAAGTGCAACGTTTTTCAAAAGAGCGTAAGATCATGATTTGATTTTAAATATAAAAACTTGTGAAAAAATGCATAAAATAGATAAAAGGGTGCATCTGTAACAAGGCTACCCCCTGATTGTTCCTTTGATTTGGGGACGTACTTGGCCAAATATCGATATTATCAAAATATTTTACACCAAACTTTTTTATATTCTTGCAACAAAGGTCGCGCGAGCATTGCAATTTAACTTAAGCTTGAAACTTTGATTTGAAAAAGTCGTTTGAGGTTTGCCTGATGCAAAAATGGCATTTACAAAGCATGGGGTACTTTTTTCAAGCCTATGAAGCCTTTTGTTAAGTTTTACATCTTTATATATTTATATATTATAAATATATATATATAATCAATAACATGATTGCATTTTAGAAAACACAAGAAAGACTGATATGATAGTTGATACGAACTCGAAAATTTTTATCTGAATTTGGACCAAACAGCATTTCCCGACCTGTTAGGCCGCTTGTCTCCCTTTCCCTTCAAAAACCATGCATAAATTATGGGACTCTACATAAATTGATATGCCAAATGTGATTCAATTTTCTTAACCTTGCAATGATAAAAACTGAAGGTTCTTATTTAATTTAAGCATTGTCAGAAAAGACTTTTTGAAAATATTGTAAATTATCAAAACCATACCCTCAAATTTTTCATAGATAATTGTGGATTTCCGCATAAGTTGGAATTTCTAACTATAACATGACATGCTCAAAATATTCTATTCTGGTGGCAAATGCTTTCTGAAGCGTTTTTAAACAGATTTCCTTCAGAAAGTTTTTATTCAAAAGCCATACACTTTTCCTCACAAATTGTCGTGTATCTGCATGTAAGTTTGTTCGTGTAATAGTCGAATAGTTCCAAGAAAAATTTTGTTGATACAAAATTTGAAAATGGCTTTGAAAAAAACAAACATTCACAAGACATTCTAAAGATTTTTGTCCGACTCTCTTCAGAGTATGAAGCAATTATCAAACTAATTTCCAAATACATTTATCCAGCTATGGACCGGCCATTTTCGATCCACAGCTGGGTATGCTTTTGCCATCTTCATCTATAATACCCTGATTCTGACACTCTTTCCGAGAAGCGTCAGACGATTAAGCTTTAAGTATTTTACAAAATGTTTGCCTTTTCAAAGCCATTTTCAAATTTTTCGAAAAATGTTGTATTCCAGCCTAACGGCATTGTTCAAGTCCGACTGTTCACCAGAGATAGAAATCCAAGTTACATAGTTGAAAAAGTAGTATGTGTATGATGTGACCTGTGGACGAGGTATAAAGCTCTTTATATCTTAAGTGCTTAGTATTTTAAAACTAATTGTCAAATTAATCAAGACAATCTACTTATTTTGGCACAGTGAAACTATTCTCTAGCATCAAATTTATAAATTAAACATAGCAATCATGTATTAATCTGGATGCCTTTATCGAAACTGTTTGCATTTTGGGTAAAGTTTTTAGGTTAAACTAAAACTTCAAACCAATGAAGTGTAAACTAATGCTATTTTGGCGGCCTTCAAATATCAATTTTTCTTATTTATCAATCATGAAACGTTTTCCTCAGTTTTAGTCTCTCCAAAATTTTAAAACCAATTTGCTTTTATTTTATTACTTGGTGCAATACCTTTTTAATTAATTGCTAACTTAAAGATGCAGTGCCAACAAATGTATTAAATATAACTACAAGATACATGCTTTTGTCATGCTATTGTTAGTGATGCAAAATGCTAGTTTTTCAATTTAATCTCAATGTCTAATTCTTCTGCAAATCTCCATTATTCAGTTCTTCTGCAAACCATGTATGTTTCGCATCTAGCCAAGTAATGCTAAACGAAGCCTGGAAAAAAGAAAGAAATCATCAAGTACAGGCAGGGACGTCCCGAAGCCTTCGAGTTGGACGTAAAACAGAAAAGGGAATCTATAGATACATTGCAAACTTGTATACCTTGATTCATTACGTAGACGACTTCTTCGGGTTTCAACAGGTAGCCATCCCAAATTGCCAAGTCATCGAGTTGCATAGCCCAGTAGTCATTAACCAGGGGATACAGTGTTCCGGCTCCTATTATAAGATCTGGGTGGCCTGTTGGTGATGCAGAAGTTGTTCCATACGTTGTACCCTCTGCCACAATCTTACCATTAATGTAAAGAACGAGTTTTGCAGCTAAAATCGAAATTTTGTTTGAAAATAACATGGATTTATCTTTATGTGCCTATTTTATTTGCAATAAAAGGAGACATTGAAGTTCAACTTAAGCAACTCCGAGGGAAGGATCACTCCATGAAAGGGCGTACGAGATTTAGGTTATTCAAATGTTTGCTTTTTTAAGCCATTTTCAAGTTTTGTACCACAAAAAGATTGTTTGAATAAAATATGTGTAAACGACGACTTACATTTCCAGTTGCTGGTTACAGTCAGATGCGTCCAAGATTGCAGTGTGTCAGGCAGTGAAGTCTTAGTAGATAGGTGTTTCTCGGGTGCTACAAAGCGGGCAATGATGGATTTTGCGTTGTTGTAAACACGCACAAGAAGACCTGTGTTCCATTTCAACCTTCCTGTACCAATAACAGTTTGGTGCCCAGGGTTTGGAGAAACAATGCGTAACCATAGAGATAAACTACAGAGACCAGCCTCTGGATTACTGAAACAGAACGGTATTGGTAAGTAATTCGTGATAAAAAAGAACGTTTTCTCACAAGTTATTACTAGCAGTCTATCTAGAAATAAAAGGCACCATTTAGGCACAAGATCAGAAGGGAGATGTATTCAAAGCTAGCCGGTGTAGCTCTCTCAAAAACTTGCCATGCTAGCTCATCAGCTCTCGTAAACATAAGGGTATGCCATGCTAGCTCATCAGCTCGCTGATTCACCAGGCAGAGCAAATTAGGGCCTACAATGATACATGATAACATTTTGGATGGTATATGAGGATGACACATATACCATCTTCAAAACAAAGGGTGAGTTTGATACTTTCCTAAAACGTCATAATGGCCTAAACACAGCCCTACAGTTTACATTTGAAAAGGAAGAAAATAACTCCTTTCCCTTTCCAGATGTTTTGGTTGAAAAGTCTGGCGCTGGATTTCTTACCAGTGTGTACCGTAAACCCACATTTTCGGGGCTATACACTCAATGCAGTTCGTTTTGCCCAAGCAAAGAAAAATCAGCCTCATCAAACTGCTTACCCATAGGGAACTGATGATTTGTTCCAAGTCTAGACTCGGAACTTGAACAGCCAAAAAAGAATTTTCTGGAGAACGGCTATCCAGAGGATGTCATTTCAGTTTACATTAAGAATAAGATGAAATAAATGAAATAATCTCGGCTGAAATAAAATTTGGTCCGCAGAAGTGCCCGATCTATCTATAACTACCCTGGATCGGTAATTGTTCCTTGGGTTTCGAAAATCAGATAAAACAGGCCATTACAAATTGTTTCTTTGCCGTGAATCCACGTATTCTTTACAGTGCAAAAAGGCAAAAGGATTGCGTTCCTATCTCACAAAAGAGTTCCGTTATACACGATTCTCGTTACGTAGGACGCACTACCCGAAGATTGGAGGATAGAATAAAACAACATGTTCCGTCTAGTTTTAGAAACAAAACTCATCCCCAAAGAAAACAGCCACCTCGGTCCTGCCACCTCGGTCCTGCCACCTCGGTCCTCTCACCTTGGTCCTCTCACCTCGGTCCTGCCACCTCGGTCCTGCCACCTCGGTCCTGCCACCTCGGTCCTCTCACCTCGGTCCTCTCACCTCGGTCCTGCCACCTCGGTCACTAAAACATGCGATTCTGCTATCGGGCAGCATTTACTTGAAAACCCAAATTGTGCAAAAAACTATAGTGGCGACATGTTTCGGATTATTGGTAAAACCCGATGGTCGTTCCATCTAGCAGTTCCATATAAGATTTTTGCATTTAATTCTACTCAGCTGCCTTTACGTTGTAAAATTATGGCTTGAAAACAGGCAAATATAGCAAATTTTGCATTTATTGGAACAGTGAAATTTTGACACTTCGCCGGATCCAAATTCTGTTTAGAGCATGCATCTTGAAATATCTGATTTGGAAAATCTGAGCAAAAGTTCTTTGAATAGTTGCTTAGCTAGAACCATTACACAAGATGAAAAACCTGAAAATGGTAGACTATTGTCTGCCTCGATCTAAAAAAACAATTATGACATTTGGGATTGCTTGTTTATAAAGTTCTAAATGTCTTCAATTTGACTTCTACTATGTATCACCTACTAATGGCTTAAGTTCGGAAAACATGGAGGTAATATGGTCAAAAGCCATATGGTAGGCCATTATTACCGCAATCGGAGCATTCGTAAAAAGGATGAAGGTGTTGAAACGAGCTATAAAACATACATTGGAATTTAAGACAAATTATGCAGTTATTTAGGAAAAAACCTTATACTGATTTTGACTTTTGGTATAAGTGAAGGATTGCAAAATGATCACAAAATACTTCGCAATCTTTTATCGTAGGTGTAGTTTCCTATATAAATAATGTCGGGCTTTTGAGCTTCGGTTTCGACAAAATAGGAGGGCAATTGCCCACCAGTTGCCCACATGATTTCAACTACTGGATACATTCGCACATATATTTCCTCTCGTCTCGCAAGTCTCGACATTAGTATATGAAACTATACAACAACCAGCTCGACTCTGCTGAATCTGGTATCACTATCCTATTTGGTACACAGACACTCGTATCAGAAGGCAGATAACATAACAGTTTCACCACCACAAGCCTAGAAACATCAGGTATTTGCCTGTTATTATCACTTAGGTCTTCTCATATTAGATCGTTTTTAATAAAGATTTATCACATATAATTATCACATAGAATCATCTTTAAACTTACTTGATACAGCTGTCTTGAAAGTTACCCACGATAGCACCAGCATTGATACCAACAATTTTCAGCACTTTGCCTGGCCGGTCCAATACAGTACCGATGGTTGCACCGTTAATCATTGTCAAAACATTATTCTCAATTCTATCCTTCCCCCTGTTATAGACAGTTTTTGTGGGATTTCCAGTTAAGGTGGTTTCAAAAGCAATGAAAATATCAGGCTGACATGGAGATTCTAGAAAGAATGTTACATGAGATATTTTACTTTCATGCAGTGTAAGGACAGAAAAAATTATATGTCACTTAACCAGAGCAGGAATAGCCCACATGGCACCACTAGATGTTTAATTTTGAAAAGAGTGCACGCACTTAATGTATCTTACAACAGGCATAAAATAGGTCTGAAGAAAAAGATAAGAAAAACTGATAAAAACGATGATAAAAAAATCACAGCAAGAAAAGTTAAAATCAATCTCTAGTGTAATAATCGAAGAAATATGTTTTCTTAATTAACGAAGAAGCACTGGGCAGATGCAGTCTCTTGTTTTTTTCTTTTTCTACCTCGAGGAAATTATTTTACTAAAAATCCAGAACAGCCCTTATAAAAAATGCTCAAAACAAGTTAGAACTAGTAAACATGCAACCTTAAGGCGGGTTGTTATAAAATGGTGCACAACTTTCCTTTGATATTTCAGATAAACCTTCTCAGATATATTCTCGAAACTGAAGGCAAATTAAGACAAATTCAGAGCTGCATGAATGCAAAGCATAGTTAATGAAGTACAGTGACATGTATTCCACTTTAAATGCCGACCATTTACCGATAGTATTCTAAAGACTAAATGGAGCCACGGTTACGTCTTCAGTTAGCTGGCCAGATATTGTTTTATAAATGGTACAGTTATAAAAGGCCCCCAACGGGTGCAAAAGAAAAGCTGTAGCAGCTTTATACAAACCTTGTGTGCAGTTGCAGCTATATCCAATACTTGAGTGGCATGAATCCATGCATAGGCAAGGGTAACAAGGGTTGTAGGACAGTTTTCTACAGTGCTGGCCAATCTGCAAAAATATTATCATTATTATGATTATAAACCAGTATGGGTACTATTACAGTCTTGGGTGTATATAAATTTTTACATAAACGGGTGTATATATGATTGAAGATTCTACATATTTTTTATTCAGTAATGTACGATTGCTTTTAAGTTTATAAATAATGTATAATTGATTTAAAAATAATATGATAGGTATAGTGTTGTTAGAATTATTTGGTTAAGTAAAAAGTACTTAGCCATTGACTGGGATGCTTGATCGCTTTAGGACGAGGATACATAATTTCGTAACTGGTATTTTTGCTTTCATCTGAAATTTCGAAAAGCACCAGGAAAGTAAAGAAAAATAAAGAATTGGCATGATTGCTAAATTTGTCTGGGCCCAAGTAAAAATTTCACAAAAAAATCTTGCTTGAGGGGGAGTCTTCTGCCCCCAGCAATTGCCTCCCTGAGAATTGCTTATTGCTAGATCTATATTTCATTTCGACAAATTTTGAAATACACGGGGACTATAGACGAAAAGCAAGTATGCTAATCACCCAACCTGTGATGAAAATGACCCAGTGTCATAATAACTCCAACCTTCCCTTGCTACAACATCCTTCGTGTTTCTATCATTCGACAGAAGCTCGCATATTGATTCAACTGGTGAAATAGTTTTGTAATTGAATGCTTTACAGCTTTCGTTCTTCACGCAAAACTCGATGCATCCAGAAACGCCTTCTGAGGTTGTCAATGTTACAGTATTGTCGCCGTTATTAAGTGAATGATTTGATGCAATTTTGTAAAATGTTGCTTCTGTTCCACATTGATGTCGAATAATATTTTCTGCAGTCACGCTAAGTGACAGAATGCCGCATAAAAGAACGAAGGCTGCCAGCATCATCTTTCCAGAAACGAGCAAAAGCTGGTCCTTCTGTGTCTCTGACAGAAAATGTTATTGCTCAAGAATAGTCTGATTCTGTCGAGTTTTGATCACATCTTTATACTCAAAAACATTGGTCTAAAGCGTCTTTTAATCAACAGTAGAACAACCAACAAGCGATTGACAGATGTCTTAAGCCACTTAATATCTGTAGATTGCTTTCAAGAACGCCGCCAGTTCTCGGTGTAAACGAGGTCTAGCCGGCATAGGTTGTCTATTCATAAATTTTCAACTTGATTTTTATCAATTAATTAAGATAAGGTGCATTAAAACTTTTAAAGTCATGATAGAAGTTAAAGTACGTCGTAGAAGTATCAAAATATTGTCTAGCTTTGGTTGTTGTTGTTGTTTAAATAGTTAATGCTGTTTAAACAGTTTATGGTGTTATATCAGAAATTCATAAAGTTTTTCTAGATGATGTTGACCCTGTCGGGTGCCTATACAAAGTAAATGCATCTTGAAACAGAAATGTAACATCTCGTGTAGCTCAAAAACAGAAAAAAGATACATGAAAAGGTGTCTTTTATACATGAAAAGGTGCCCCTTATCTGCACAAAGATTTCATCCATAAAATTGCCCATCATATTATCAGCCGAACATTCTTGCTATGCACTGAACTTGAATATTCACAAAAAGTATATTTCCAACAGGCAACTGCGTCAGCATTATCTACAATCTGAGAGGAATGAACCTTGTAGTTGAAGGATGTTGTCGTTTCTTACAGCCAGGCCAGAGTGTTGTGGAACTTTAACTTCATTTGCACTTTTACCGTGCATGTTAATATAGCAATGGATCTTAATTAGGCACTTCTATGCACAATGGACAAATACTCCTATGCTAGATCAAGTCTTTGCTGTGTAATCTGAAGATTTCACAGTCTTATAGGGTTTTTTTGCAGACGCTGATGTTGGAATGCGGCAATGATGTGATTTGATTTCCACCAGATGTCGACAAACGAACAGAGCTTTTTGCTATGCGGTTTCTGAAAGTTTTTCTGAAGTTCGAAAGTAACAAGTCCCAATCTTTGCCATTAAGACTTAGATTGTTCATTTCTCGACAATTCTGACCACTTTCAATACCCAATCTTATGTATTTTCGACCGCGATTTTACATGAACTTTAAGACAATATCAAAACTAACTTACAGACCAGCCTAACAAATCAGGAAAATCACCCTAACCGGAGAATCAGAATGTAACTTATGCAGTTCACAGACGCACAAAACCGATCTTGGAAACGAGCACATTTTACGACGGCATGAATATACGAATGATGGCTAACTACTGTGACATGTTCAACGGTTGGGCTTTGTTTAATCAAAATTGGTATAGCAAAAAGTACTTAAAATTACGTATATACAGTCGCTGTCTTCTTTCCCTGCTAATTTATATATAAAAACAAATCCTAAATACGGCCAATAACGTTATAAAACGATATTCAAAATGTACAAATATATTTGAGGAAATTACAAAAAATCGTTAGATCAAAATATAGAATTTGGAAAGGCTTTAGTTTTAGCTACAAGGCTGGGGCAGTTCTCAGTTATCAGCTTTCATACAAAAAGAAGCACTGGATCATTTATTGAAAAAAACTTGAATTTGAATGAATTTGGTAAAAAGTGAAAAATCCTCAAAGCTTTCAAAATTCGGCAAAAATTGCTCTGGAAAGAAAATTGCTCTGGTAAGAAAATTGCTCTGGAAAGAAAATTGCTCTGGAAAGAAAATTGCTCTGGGAAGAAAATTGCTCTGGAAAGAAAATTGCTCTGGAATGAAAATTGCTCTGGAAAGAAAGTAAATTTTAAAATCCTGATAACTGAGTACCATCTTACTTTTAGACATCCCTACTATTTACTTTATACTATCTGACATTTATAAATCCTTTTATAAATCAAAATTGTTGTGAAAAAATTGTCCCTATTCTGGGCCTAAATAGCCGAGCAATACCTTTGATCAATTGGCACCAACGACACAAAAGTGCAACAGATCTTAGAAAATTGTTTGGCGAGTTAAAACCTGCTTTCCTTTGAATTTACATCGTCACATATGCCCTCCTGAGAGCGATATCGTTGCGCACGTTTAAGGGGAACTGGCGGGCCAGCAGAGGCTATTTCCGAACCAGATCTCATCCGTTCTCCCGCAGGAATCGATTTGGATAAATTCTCTGCAGACATTGTCTTTGAAGTCAATAAGTTATCTGCAGATTCAGTTCGGAGTATCATTGTACGCGGGCGCGGTTTTGGAATAGGCCGTTTTTGTGTTTGCTGTTCCTTAGATGCCATTGTTGATGCATGGCGTGAAACTGGGATCGGTCGCCCAGATTCAAATGCATCTGGAGGCATTGATTTCGGCCTCTCATTCACTAAACCGTTGCCAACGCCACCATTTTGGTCTGCGTTCACAAGTGAGGCTTGGAACGTCTGCTCCGAATAGTCTCGATTTTTATTGATTTCAAAAGCGCTCTGACAGTGCGTTCCGTGTTGTGATAGGTTTGCACCAATTGCTTCATCATACTTAGAGGCAGCAAGAGAACTTGACAAAGTCGATTTTCTCTTCATTGGTAACTTAGGTGGGGCTTGTTCATCTTCAGTAATATTGTCCAAGGCTGGAGCCGACTAAAAAGAGATTTTAGTAAACTAAGACAACGATATAAATCAAGGTATTTCGAGGATCATAGCATCACAACAAAAACGAAAACGCATTGACATTAACATCGTGACAAGAAAGTTATTAACCTCTTTGCTAGGAAAAGACCTAAAAACTGGAGGAAAGGCAGACCCGGATTATCTCATGCTTCAAGTACAAGGCAGCTAATAAAAAAAAAAGATTCTTTGGGAATTTAAAAGAGCAAATTGTGCAAATATACATTTCGACGTTGGACATAGCAACATTGCAAAATTCACATGACCTTTGATAAATTACAAGCCAATACAAGGGTAAAAACGTTCCTTTATATACCTTATACAATACTTGATTGCTGACAACTGCCACCAATGGAAACACCGTTAAACATGTCAGTCTTTCATTTCTGGGAAGCAGAAACAAGAATTTGAAAGTTTGAAGAACTTACCCCGGCCAGAATTCCACTTTTTCCAAGTGTGTTTGTAGATGGCTTTAGAAGTCCTTTTCCTGCCTTATGTGAAAAAGAAGCCGATCCTCTTGTCAAGAATGAAGGCACTGACACCCTTCTTGGGGGCACTGGGGGACCACCATTCGACAATTCTTCTGATAATGCACTGGTTGATCGTGAATTTGTTATTCGACGTTCCATGGTTTTGCTGTTGACAACAAAGTGATGGAACAGAACAAATATTAGCGAAAGGTTTCTTCATAAAAAGGAAAGTTTCAGAATAATTAAAAAAAACAACCAAAGAAATTTACCGACGGAAAACGGCTTAATATGGAGGAGAAAACAATACTTCTGATCATGAGTTAAATTAGAGTCTAATGTAAAAATGCAGTCAGTTTTCAGTTAGTATTGATCTCCATTACCTTGACTTGCTGTTTCCAGAATTGGAATCGAAAGGCGAATCGCCCGAGGGTGAGCTCGATGTGGAGAATGTATCTGTTATCCTTTTGCCCACGATGGATATTCTTTGACGCATGGAAGGAGGCTAAAATGATAGCACAAGCACAAATCTAAGACAGTTACTATCAAATTACCGTGCATTTCCAATAAAATTCCAAAAGCGTAAAAATAAAGCAGAACACAAATATTAAAGGGTTAAAGAACTCCATTTTCGTTCATCGGGTAATTTGAAGTCCTGAAACCGCTGTTTAATCTCACCTACCACCTGCTACAAAAGGGTTTAATTAAGCAAAGTACACCCTTTAAAGAATCAAATTTTACATGAAATGTTCAAGGACATCCTCTTCCCTGTATGCTTTCCATAAAAAAACAGTTCTCCGGCAGTCATGCAACCAGCTGTTCATAAACTCATCATCAATTTACCTTTTCAGGTTCAAACGGACTTGCAATTTCTCTTGAGCCTCGCTGAGCCAACTTGGGGGATCTGGGAATGGTCCTAAAGGGTAAATGAGCAAAATACATCTAGTGTGTAATAAAACAGTGAACAATATGCAAGGAAAACGCAACTCAGCTCACAATGAGAATTATTGGAAAAAGAAAGTGTCTTGAAAAACAATGTAACTTAAGGTGTGAATGAAAAAAAGACTACCTAAAGAAAAATAGCACGGAGGTTAAATAGGAAGATACAAACTTACTTTTCCAAAATGTTAAAGGAGCCTGGCGTGTTGTCTGTGATTGGTATCATCTATAAAAGCATTTATGTATTGTGTCAATCGTAAATTTAGTAAAAGAGTACCAATTTACGGTAAATGCTTAAATATGTTTCTTTATGTTTCAGCATATTTAGCATATGTAAATTTCTTACATGGTGCCAGTCTGCATTCCTTGTAGTGTACAGGGAAGATCATCCCGCGCCATCTTCCAGCCACACCCGCGCCATATCTTTTCAATGCTCTACTCGCGTCAGTTTTTTAAACAATTAACATTTAAAAAATTAATGTATAATATATCTAAAGGGCGTTGCCTTTACTCTGCAAAAAAGGCAATCCATGCCAATATAAAAAGGGGTTGGTTTGAAGACTTTTTCTGGGGGTGTACCCACTAGCGTCTCCCTCAGTTGCTTCTAACATCCACATTAACGCAGAACATAAAACATTAATCTCGAATCGTCAACTATGTCAATTTACAGCAAGTGGCCTGCCTAAACAAAGTTCGTTGCATCTTACAGATTTTTACAACGTTATTCATACCAGGTTGAGCTTTCATATCAGACTGATGTAAAGATTTCATTTTTAGTTCACATATAAAATGCTATTACAGAAAAACGACGAAGTATGAAAACCTCAACAGGTACTCCGGTTTCAATGCTCTCTTTCATTCGTGCAAACATTGTAACCATTTTGTCGTGGAATGGTCTCATCGATGCGTCAGTCAATCTTTCATGTAATGCTAGCCCAGACGCCAACAAGTCGACCTATGTTTAAAAAATGACACTTATTAGTAACAAGAAGAGAAGAAAAACAGACAACATATGGAATAGAGCAACGTGACATCAACAGGAATGGAACGTCCGTACACAGTTAGAAACTTGTATTCATCTGAAAGTAGTTCCTATCTAGTATGAGCTCAAACTCGCGACAAAAAAAGCCATTTTCCAGCCGCCTAAAAGGTACTCGTTTATTAACAAGCAGATTTTGAAAATAATGAATTTAAACCTGTTCTCTTAAGTGCATTTTTAATTCTTCCACGTCATCTTCTTTCTCGACGTTCGTTTCCAAGTAATCCTCGTTCAGGAAGGCCTAATAGAATCAAATAATGATGTGTTACCCTATTGAAGCTAACAACGTTTGGCTGGGTGAAGCTGAAACAGATTAATTACATCGCAGTTCAGGTGGAGCATCCTTGGTTTGGGGAATAGGGTGGGAAGCAGCAATCATTTGTTGAAAATGGACAAGGAAAGTACAGAAATATAAAAATGCCTGCCAACACTACTTGGAACATCTAGCAGCTTAAATTTTTTACTTATTTTACTGAAAACTACCACTGCTGCCCCCTTCGCTCCTTAACAATGTTGATAGTTTAGGTAAATATCATGCAAGACGCGTGAATAAACTTACTTCCCAATCTACTGGGTCAATCTATATTAAACTAACATTATTCCAAGAAGGAGAAAAGAATGGCTGTGTTTGCCCTCAACAGCTATCATTAGTGTTTCACGACATTTTGTCAGGATTGCAGCTGCATTGTAAACAGTTATTGTAATCACCTGTTGGTATTTAGATATTCCGCCATTGACGTTGGCATCTATGACACCATTCAATACCATACTCATAGATTTGATGTTTTCTCTTGCAGAACCTTCGTAATGGCTCACAAGAGTAGCCAACTCTTTGTTTTTGGAAGCAATAGACAGTTTGGCATTCACCAGTGGATCTAGTTCTTCCTGAATAACGAAAAAAAGCTTGGTAAACACAGAATCATGTCAAGGACATTAACAGTTTCTCAATAAAATTCAGATTCAAAAAAGAGATCTAGAAAGTTCTTGTTGCTTATGATATACAACAATGGCTAACAGAGCACGTCCACGTTAACTGAAACTCATTCCGCATTTTGATAGCTCCTGAACTACCTTGATACGAGCTATGAGTTAAACCTTACCAACTCTACGAACCCTAATATTAATCATCAAAATATTGATAATAGTCACTACACGGCGTACACCACACAATATACAATCATGTTAGCCAATTGCTTGTATATCATCTAGAAGGCAATGCAAAATCATTTAGAGCTACCTACCCTGTGGCACGATTCAATTCTGCTCCACCTTAAAATACCAGGAAAGCTATTGACAGTTTTCATTGTCGTTCTTTCCAACCAAAGTGTCTAAAGGATATAAACAAAGCGATATAAAAGCTAAAAACTATATGAAATAACATACTAAAACCCTATAATAGTAACATATAGGACACAGTGAACAGAGATAAACGCACCAGTTTTAAATATACTAGATTTGCATCGCTTGACGTCAATCTTTTAGATTGTAGATTTACATCGCTTTACGAACCAATTATCATTAAGCGTTTGGGTTTTTCATACAAATTACAGTAGTTTTCAAGTGAGTTTCCTTTTTACTATTGACTTAATAATGCAGTTTATATCCTCCAAAAAAAGAAACAGATTTGGGCATCCTCTCATTAGAAAATGTTACAACATACTAAAACATTTTCAACAGCGACTTGAAAAAATAAACTTACCTTAAATTCGTTTTCATCATCCTTTTTCCCTTTATGAAATGGCCTTGAATTTCTGAACTCCTTAACTTCGTTCACGTTGTAATAACTATAGAGAAATTGGAGATGTCCAGATATGTAATTATTTCTTTATGGGTAAAGATGATAAAAAGCAGCAAAATTTTGTTGTGCTAGCTTTCTTGCTTTTTTTATTCATCTACTCATGTTTCTACAACAAAAGTTTCTTTGCACTTAGCCTTCATATATTACAGACCCAATAGTAGAGCAAAAATATTTAGCAATTTGTTCCTGCACTAAATTGCAGAGTTAGATTTGTCCCTCTCGCCAAGCAAAAATAATCAAACCAGAGTGGAGGTAAAACAGTATTTGAAGGCAACCATAATTTGCCCCTTTCCCCTCCCTTAATAACATATTTAAAGAATATTAGAGTATTTACAACGCTAAAATGAATATCCAGTCTCTAACAAACGATCTGGCAAATATAATTCCCCTTACCTTGTTATTTTTTCGCTGACCTGTTTTCCTTCAAAAACACGAATTTTACCAGCTATTGGCTGCACGTTACAACACTGGATATCTTAAAATGGTTAAGTAGTTTTATGCAATGTATGTAGTTTAATAAATGATACGCAACGACACATCTTACATGAGGATTAAAACTTTTACTAATTAGTTGTCTTAAAAAAAGCACTGTTTTCAAAGTCGTGAGATTAATAATGATTTATTCGGAAATGCTCCGTGATCATGCTAACTTACAGAAAGAGACAAATTACAGAGAGAAACTCAAACAAGAATCGTCAGGCAAGGGATTCAGAGGAGGGAATTTGAATAAAAAGAACCATAGAGTTTTAAAGCGTAAACCAACCCTCATATAATTTTCCTATTTTGAACATAGGAACTTTGAACTATTGAAACGGTCGATTTCCTTGTTATGCCATATGTCAGTTTGAGAAACGTAGAGAAAATTATGCCATGTGTCATTCCTTGATTGCTTGAGCATACTGTCATCATATAGACATTGTATCCTAGCCTAATTTAATATGGAGCCAAATAGATACCAATTGTTAAGAAAAAAGTATCAAGCTCACTAGGAAAATTCTCAGAAGGTGACGGTTTCCTAGAGGAGTAGAGCATTATGAGAAGAGCAAGGAAAGATGCTGGAAAGAATTAGAGGTATCACATAAGAGCCACATAGTACAATTAGTAACAATAGATGGTGGCTGTCAATTTGTAAGCTTGTTTGAAGTATGCTGTACAAATAAGGGCAACAGAACTAATGCAGTCAATAATATCAACATAGACTTTCGCTTTAAAGAAAGGATACATTGACCTTGTGATAATCGATATGAATCGTCTAAGGGTTTGTTTGTCGACATAACCGTAGCATTTGGAAACTGTGCTTTTAATCTTTGTGTGAAACTTGCCAATCTCTCGTATTCAAGACCGCGATAAATAAAAGACTCATTCTACAAGAAAAGCATGTAGAAATTCATGTAGTTACATAAAATTGCCCATAATGAAGCATTCTTAGCGCTCTAAAAATATGGTTCAGTAAGCCTTTTAAGTTTTTTAAGAAAAAAAAAACCAAACGGCACAAAACTTTAAAAAAGTTTGACTCTATCAGAGACAGGCAACAGAAGGTTTTCGAAGGGTGTTTAAAGAAAGAAGTACCTCTTCAATAAAGATTAAGCAAAGCAAAAATTACCTTGAGGTAATGTGGAAAGCCTTCACCATAAAAGGCAACTCTAAAATACTCTGGTTCTGGTCGAAGTTCCTTCATGATTTTATCGTAGAACTCAGCTTGGGTTCGCTAAAATAAATCAGCTTTCAAAATTCATTTGATCTTGGTTAGTATAACCAAGTCAATAAAAAGCTAACAATTTCCAATGAAGATTACAAATTGAGAAAATTGGTAAGGGATCAAACCTTCTGACAAGGAGTAGTGATAACTAATTATAAATACTTTTTCATCGCTATTCCAATACCAAAATTCAATATGATCCAAACAAATAAGATTTATAAAACGAAAAACTTACCAATATTTTGCTAAGTTTGTTATAATCAAATAGACGAGTTTCATAAATTTTTGCGAGGTCTTTACAGAGACTCAAGCCATTTTCCCACATCTAGGACAAATTCAACGTTAATTAGAATGACTCCTTAGTGTTGCTTCTGCTTTTGGGAGGTAAATTAAAAAATATAGACATAGTTGTCTATTAGCAAATATCAAAATTTATAAAATTTAGCAGCGTGTTTTTTAATAGTAGAAGAAGGTATATAATTTTGAGAAGAAACCAGCAGAAATCCATTGCAGATGTGGCAATAGTTCGGTGTTAATCAAAGCCTAGATACAAACATGCAGAAAGAGCACATTAATACATGCAAGCAGCCAAACATGCGAAAGAGCTGAAAGCCAGGAGGCTCGTGCGAATTCCAACTCATTGAAGCAAAAATGGGAAAAATTTACTCACTTTTCCTTTATTAAAATATTCGATAATTCGCAGATACAATTGTTCTTTCCTTTCCCATTCAGGCTGAACAGGGTAAGAGTGTTCCTCTTCTTTCAATTTGTCCTTCCACTAAAAATTTACACAAATGCTACGCAATGTACGCTAAAAATGTTACAGCTTTTTTCAACGATACAAAGATTTGCTATAACTGGCGAACAAGATATGCCAAAGGGAAGAAAATCAGACAAAGAAGAATATGCAAAGATCAATCAAAGAATAACAGGGGCCTCGTATATTGATTGTGGCAAGGTTTTTCCGGAAAGACAAGCTCGTGGTTAAAATACTACCCCTAAGTTATTTGAATGTAGGCTTAAGTTCAAATGAAGAAAAAAAATAATTAAGACTCACATCAAGAAGAGAAGCGTGCATGAACAGGACAAATCCAGCTTCGGTGTAGTTTTCACAAGCAATGTGCAGATCACAAAGTTTGTATATGTATCTTATATACATATCCATTCGGTCGAGATTTTCGTAGAATTCCTGATTAGTGAAGCAAATTTATCACTCGTAGGTATAAATCACAGCTGAAAGGATATAGAATCAAAGAGGGATTGGGTAAAAATGTGCTAGATAAAATCAGCTTACCGAAGCCATTTATAAGCTGAAAATTGCCTACAGAAGTATTATAAAACCGCCAAGAAGATTCTGCACTAATAGACAGATATCTGAAGCTTTGTAAGGCTTAAAGATTATATTAGTATGCAACAGAGGCTCTCAATACTTAAAGATGTTTGGTTGAAAGAGATCTTCGTTTGATAGCATATCGCTAATCAAAGTGACCTTGAGATGAAATATCTTGAACTAAGTTGACATAAAGGTTGAGCCTCCTCAATAAAAAGGGGTCGAGGACGTTATAGTTGAGCTTTATCTAGAGGCCGATAAAGTATGGGCAGATGGAAAAAGCGTCCGGTAAACTTTCGGAGATGGTAATAAGGTACAGGAATTTTTTATGAAAATTGTAATGCAGCTGCAGAAAATATACATTGTAGATCAGATTACGAAAAGCTGCCTACAAATTTCCTGTAATTAAAATGTAGCGAACGGTTTGAATGAATTGCAAATCAAGTTAGTGCAACTGTGCCCTGTCTATCTGTAGAAACGAAAAATTGGAAATTTTGAATGACAGCAGTAACAACTACAGAACACCAAAACAGTAATGAAATTGAAATAAGCTTACTAGTAGTCTGACTGTACAAGTCATCTGCTCATCCATTCCACAATCATCACTAGCAATGACAGCCCTGTTGAAAAAGTATTTACCTAAATTCACTAAACAAGCTTCTTGAAGGGGTTTGGGTTAAACAAGACCATTCGTACTGTCCAAGAAGCACAGAGTCATTTCAAAACAGAGCAACAACTAGTTTAAATTACATAAATAGTTTTAAACAGCGAAGACAAAATTGAATACATTTCACAAAAAGAAAGCAGAATGCAGCCTTACTTGCACTATCCAGTAACAATGTCTAGTAAGAAAAGAATGAAGATAATAAAACCAGCAATCGGCCTTACTGGTACTGAGCAAACGAGGTTCCATTTAAGCGAGGCTAACCTACCTGTAATCGAGTAGCCTCTTCAGAAGCTGTGTGATCGATTCAATGCATCTCCTTCCGTTCTCGTGTAGCCCTGGATCATGGCATTCTTCGAGCTTTTGCAAAGTCCTGGGAAATCATTTAATACGTAAATTGTCTGAATACCGATGCAAAATATATGGGGAAGTTGAAATGCGTAGAACTAAAGAGGTTCGTAAGGGTCCCCTGGCACTAAGGCCTGCAAAGAATATCTGATGAATTAAGTGAACTTAGGAAAACCTCTATTCCCATAACTGTGTTTTGGGGAACGGTTTCCATCTTTCCAAACAACATCCATGAATAAGAAGCAAAACCGCAGTTTTTCAGAAACAAACTACCTTGCAATTGATTGAATATAAAACACATTGCTCTGCAAGAACTATTTACTTTCTGTCAAAATAGATAATTGTCATTTCTTTACAGGAGAGTCATGCTATTGTCTCATAAGAAAGTTATTTTTATAAGAAACTCATCTGACTTGTCTTCAAGTATATTTCTCTTATCAAAAACATGCGAGCTTTTACTGTTATCATTCACCATATAAAGGCTGCGACAGAAAATCGCTATGAAACTCACAATTTCCTAAAGAGTTCTTCATATGCCTGGTCACCTTGGCCACCACTAACTAGAATATCCAATTTGTCGATTAATTCTGTCTCCACCTGAAAACAACAAAAAAGGCCAAATTCTAAAGCATAAGGCTCCATAGAAAGAAACTCTAAAAGTCAATGCTTAAATTGCTTCAGGTTTCCCTTTCAATATTGATAACATTGAATCCTTTCATAAGGGAGGGTGGATGATCATCAATTGCTTTTATGGGGTGCTTGAAGGGTACTAACCTTTCTAAAACTCCTTTCCTCAGCAAACTCAACTTGCATCATGTCGAAAAAAATTGGTATCGTTGACTTGCGTAGTTCTAAAAGGAAAAGAGATAAACCACTTGGTTTTTCACTGAAATAAAACTTTACAGAAAACGGAAACAGTGAACAGAAACACAAAGATATACAGTCAACAAATAAGAAAAATATTAGAAAGCAAGATGGTAGCACTTTTAGGTAGATGAATAAATGCAGGCTGTCAATAGCAGTTCTTAAAGATAATCCATCGGTTCAAGTCTTTTTCTAAAGCAGTTAGTTGATCCTATCCCCTTATCTTTTATCTTATCAATAGTCTTTTGCTTGTTTGTCTAAATGCGATGAATGGAGCAGAAAGTTGCAGGCAATGTTGGATGATGCTTTGATTATAGAGAAGTTATAATTGTTTTTGCACAAATTAATTTAGCTTACCTTCTTCTGGGGTAAGTGTGACTTGCAAAAAGGGTCCTATTAAACCAGGTATAAAATTTTTCTTTTGCGGTCCTACAACAAAAAAACAAATAACATTAAAGACAGCATTATTAAGAAGAGAGCATAAATAAGCTAGACAACATGGCCATAAAATGCTGCTGATACTTATAAATACTTTACATATTAGTGAAAGTATTAGTCTCCATTACCTTTAAAAAATCAAATTGCTTCGGCTTGTCTAAAAGGTATTTTGATGCTATATATCTGGAAGTATTTCATTTGGCTAATTTATTTCAGAAGAAAATTTTCTCTTTTTCAAATTACACAGAGAAAAACTGTTTCCTGAGATAAGATTTCGTTTTAGTGCCACTTTGAAACTTTGCACAGCAAAATATATTATTATACTAAAAAAATGACAAATTTAAATATTGCATCTTAAATCACGATTTGAGATATCTTTTCCTTCAGAAAAATACAAATTGAAACGAAAACACTTGTTTTATGAAGGATGCCAGCCTTCAGAGATAAAGAGATCATTACATAAAATCTGTCACCTATACCCCCGATTCACCATTTCGTAAAAACTATTTTATTATATTTAAAGCTTTTCCAAGTCTTTCAACATTTTTACGAATAAGTATAATTCATTTGATCTAAAAGACAAACCATTTTAGAAAATATCGATATGATAAGATGACAACAAAACAAAAATCATACCAAGGTTTTCCCACATATCGACTAGTTCCATACCCATGATTTGCCGCATGTCTCCGTATCTGAAAAAGTCAAATATATCGATTTGTTAAAGAATGACAAGGCCAATGCAGCGGGTTTTTTAGCATGGTGAACCTACAAATCTAACTCTTTAAGTAGTAGAAATCAAAGAAAGCAAAGTCAGACAAAGTTCTAAATACCAGATTTTCAAAAGAAAGGCTTTCATTGCACATTTATCTAAATCATATTGAGCAGAAAAGTCAGAATTTTAAAGAAAAAAAATGTCGACACCAATGGCGGCGCCAGCCACTACGCTCTGGGGGGGGCCAAAACAAAGGATTGTAGGCCACGCCCTATTAGCACCAGGAAACGCCCTTTTACTAACAAGGAACGCCATTGTTACCTGAAGGGAACGCCCATGATTCATTTTTGGCTATGTAAAGGCAGTTTGAAAATCTTAGGATTACATTACAAAAAGTACGTTGCCAAAATATTACCCCTCCCCCAACATTTTCTCATCGGATTTAGACGAATTACAAAATTGATCCTGCCGAGAACTGGGGGGATACGTCCCCCCCAGTCCCCCCCCCCCCCCCCCGTGGCGCCGCTACTTGTCGACACAGTATTGAATTTTGAATAGAAAGATAACCATCCTCGCACTTACCGGTCGATTATTCTGTCTCGTTTGTTTTCCATGAAAGTCTCTAGCTGAAGACATGGTTGAACAATAAATGAAACTGCCAGTTGGAAGTAATTGTTCCAAAGCTGGAAAGAAACCAATCGAAAATTCGCTATTGAAGTTCAAAACAAATATATACTGAATACAGTTTAAGATTATAACGATAAACAGTGCAATCATAGAAGTTCAATAATTTGTCGATTAAACATTTTGTAAAACCATATCAGCTTAAAATTATCACCAATAAGTTTGCTCGCTGCTTTAGGTTTTTAACAACCCTCAAGATAAATGCTAATTTTTCCCAATGCTTTACTATTCAACTACGTTCGGCCATTTAGAAAAAATGTTTCATAGGCAAATTCTCTCTGAAAACTCATTAACCTATCTAGACACTTGAAGAATCCGCTACAGATCATCCACGACAATATCTGAATTGCTAATACCTGATACTCAAAATCTGTTCCCAATAGAAAATGATCGATGAAAGCTTTCGAAAGATACTGGATTGCTGTAAGCACAAGGCTGAAATGAAATGCAGTATAATGTCAAAAATGAGTTTTTATCATAAGATCTACCATGAGCCTAATATAATCTAAAAGTATCTAAAGTATCTATTGAGCCAACTAAACCCAAGTCCAAATTTACAAACAATATAAACAGAATTCCAATATATATAAGATCTATGTTTATACAAGCAAGGAGATTTACACACTATATATACACTACATGAATACGCACAACATGGCACACATCGTTCAGTGCTGTCAAGTTTAGTGAAAATTCGTAATAAGCAGTAAATAGGAAAGTTTACTTGTTGGAGACGATTCTCAGCACAAACCAATCTTCTGGGAAGACATCTTGAGATAGAAGCACTTGGAAGGCCACCATTATTTTCATCAAAAATTCCTAGAACATAAATCATAGGCGTTCTTCAGAAAAATGTCATCTGTTTTGGGATTCAAAGGATGTCGATATAATTCATTGCGCCTTTCTTTGCCAGTTTTAAAGGTCGTTTCGAAATTTTTTTAGTTAAATGTCCACATAGAAATAACTTTTGAATACCATTTTACTGTCCCTTAATTACTGTCTATAACTCACCTTCAAGCTTTTTTTATCGTCATAGGACGCTAAGAGCTCGTTGAAGTGTTGGTCCTCCATTAGTTTTAACAGCCCAATCAGACAAGCAACGGTTAAGCCCTGTACGAAAAAAGTAAAATATTAAGGTTCTTACGAGTGAAAAAAGAGGGAAATTGTGATATTTCGATCTCATACTAGACGGGACACTCGATCTATGAATATAAATTTTTCACTAAGCCCAGGAAAGCAACTTTCTCAATAAACAAAAAAATTAAGAGAAAAAAATAAAGGATGAACGAAGGAAAAGAAGGAAAAACAAAGAGCAAAACATTGACCTGTTGCTAATGGCTCACGATTTCGAAAAACTGCATTTTGATTTTGTGCTTAGAAGGCAAGCAAATGTTAGGTGGGGTATTGCAATGTTTTCGTGGGGCATATTTAAAATTTCATAAGGGATATATGTAGCGTTGGTAAGCAGCAAAAGTGACTACAGAAGACATAAATCGTCAAACTTCCTTACACCTATACCTAAATCATTTTTGCACAATATAGGCTAAAGAACAATTTTTACAAAAACACCTAGTTTTTAAAAAACACAGTGATGATAATTTTTAAATTCCTTTGGCAAGGAAGGTCATCTTTTCATGTAGGGGCGCTGTTAATATCTACGTTTACGTAGAAAGAAAAATTTAGTAGTTTCACTTTGACTGGGGTAACAATTTGGATTTTTAAACCTCTTTACAAAAGGGGGTGAATGAACATGATGAATTAATGAACTTAATAAGGCATGAATGCACACAAAATCATATTTGATGAAAACAGACAATCATTTTTCGTAGCAACAAGAGAAAGTACATACCCTTAACGTTCCTGTCCTGTCAATGGTCAGATAGATATTTAACAAGATGAACAGTAAAGATTTGCCCAGCAGGGAAATATCACTGAACACCATTTCCTAGAGAACAAACAAAAGCATGCAACAATTAGGGATATTAAATAGTTGTGAAAGACCAAACAGCATACTGACCAAACAACGAACTAAGGGGTTATGAAGCTTTAGACGTTTTAAACTAAACCGAACGATGCAGAAACAACTTATCTTACTGTCTTAATGTTATGAAACAACATTCACTTATCATACTTTACAATCTTAAACCTCTACTGTTAATGATGTATAATTGCTACAAAAGAGGAACTTTATGAGATTTATACTAACTAGTCACATTAACAAGTGATACGTTGGACGGAAGACGCAAAATTCTGCTTGCAACAGTAAAATCGATCAAATGTGTGAATCAAACTATTCCAAAATTCTGAGAATATTTTCAAACCTTGCTAAGCTTATTTTTCAAATTGGCCCAAAAACCTACCTTGTCTGACTTCTGCAAAGCTGTTATGACATCACCGAGAAGTTCGAGGCAAAGAGCTAATTCTTGCTTTGTATTCATATAGTACTGCACATGGTCGATGAGTGTTGGAAGAAATGTCTCACGTAGGGCTGCAATATACCAAAATAATGATTAAAACATTATGAAAAAAGATGGGAAAATCACCATTGGTTTAGCTTTGATAAAATAGAATAAAAACAATATACTAAACAGCCTTCGTCTCACTAAGAAGTCAAGAAAGTATTATACTGTGATCAAGTGGGGGTTAACGCACCTCGGTCCTTAAATAGAGAGCTCCCTGCAATTTTACGAATGCACTTCAATTTGGCAACACGAAGTGGTGTTGAAGACGAGCCAACAACTTTCGGAACGCAGTTGATAAAATCAGATATCACAGAGCTACAACAACAGAGAGAGAAAGTCATACAACAACCAATTTTGCGAAACTTCGTGAGAAGCATGCTTTAAAATCTTGTCAAACCCTTTTCCTTGTCTAGAATAAGGTGGTTTATTCACATTTGTAGAGTTTTAATACCTGAAAACATCGAAAGAATACGCAAACATGGCTAATTGATTTAGTCTTGCAACGTTGGGCGCATGCGCCAATTCTATAACCCATAAGTACAGTAATTCCACTTTCAAGCGAGACAACTGTGAATGACAGGTGCAGGTTGGCCTTAAACTAATGAGTAAGGAAAATAACGATCTGGGTGACGCCAGATCCAGCGCTTTGAACGCTATCAATTTTTGACGGGTGGCAGGCTGCCCCAAGGTTGACCCGCCTACTTCCGCGGGACTCCTTGGTTGTAAGCGGCCTCCGCCCCCAGAAATAGAAAAAAATGCTAAGTTAATGAATTTTTTCGACAATGACGAGGAAAACATAATGAGCCCGAAACGGAAGCCATCAAATACGTTTTGGGTCTTTGGAATCAAAACAGTGCACAAAGCCGATGGAATGTAATGATCGCCTATTGTCAAGTAGAGTCACATGACAATCACATGACATTCGTAATTGCTTATTAATCGCTTTTGACATTCTTATCGAGCTTACTGCTGAGTTATGTTAGTTTTCGTGTAAATGCTAAAATGTTATGTATATATTTCGCTACTAAACACACACTGTCTCTTCTCTGGCTACTTAACAAATTGGTGCCGTAACCAGGATTGTCCGTCTACGTTTCGTTTTCGTTCTTTCGCTGCTGTGAAAGTTTTCAAGCATTCGTAACAATGCCCAAATCGAAGTTAGAGAAGTTGAAACAGGAGAGGAGGCAGATTCGCCGTTCGTTCACGAAGATACACAGCGAAGCTTCGACGCTTTTCAGCGTACCGCGTTTACAAGAGGAAGAAATTCGTTCTTTAACATCATCATTTAAAGCGTTAAAGGCAAAGCAGTTGGAAAGTATCGCAATTGAAAAGGAGCTACGAAGCATTTTGTTCAAGGAATTAGAAGATGAAGCCGAACTCGACGACTTTTGCGATGAAGCTGAGGTATTTGCCATGGAAATAGAAGGTAAAATCGATAAAATTGAATTTCTTCTAACGAAATTTGATAAGCTATCCACAACCAATTCACAGCCACATCATTCACAGTCATTTTCTCGATCAAAATTGCCCGATCTTAACCTTCCAACCTTTGATGGGAATATTACCGAATGGTTTGGCTTTTGGGAACGTTTCCAGTCACAAGTTGGGAACTCTCCAGACCTGCCTAACACTGCAAAGTTCACGTATTTAGTGGGTCAACTAAGGGGAGAAGCTTTAGATACTGTTAAAGGGATAATACCCTCCGAACTAAATTACGGAGTTTTAGAAGAAATGCTAAAGGAGAATTTCGGTCTCCCCAGACGTATAATTCGGGCCCACATAATGAATCTTCTCAAAATGCCAAAGCCCACGCCCTTTGCCGCTAGTATTCGCCAGTTTTACAATTCAGTTATGGGGGACATTCGTTCTTTAGAAGCCTTAAACGTTAATGTCGCAGCTTGTGCTCCTTTCATAATTCCGATTATTGAAGAGAAGTTACCTGTTAAAGCTCGTAGTGCCATAGGAGACTGTGGAGAAGAATCCTATTTCAACTTGCAATTGTTTGTTGAAAATTTCAAAAAGTTTCTTGCAAAAGAGGAACAATCACAAGTTCTTCAGCCCGTGGCAAGACATGAAATTTACGAACCCCCGTCTGTCACAAGCACTTTGGTTGCATCTAGCGAATTACGTTGCCAATTTTGCACTGGTCCACATAACACCCAGCGTTGTTCCCAGTCCGCATCCGAGAAAAGGGCAACTATTATCCGTAAAAGGCTTTGCTTTAACTGTTTAGGTTCGGGACACTCTGTTTCTCAATGTAATTCGAGGGGTCGTTGTTCCAAGTGTAAGGGAAAGCACCACACAAGCATTCACGGGGTGCAAATTTACCAGTCTAATTCTAACGTTCAACCTCCACGAAATGCTAGTCCAAGCAAGTCACGAACAAACGCACACGTTTCTGTAGTCAAAAATGAGTCATCCTCGTCACAATTCACCACCAATGACACACAAACGACATCCATTACGCCATCACAACAAATCGTAACAAATTGTTGTTCTGTTTCGCCAGTAATTTCGACTATGTTCAACGTTGATGAAATTGATTCCTATTCGCATAAACCTAACTCTGTCGTTAATGTTGTTGATGTATCTAGTAATGATGAAACAACGTACAAGTTTACTACAGATGCTAAGGCTAACATTTCGCCTGAAATTGCTTCTGAACAAACAACCGTAGCAAGCAACGCTGCAAATGTTATACTTTTGAAAACTGCTAAAGGGGTTGCTGTTTCCAGCGATAAGAAACTTGCAGCGAGAATATTTTTCGATGAAGGTTCGCAGCGCAGTTACGTCAGGTCAGGCTTTGCATCTCAATTAGGCCTAAACCCAATTTCTTGCGAATTATTATCTGTGTCAGGTTTTGGAGGGACAGTAACCCAACATAATTATGGGGTAACAGAAATTGGCTTGGAAACCCCACAAGGTATCGAACACGTACGCGTTTTAATTACTGAGGAAATTGTTCAGCCTCTAGATCACTCTGGGTATTCGCAATTCAAATCGCACCCCCGTCTTCAAGGGTTAACTTTGGCAAACGACTTTGAAGAAGATAAATTTGCAGTTGATATTCTTTTGGGTGCTGATGCCGCTTATCGTTTTCTTGGGGAAATTATTCAAGATAATTCGCAGCCATTAATCCAGGAATCACATTTCGGTGACGTCCTTTATGGCCCTTGGCCACAAAACGCGATGCTTACTACTGCTATTATTGATAATCACGCTATTAAAGATTCCGAAGTAGTCACAAAGTGCATTGATGTGTTGTGCGAAGATAACGATGCTAGCCAAAATGTTTCCTTTCAAAATCTTGTTGACAATGAAAGTTTGCTTATTCAAGTCGATCGACTTTTTCAAGGTCAATTTGTTAGTGACCCTGAAAACGACAAGCCAGAAAATAACTTTCTCCATGGTTACCGAAAGCAGATTGAATTTTGTGACGGGCAGTACTTTGCCCCATTGCCTTGGAAAACAAACCACCCGCCCTTACCGTCTAATCTGGAACTTTGTAAACGGCGTTTAGATCAAGTAACAGCGCGTTTAACTAAACTCAATCTTATGGACACGTATCGTAAAGTTATGGCAGAGCACTTAAGTAAGGGGTACATTGAGGAATTACGTGATTTAGATGAACCTTGGCCCGAGGAGGGATGTCACTACTTGCCCCATTTTTTCGTCCTCAAAGATTCTGAAACTACACCTCTCAGGATAGTTTTCGCAGCGAACGCAGGTAAAGTCAGTCTAAATGACTGTCTTTACACTGGCCCGTGTCTTCTCAATAATCTGCTCGAACTTCTCGTCAGATTTCGTTTCCCGCAGTATGCATTTGTGGCTGATATTCAACGCGCCTTTCTTAATATCAAACTCAAGGAGGAAGATAGGCCCTTCGTGCGTTTTCTTTGGTATAAAGACAATGATCCAACAAAAGAAATTTGTGTATATACATATACAACCATCGTTTTCGGCCATACAAGCAGTCCAATGTCTCTTGGTGCTGTGTTGCTTGAACATTTGCAGAAATATAGCCACCCCGTAGCTGTTGATATTAGTCAGAAATTATACGTAGACAACCTCCTTTCCGGGGCTCAAACCGAGGCTGAAGCCATTGCTTATTTCCATAAAGCGCGCGAAATAATGCATGAAGGTCATTTTGTTCTACGTCAGTGGTCAACTAATTCGAAAGCATTGCAAGACCAAATCAGTTCTAATAACACTGGTATTAAATCGCAGGCTATTTCTCTACTAGGCCTACAGTGGGATGCTTCAAAGGATTGTATTAACTTTCCAGTGAAAAATTTCGATTCGCCCATTGAATCTCTGACAAAACGTAAAGTATTAAGTATTGCTAGTCAACTATTCGACCCACTTGGTTTAGTTTTGCCCGTGTGCATTCTCGCTCGCCTCTTTATTGCTGAGCTCTGGGATGAAAAATTTGGCTGGGACCAGCCCTTACCCCCTGCCAAAGCGAAAGGCTGGAAAAATATCGAACACGAGCTCAATATTGCCTCCCGTTTTCAGTTTCCACGATGGGCAGACTTCGACAATTCTCGGCCTATTCATCTGCATGTTTTTGCAGATGCAAGTAAATCTGTTATGGGCGCGGTCGCGTACATAAGTCAGGGAACCCAATGCACCCTCGTAGGTTCTAAATCGAAATTAGCGCCAAGAGGGAAAAAAGGTCTCACAATTCCTCAATTAGAGTTAAGTGCTATGTTAATAGGGGCGCAATTTTGCAACCACCTACTCGCAATTCTGAAAAAGGAATTCTCGTGTATTCACGTTCATTTGTGGACAGACTCAGAAATTTCCCTATACTGGTTGTCATCTACACGCAAGTTAAAGCAGTTCGTACAAAATAAAGTAGATGCTATCAACAGGCTCTTCGATTCGTCTCTCTGGGGCCATACAGCCTCGGACGAGAACCCTGCAGATATAGTCTCAAGAGGTTGCTCGGCACAGTCTTTACAAAGATCACCGCTGTGGAGTCAGGGTCCATCTTGGATTACCGAAGAAGCTTTGTGGCCTAAATGGCCTAAGGCACAGGCGCCCACTACAACAACACTCATTGCTGTTGCTGAACAGCAACTCTCCGAAACGTTAATACGTCCAAGTGTGTGCAACGTTATCGAGCTAGAGCGTTTTAATCACTACTCTCGTCTTTTAGCGTCAACCGTTTACGTCCGACGTTTTTGCTCGCGCACAAGGATAAAGGAACCGCCCTCGACTGCTGAACTCGAAACAGCAGAGCTAGAATGGATTCTTTCTCAACAGCATCAACACTATGCAACAGTACTTACATATTTAACATCGTCTTCTAGCTCAAGCTTTGAACATGCACCAGCCATTGTTCGTCAGCTTAATTTGTTTCTCGATGAAAAGGGAATCATTCGCACCAAGGGTCGGTTTGATTTCGACTCTTCATTGATTCTTTTGCCGCAGCATTCACGTTTTACTGACTTGCTGATTCTTGATAATCATCAACAGTTGCATCATATCGGTGTTGGTGGTACGATTGTCGCTCTACGCAAACGTTTCTGGGTACCAAGTGCTCGCTCTGTAACACGCAACCTACTTCGTAAGTGTCTTAAATGCAAGAGAGTCACTGGAAGACATTACCCGCTTCCTATGTCAGCAGAGTTGCCAACATTTCGCGTGGACACGTCCAGCCGTCCGTTTTCAAACATTGGTGTTGATTTTACCGGTCATTTACTTGTTAAAGACATCAATGGGAACTTTCGCAAGGTGTACATTTGCCTATTCACTTGCCTAACTACACGAGCAATTAGCTTGGAAATCGTCGAAGACCTTACAACGGAGTCTTTTCTCATGGCATTCCGTCGTCATTGTAGTGTTTTTTCGACACCGCGTTTCATTTTAGCAGATAACGCTCTAACATTCAAACGCGCCGAAAAAGACTTGCAACAATTACTTTCGCTCTTCGAAACTCAAAGTATTCAGCACGCCTTTGCTCAAAGACGAATCGTTTTCCGCTACATACCCGCGCGCAGTCCCCATTGGGGCGGTGTCTACGAGAGATTGATTGGACTAACAAAAACATCGCTTAAAAAAGTTCTTGGCCGATCGCTGATTACGATGTCTGAGTTACAAACCCTAATTAAGGAGATTCAAGCAGTTTTGAATGATCGTCCTCTAACATACGTCAATTCTGATGCAAATGACTTGCAGCCGCTCACACCTAGCCACTTGCTTTTCGGCTTCAGCATCACCTCATTGCCACACCCTTCTGCTGAGGACACATTGTCAGACCCAACCTATGGAGATCATGATAACATCTCATACGCGCATCGTCGTCGATCAGTTCTCTACCATCACTTTATGGATCGTTTCTGCAAGGAATATTTATCGTTTCTCCGCGAAACACATTCATTTCACGATAAAGGCCGTCGTACCTCTTGCAGTACCGTTAATGTTGGGGATGTGGTATTGGTTGCAGACACAGACACCCCTAGACATCGCTGGCCACTAGGTGTTGTCACTGAACTCATTGTTGGTGCTGATTCACTGTGTAGGGCTGCTGTGGTGCGCACATCAAAGGGATGTACCACTCGTTCAATCGTCAAGCTCTATCCGTTAGAAGTGCAAGCGGGTAGCCATTCGACTCCAGAAGAAAGCACAGAGAATAATGAAGAACATTCAAACGAAAATACCCGTCCACAACGCAAGGCAGCCTTCGTAGCAAGAGACGCTATTCACGCGCAGCTAATAGACAATTTACTAGATTAGCTTTTCGCCGGGCCCCCAGTATGTCAAGTAGAGTCACATGAGTCACATGACAATCACATGACATTCGTAATTGCTTATTAATCGCTTTTGACATTCTTAACGAGCTTACTGCTGAGTTATGTTAGTTTTCGTGTAAATGCTAAAATGTTATGTATATATTTCGCTACTAAACACACACTGTCTCTTCTCTGGCTACTTAACACCTATGCCCAATGTGGGTTTGACACCCTTAAGGAGAAACTAATCAATTACTGTCTTCCTTTGGGTTATAAAGAGATTGAAACCCTTTGTCATTTTGTTATGGACGTTCACCGATTTCTAAAGTTTACTTTACTACTGTTAGAAATAAAGGATACGTACCCAACGTCTTTCGAAGAAAAAACTTTAGACAACTCTTCGACGACTTGGCTGAATTGATCTAATGCATTTATCTAAAAAAAGAAACATATAGTAAAGAAATTGGAACGAGGGATAGAATGAATGCATGAATGAATGAATAAATGAACAAATAAATTAATTGATTAATTAATGAACAATGTGTTGAAAAATAAATATGTGGAAATACATAAATAAATAAATAAATAAATAGTAATATCGAATATAGTCTGTCTGATGAGTGCGCAAGCACGGAACTCGGAGTAACAGAGAACATGTCTCGTTTTTAGCCTACCTTCTACCATATCTATTGCTCTGTGCTTTTGCACATCGAGCACTGTTAAGTCAGAATAGACAATGCAATCTGAAATTAGTTCAAAAGAGTTCAAATACACAAGTAAATATTTCTACCTCTAGTAACGACAGTTAAAACAAAGAGGAGCACACCTTTGCTTCTATCGGCTCCGAGGTTTTTTGCATCATTTTATAAAGGCTTGAGAATAAATCTTTCAGCATGTCTTGAAATTCACCTAAACTTGATGATGACGAAGATCTAGGAAAAAGAATAAACGCATCGAGCATATAGTGAATACATTTACCGTTTGCTTAAATTTTTCTTCAAATTGCAAAACCATATCAACAACTATCATATGATTTTAATATGAAAGATTCCAGATTTTGATATGAAAGATTCCACACAGATTTACCAGCTTCCCTAAATTTTTCGATTAAAAAATTATCAACTCTAAATGAATTTCTTTGATTACGCAACTGAAGACTGAAGTCACTTAGAAGATATTTCTCAATAAAAATATTTAATATAAGGAGAAAAAACAAACAGTTTTTTAAATAATTTGTACGATGGAATCGAAGTGAAAGTAAAGTGAACTAGATCACTAGCTTCTTATGATTTGTATTTGGCAGTTTAACCTAGTGATGAAGGCAAAAAAGCAATGTGTTAATAGACATAGTCTCTGTGACCTGAAACCACAACATCATTACCTGCTATGAAGAAACTTTGATTTGATGATAAATATCAGCACCGTTGGAAAGCTCTGCAAAGAAAAAGAAGTGTCAAAATTGTGTTGTCGTACTGATTTTGTCAGTGGAAAGCAGTAGAAAGCAACCCTTTTGTCAGGTTGCTTACAGTTAAGGGTAAGCTTAGAGTTGAGAATAATAAAAACGCTAATAGAAAACCTCTTCCTTGTTTCCATGTGAAATTTCAAACTGTCCTTTCCAACTACTGACAAATTTCTTCTTTCGAACCTTCATTCTTCTTTGTTTTTATACGCTTTTTAAATAATTGCCTACCTTTCTTATTATTTTTCAATTTTTGCTTCCTCCAATTTTAGAGAAGTTCGAAAGTTCAGAGCGTGCTAGAAATCCCAAGTCAATATTTTGCTTTCTCGAAATTTCGGACAAAAAAAACATTAAATATTTCATTAACATCTAAATCGGTTATAACTAGTATTATCGGTCATACTTTTATTCGTTACTTAAACTCGATGTGTTCTTTCTTTCCCATTTAAATATATTTCGTTTTAGTGCTCGGTATAGAATTACATTTCAGTAAGGGACATTGAAACTGTTTAGAAATTAGAGGGACACTATAACTAAGAAACGGGCACCTTGCAAAGTTCATAACTAGCAAATAAGGCACTACTCCAAAAATATGGGGCACGTTCTGGGCAAACAACATGATGTGGTAGGATGGAAAGTTCTTTTCCGTACTTCTTTTGGTCTCTAAGAGGTGACCCCTAGGTACCCATGGGGACAGTTTCAAAACAACTGTGAAATGAATCTAGACAAGGGTTTCTGTTTTACGTTAGTGTGAATAGTTTCTCTCCAGATTCATCGTAACATCTTTCTACTGAGTAGTAGCTGTATAGAAAAGGAAATTCACCTTCATTGTATCTGTAAGCATTTGTTTTGATTCAGGATCAGCTTTTGATTGAAGAACTTCTTTCAAACACAAAATCAAGCTCCTGTGGAGATCAAACGATTTATAAACAGGGTTAAAAGATTGATATTTTGCTAAGAATTTTGCCAAGCTACAATGCTAGCTGCTGATAAACATCCTTCAAAAGTTGGTATAGAAAACTATTTGGCATCTTTTGCTCTTTGTCAGTTAATGAAATTTAAAATAGTGAAATATATGACAACGTACTTGTAAGCAAGAGCCCCGCTGAAATGTTCCTCTATATAACTGTCGATTGTAGACTTGAATCTCCTGTATTTTTCACTTTCAACAAAACAAATTACATGAACCTGCAAAATGAATAAAAAAACCTATCAAAATTTTTAAAAGAATCGGGTTGTGAACCTATTCTTTTGACGTCAATCAAATCATTTACTTATCTGTTTCAAACAAAGGATTTTGCAGTTTTCACTACCACTAGACTGAAATGATAAAGGTTTACCTTAACACAGATTAGTGTAAATTTATTAAGCTTCTTACCAAAACTTTCAAAACTGCCATAGCACATTCATTTTCTCGGTCTGATAAAATATTAAACAATGCATCAAAAACATCTTGGAGAAACTGAAAAAGAAGAAGCACAGTGTACAAAATATAATTCTTAATTTTTGTCAAGTTATTATTCAAAATAATATCGACAGAAACTATCATTGGCAATGGCAGCAATAAATAGCAAATAAATTTGAAATTTTGAAACATTCCAAAGACTTTTTTCACTCTCAAAAGTTCTCAGAGATTAAAAAAATTGCAAGAAAGAATCAATATACCAAATGTTCAGGCAAAAAGTCCCATAGAAATAGACTTTTAGAATAATGGAGTTAAAAGACTGCAACTAAAGGCTTGGTTGAAATTGTCTACCTTAACGATTTCTTTGGCCTCTACTCTTAAGACTGACGTTAGTGCAGTGACAACGTCATCAGGCTTCAGCCTCCATTTGAGCAAACCAACGAGTTCAGCTAAAAATGAATTAAAAAAAGATCACTCGAAGACGTTCCTTTGGAATGACAAAACTCTCAAACGGTAAATTGATATTTGCCAACTGAACTTTATAACCAACTGAAAATTGTAACAGGAGATTACACTTGCAACGGACATTCAAACATATCCGAACAGAAAAAGGACGCAATTAGATAAAATACAGAGCGTTCATATCATTTTGAATTATACTGGAGCTTTAAAAAATATTATGTAACAAGGTTCACTATTCTTTTCTATAACATGGAACTCTGATGTGGGACTGAAGGTACTGTTCTTAAAACTAGAAATCGAAATTCTGTGGAAAGGGCCTATTTAATTGGAGAGCATCCTTGCCCAATTAGAAAAAAACAACAAAGAACTTACAATTTTGAGTCAGTTTTGTAGAGCATAGATTGGTTTTTATTGTAAATGATTCCTTTGTGCTTCTGCTGGGCCCACTGATTACTTTCCCTGCACTTTTTTGGGCATCTAGGTCTGTCTGGTGCGAGGCCAATTTCATGTATGTTGATACATCTGTGAAGTTGACGTGAGAGTCCATCTGAAAAAGACGCAGAATTTGCCAAGATAACTTTAGGAAGCATGGGAGCAGAGCATAATAACAAACTGAACTACTTCGCAAAATTGTATGCGATAAACTGGGAAAATTGTATCGGTGCTGGTTACAGTCTTACTTCAATTACGCTTATTCTTATTTACTTCCAGCAGATCACCAAGAGATCCAGTAACTTGCAGATAAATTTTCGGAAAAATTTAAACATTCCATCTCATGCAAAAGTTATGCAACATGAACTTTTCCAAAGATCTGCTAACGACACCAAGGTACTTGTTAATGAACTTCTATTCCAAAATTTGAAAACAATAGTAAAAGCCTATTACGAACCAAGTCCTAAGAATCTGTGTTTTTGTCATTAAATAGAGACATTTCACGTCACCTCACTATTTTCCAAAGACTTATGTTGTACCTTTCATACTTTTCGATAATAATTATTTGAAAATAAAACACACGTTAGGATCCCTTACCTTGTAAATAAGCAACTCATAATCGTCATCTCGTAATACTGTACCATCTTCATTGACAAGTTTGATGAATGAAAAACCGAAGAATTTCTCTCCCTTTGTACGTCCTAGAAAGAGAAAGAACCCATAAAAAGCACATATAGTATGCTTTATATTTGACTTTCACCCAGGCAATTAAACGTGCCTAAGGATACTAGGCAAAGCGGATGGTATGACCGTTAAGCCAAAGCCCATTCAAACATCTTCTCAGCTCATAGAAAAAACATTAAAACAGCTATACTAGCAACCTGGGACCCAAATAGTTATATAAACAGTTAAATAAACAGTTATATCTACTTACCTTCATGTCTTGTACAGTGACTATAAGTAAATCTTAAATGAGCCTTGTGGAATTCAGTTAAAGGGATTTCAATCTGTGGAAAACGTAATTTGGTTAATTATTTGCATTCATACATTGTAACAACAATTAAAAGAGCACTGATATTCGTAGAAACGACGCTTTGTCAGAAAAATATTTCATTCCAACCATAAATACGTAAAGCGTCAGCAAAACTGAAAATATCTAATACTGCAGACAGTGCGGTTAATATTGCCAATTAAAGCTTGTCTAATGAAGCAGATGATTCAGTAATCGAGAACTTTCTTGAAACATGAGTAATAGGAAGATATACACATTCAGAGTGGGACATAAAAGTACGGAACAGAAATATAGCAAAAAACGTTGCAAGACGGCAAAGAACAACTGTATAGATCATACCTAAAAACAAATACATGCCTAAAATGTTTCGGCTGACTAAAGGCACTAAAATGCATTGCAAGTATCAATTTACATTTATGGTACTATAGTTTAACTCTTCCGTATGAATATTTCAAACATATTCTTTTCAAGAGCCCTTATCAAATAATATTAATTAATCTAGGAAAAGCAAGATATATATCAAAACAGAGTTCGGATCTGACACCAACTATACTTTTCCTTTGAATGGGCAATACATTTCGCATTCTAAAATATATAATCTTGAAGAAGGATTGAAATTTGCAAGCTATGCAATAATAATGTCACACATAACATCGCAGACCAATGCAAAACCTTAGAAAAATATTTCATAGAACCTGCTCTTAACAGAAACATTTTTTTCATCTTTTTTGCCTTCTCTAATTGCATAGGAAACAAAAAAGGGCCAATACCTTCACTTTCTCGTTCCATTGGGGACTATTATTGTGGTAGAAAACAGATGAATGATATTCGGAAACAGGATCTTCTCCGGTTCCAAGAACAATACAGTCCTAAAACATTAATTTTCAAAACATCGAAGATTGCCTTTTGTGGGTAAAAATAGTGTTAAAACCACGTTTTCAAAATTCACAAAAAAAGGTAACGTATTAACAGTTTTGCTCAGAATCTTGCTCAGTTCAGCTAAAATTATTTTATTTTACAATCTTCCTACATCTTTCTTTACTATGACTAATGTTTTGACGTGCTAACAACACATATGTTAAAATTTTTCTTTGGTTATGGCGAACGTTAGCAAAAAAATCAGGTACCCAGTTTAATTTAATTAGCAACATTTTTCGGTTATCATAGAAAAACTTTTTAAAGAATATTCTTCAAAACGAAAGATGTAAAATTACTCATATACTGCGAGAAAATATATTTCTTACATTTATTCCGATTAATAAAACCACTTTATGAATATCATAACAAAGGCAAGTTCTTTTGATAAACTCACATTAATAATTCTCCCTTTGTCTGTCACAACTGACATGGTTATTTCTACGTTTCTCTGCGCAGTTTTGCCACCTGAAGAAATTTGTAACATTGAAAAAGGCAGCCATAGAATACATAAAGAAAGGATAATTAGACTCTCAATTCCAAATTAGCAACATAAAAATGGAGTTGAATAGTTGAAAAAAAATTCAAGCTGCATTTAGCCGAACGTGGAAATGTGCTAAGTGATGGAGCTCAGATGACCATGTTGTAAAATATATAATTTAATTGCTTTGCTTAATTTGAATCGAACTAGAGAGTTACTAAACTTACAATTTTCTCACACGAAAATTCAGGGATAAACATCAGTTATGGTGCATCTAATGAATAAACAATATATTAAGAAAGAAAATGTGTTTTTTACCTCTTTCAAAATCAGCATGTGAAATTGTGACATAAAAATCGTTGCGAATGTCACCTATGGAAGTAACAATTAGAAAGTGGAAACTATATGCGAATAGCGACTAAAATAATGAAAAAGGAATATGTAGAAGGCAAGGGTTGCCTAATATGACAATGCCAAATAAATAAGTCAAAGTCTATGCACGTACTTCAGATGAACATGCAGTTATCTGGTAGTGAAGGACAAGTTATACTATTGATAGATTTATGAAACATATTTCTTGAGCCAAACAGTTGAAAAACTAATTAGTCCATTGCATCTATAACCAACATAGGTGAATTTGTAAGGTATCATTGAAAATGCAAGCAATAAAGCATGTAATGATTTTATACATATTTTGTTCTGTAAATATAAGTTTGTGGCTTTTTTTAAAAAATAAATCGGGAGGGAATGTCAGTCGAAGAATTTCATCATGGACAACCTTACGAGCATAAGTAGATGGTCAGGGAAGTAATAACCTGGCATGACTATGTCTGGAAATCCCAGGCGCCTTGTGACTGCAACTTTGCTTTTCTTTAAAAATGGATTTTCGTCGATAATCTAGCGTCAATAAGATGATAAAGTCATAGTAAATACTAAATACAGTTTAATGAAAGATGTTTATCCACCATTGGAAAATATCGATCGCTTAGAATCGGATGGTGTAGTCAGACTTTAGGACAATCTTCAGGTCGATTATAATCCTATCTGGTTTTCTCTAACTTTAATAACAAAGGTTTTGTGCAACTAAAAGTCTTCGTGTTTGATGGTGTACAACTTATCTGAAATCTCTAATAAAACTCTAACTGCACTTTTTCATAACAAACACTATTTATTGGCATACAAATGATGGACTCACTGAATACACCGATGAACAAGTTTAGCAACCCTATTTTAGATCATTGCTGTAGGCCGATTAGACCCTCACAAATTCTAATATGGGAAACGCTAAACAAGTCATCCAGTTGTTTTTCTTTTAAATACGCTTCAAAGATTAGCAACTCAAAATGATAAAAGTACTGGCACTATCCTGTGCCAGCCTTACGACGAGCCTTTCTGCTCATGAAATCATTAATGTATGCTAAAATGACATGGTGAAGAAACCATATGCAAATTATTATTAACTTATTTACCTTGTCCAAGTCACCTTGTAGCAGTTTGAGTCCAATGCAAATTTCTAGAAAAATAGGAAAAATTTTTTTCTTCTATTGGAGCAATGTTAAAGAATCGTCACTTGAAATTTTCGTTTGGCAACAGAGGCAGGTTTGCTGTTTCCTTCAATGATTAATTCTTTAATAAGACTTATAGTGTACTTGATATTATGAACATAAACAAATTCGTGTTACAATTTTATCTTTAAGAAACCGTTTGACCAAACTGGAAACAACACTTATTGCTAAATGAAGGGAAGTATGCTGCCTTTAATCTACACATTAAACGTTTATGTATTACACAAATTTTCAGTCAGTAAAATATACCACATTTACTCTGGCATTCCTTACCGTTTTGATTGGAGCCAGAATTGCTAAATTTGGCAGTTTGCTTCTTTATTATGTATTCTTCTAAATACTGGAACTCGGATTCACTGCAACTATAGACAGGAAAAATGCTTAGTGAAGACATAACTATCTATAACATTAGAGACAATATCAAAGCCATGACAATTTCGAGATCGCCATAAGCTGAAAGGGATCCGAAGTTCACTGACATTATTAAGAATGAAACGTTAACATAATATGCTAACAGTGTCGCAATTATTTTAACTGAGGGGTTATAGAAATTTATCAGTTAACTTAATACGCGAATGCAAATTTTTTTTAAAAAGGCTAAATTAAGTAAACTAAACAAACCAAGTCCCCATAAGTTTGCTTTTTTGAAAACTACAGCAGTTTGAATAAACCATATTAATATATGTATACTAAAGAGACATAAGTCAAACTCCAAGTTGCGGTTAGGCCGGTATACTGTCAGTACTTAGAGGGAAGGGCTTGATAAAGATAGTGGCCTTATGCTAACCGCATTATGAAGGCTTTCCCCGTAGCCTACTCAGTGATGACATCAGCACCAGGGGGGCTTCTGAGTAAGTAAGCATCCAATTCAAATGGGTTTCATATCCCTTCTATTTAAATCGATTCACTATTTAAAACACTCCTAGCCTTCAAGGACAACCTCCCGGCAACGAGTACCCCCGAAACAAAACTTCATCTTTCGGAAAACTATGGCGCAAAATGTTATCATTTATCGTTAATAGGCCAGACACATGCAGCCGAATACCAGGTTTTGATAAAGGTAAGATAATTAAAATTACAAACCTGTATACGGGCATAAGGAACTCTTTCTGTTCCTCATCAACGACAACTTCCCTCAAAACATCAGCAACAAATATTACTAAAAAAAATTAATGAAAAGCAAATCAGGATTGCTATCTAATAGAACTTTTCAATAAATTATGTTTTCTCGGAGAATGAAATAAGTTACATGAACATGACTTTGAGTAATTTTCCAAGACTTCTATATTGTTTTGTAATTGTGTTTTATGATCCTTTTTTAATATCATGAATAGCTATCTTGTCTTTTATCTGTTATATTGCCCTAAATATTTTATTATTTATTGCCAACCTGATTAGCAAGTTGATTTTTCAATATAACACTTCACAGAAAATGAGCTTTGTCTACGAATTTTTGACATCCAAAATCCTTTCGAATATGACATTTTTGGCCTCAGAATTTCGTGTAAAGCGTCAAACCACACGAGCTTGGGGCTGTGTATTATACAACTGGAGAAAATTATTAGCATGAATAAAACATTAACAACATAACAGAACATAAAAGGTTCCTAATATAACTAAAACAAACATAAAAACTTGAGAAATTGAAAAACATAATGGGCGGTGGTAATAAAAAAACACAATATCGTGTAAACAGTTACAGGGATAAGAACAAAACAGTAACATGCTTCCCATTGACAGAAAACATGATTCTTGAATGTATTTATATCATAAATTAAATAATGAATTTCATCATGAGTAATGATAAAATTGCCCGATGCAAACCTCCAACACCAAAGGGCCGTCGAAACGCAGTCAGCGGGTTCTTCTTTGAATCGATCACGAGTTTTCCTAAAGGATATCAAAAGAGAATTAATAGAGAGCTGACAACAAGGTTGCTTTATTGCTTGGTGGCTGAAAATATTTCAAGTTCCTGTGCAGCAAAATACAGATGAATATTCCATCAGTTTCAAAAGACCAAGAGCATAAATGGGTTGCTGTGATTTTGTACAATATCTATTGACAGGACCGTTAGAGTTTGCTGTATATTAAATAACCATTCTTCCCAACAATATATTTATTGTACTGCATTGAAAATCTACTGTACAGAAAGGACTTATGAAAGCTCTTAAGAAACGTATTAAGCTTTGATATTCATATTTTGATTTTATTTTGATTAAATACTCTCAAGAAAATTAAAGACTCTAGATAGACTTTAAATAATATTTATAAAATATCATAAGCATGTTATTGATGTTTTAGAATATTTGAATCTTATTTGCTAGCTTTTTATAACAGTTTATCAATGTAACTTACAGCTGCTTTAATGATGGGGATTTTAGCAATAATTGAAACATCGATATAGGTCATTTTTCAAACCTCATGAAACTACAGTTTTATTCGAAGGCAAATCTTTGTTTAAATGATTAATAATACGTTTAAATTTTGATCTGAATAAAGAATGGCGTTCCCGATTTCTTGAAATTCTGTTATCTTTCTTTCAAGAATTCAAATGTTATAAACTGTTTAATACGTAGTTCAAGTATCTGTAATCAACCTTTAATAGCAGATTTACAATTGCATGTAAAATATGTCTTTTCAATGAAATTAGACCTTTAAAATTACATCATTTAATTTTGTTGAAGGTCATTGGTTTATTTTCTAAAATTTAATGTCGGTCTCTATGTATCCCCAATACCTGATTTCAAACTTCGAGTTCTTGATAATTTTCTTTCACTATCTGAACCTAAAAGTTTCGAGATATATTTAAGGCTCTTCTCATGATAAATGTATCATAATCCTAAATTAATAAAGCACATATTTAAACATTTAAGCAATTAAAAACAAATTTATAGAAAAACAAACACTTATTATTCATTCAACCATTTGTTAATATTTCATCTTTTCAGCTAATTTAATCTTTAGCATTTTTTCGTTACCTCAACGAGTGATTCTCTTGATTAAACCTAGCGTACTTATTTATTTCTCAAAAACAATTCACCACTTAGCAATGATCCTATTTTAACATGTTTAAAAGACGTGAAATCAGCAGGTAAATTATTATTTAATCACAAATTTATTAAATTACTCTGTTTTAAATCCACTTATAATCAAATTTAATAAAAGCTGTTAATAATCCCGTTTAGATTGTTAAATTTAAATTATCCCACTTTATTAGGCGTTATTGTGTATTCCAAAATAATTATTGGCAAAGATTGTTGCTAATGCAAAACCTTTGAAATCTGAAACAATTCAATTTGAAAAATACGTGGTTAAACAAACCTTGTCTAAAAACATGGCAGACGAGATACAGTTCACGAAGCAAATCTGAGCTTGTCAGGTCCTGTGTAATATTGATATGATATTAATAGAAGATATCAATAAAAATTTCAAAAGTTAACGTAACCATGAAATCTTTTCATCGATGTGTCAAAAATCTAAGTAAGTTATACAAGCTGTCACTGGCAACTTCAATGGAGGGAAATTACCAAGAGAACTATCGATTAACTGAAAAATATATAAACTGTTAAATGAAAGAGCTTGGCAAAAGAAAACTGTGCTTAACAATAATATAAGAAATATTTTATCGCTCGTGCCTTATACCTCAATTTTAACTATAGACGACCTAAACAATGAATAACTTCTACAAAAGAATAATTATTGTTCTATGGGTAAGCAAAAGCAACGGCTTCATGCAAAAGCTAACAACTAAAAAATCACGATTTACAAATTACATAGAATTACAATGTGTTACCTAAGATAAAAAACATATTTACTTTATTGATCGTAAAAAAATTTACTGATTATTAAGTAACATACCGAAAAAACAGCAATCATTTTCTCTAGTTTATCGAGATCTTTTGGCATGCCATGTTTACTCAGCGAGACCATGTATCTTTCACTGAATTCGGATAAAAACCATACATATATGCAGTGGAAACATCAATTTGAAATTAGTTTTTGCGTCTAAGTAACGATGGAAGAATTAACTGGTGATATAAGAAAATGATTATAGCCATTGTCAGAAATTCGATTGAGTAGCATTGCTTTAAAATATAGAGCTGCTCTCTATAATAAATCTTTTGCAATAACTATACATAACTAACAAATACATTACTCGTATTCGCAGTGGCGTCGCGTGACCATTCTCGCTGGGAGAGGGGGGGGTGTAAGAGATGCAAAACCATATTTTACTGACAGAAATTCTTTTGTTACATTAATATTTTGTTATAAATTTAATTCTACCGACGAGTTCTCTGAAAGGTGGAGGGTGAATTTCAAAACAGGGTTATCAACACATATACAAATAAAATATAATTCCCCAGCATCTTTTTCTAGGACCTTCTTGCCATCCAAATTAATATATGTAAATATAAAGATAAATAAAACATAACATCCGCTTGAGCCTATCCTGAAAAGTTCCTTATCAAAACGACCATATTCAAAGGGAGAGATCCAACACAACAATAACAGTTTCCATACCTGATATATTCGGATTGCTTGCTATCGTAGAGTGATAAAAATATTACAGAATCTTCCCCCACATTCACCATGAAACTCTTCATCTCCATTAACAAGTGCCTGTGTCCGCCCTTTGCCAGACTTGACATTGCTGTTTTTCCGGAGTCAGTTCGCTAAAACGACGGTTATTTTTACCGATTTATTCACCTATTACAAAAGACCTCTGGACATACTCAATATCAATACATCTTTAGAAATATTGCTACCTATCTCTAATGGAAATTTTCAGAGATAAACAGGGTGATTGAAACAAAATCTGAATGGGATAAAAAGATAATTGCAAAACTGTCACAAACTAAAATTGGTGAATATATGTATATTAAACCTATAACAAGAAATCGGAAATCTAGCATAAAACGGTCTAACAATTAAATAACAAACAAGAAGACATTTTTGCATGATAAATACATTAACCCGGATGCCTTAATAATCTAGACATAGAACAGGTACGATCAGACACAGTCTTTAGCAGGATTAGGTATTAAATCTTACAAGGGACAGGCCTTTTGAAGTACACGAATTAAAAATTTCAAGAAATCAACATCAACTCACTGAAATTGATTTGCTATTTTCTGTGCTGTCCACATGCTGAAAGTAAAGCAATGTTAGCATTTAATGATTGAAGAACACAAATTTGTTAATCAGTACGATGCCTTTTATTAAACAAAGATGTATATCATACCAACAATAAAAGTTTTTATTCATAATAACTGATTGATAAAGTCTGGCAGAAAATATAAAGAGTGAATATTGGAAGAAATATGAAGGATAGAAAAGCTTAATCGTTACAACAAACAATAAGAAAGTACCTAACAGGTAGCTTGGTAATCTTTCTAGAAGAACAAAGAACGCAGGGAGGTTCTAAAAAGCCTGATGTGAAGGAAATTAACTGTGTCAAACTAGTTAAGATGGACAAACACTGAACAGAAAACCAACTTAACTGTAGATCGTGATCCTGATAGAAGCAATGGAACAAAAGCATCAAGCTCGATTTTCACAGCTAATGTTGACATAAATTGAAACACAACAACATAGAAATCCGGAGAAACCTAGGATAATTCATAGCGATGCAGAAGCTAAACAATGGTTGGCTTTCAGAGCAAAGTTTGAGTAAATCTAAACACTTACTACATTGTATAGTTGAACCATACTCAGAGTGTCTGTATCAACTATGTCCCCATCCACTCGAGGGACAAGGTCTAGACCAAGTTTACTGGAAAAGAGGATAGCAGAACAATAATAAAAAAAACACAGGGACGAACTACAGCAATTTTGAATGAACAAAATTTTGCAACAAGAGATCCTGATTCTTTCACTTGATCATTCCAAAGGCTAGTTTGTTGATACAAAGTATTTTGAAAATATCAGAATGAATGATACCAACCTATTTCCCCAGTCAATTCTTTTGGTAATTAAGTGTTTGATCTCTCTTTGTTGATCCTGCGAAAATAGAAGACATTAAGCATTCTTTTCTTTAAATAACTTGCCCAAAATTTTTGAGTTAAGACACATCTTCAGATCCCCTTTTAATTATCATACAAATTAAATTAATTTTTGAAAACTAAGGAAAATTAGCAAAAAACTTTGCATACAGTAGCAACCTTCATCATATATCAAAACATCATACATTAAGAATACCAAAATGTTTCTACACAAACATCTGCATCTTGTGATAACTACCTGTGTCAATGTTTTTGACATGATTTGACGCCGGTGATCAATTAGATCAAACATTACTTTTCTCAGGGCCATGAACATTTGTGAATTTTGCTCCTAGTGGAAAAGGTAAAACAGTATACAGTAGGTTTCATAAAAAATAGTTACTTGCTTTTAAATACAACTGGTTTTGTTATTGTTTGGTCATTATCAAATGCTTTGGTCTCTGTATTCGAAGCAAAAAAAACACGAGGTCCAGTCATATCAAGAGGAAGGACACTGCTTGATAAGCAAAGCTTCTCAGTCTCCTAATAACTATCTTTGAGCATTAGGTATAAAAAATTACAAAATTTGCATACATGCAAAGATAGACCTAGCTTAATAGCTGTTTTGCTTCTTTAAAGCTTTAAAAAATTATTGTGGCCTTCAAACTTCCTTTCAAAAAATCACTTTTATTTTAGGTTTTTGAAAAAAGAGAACATTATTCTGAGTCCTTAATTTTTATAATATAACTACAATAAACTAGAAACTGAAAATATTCAACACTTACAAGATATAACTTCTTCCATATTATACCCCATTCTCTAAGAACGGTTGTTACTTCTTGAACTATTGGCTCTACTTGGGGATGAACAACTTCATAGTACCTAAAAAGCACAATTTTAGGCATGGCACATGAATGATAGCCAGTAACGGCACAAATTAATTTAAAACGATTAACACTACAAGAAAATTTTACCAACCAGCCTACTTGAAGAAATATATCCAACAAGACTTCAAATAAAAATTACTTCACCATGTGAGTCAAAAAAGCATCCAAAATAGTTGGAAATCCAAAATCTTGGGTCCGAAACATTGCTTTATGTTAAGAAAGTATATATGAATGCAATAACATACCCTGGATTTTCCACCCTAGCATCTTGGAGGCAAATTATATTTTTGGGAAATATACCCTAAAAATGAGAACAGGACAAAGTTAATTGAAATATTAACTTTGCTAAGCATCTTACATATTTGGGTTCACAATGAAATGACATATTGAAAATAGGCATGGTACCACAATTGATACTGGCAAGGTAGATAACTTTGAATAAGTTCTAAACTTTTCAGATTGGTTGCTTTTTTCAAACTAATTTGCTGCAATAATACAATGACATCAAAGACCCAAATAGAAAAATTTTCAAGCAAATAACTGACTTTTTGGCACCGTTTGGTAATCTAAATGCAAATCTCTGTACCAGCAAGGATAACTCATTTGCCCCAATAAATATAAACAAGTTTTAGCATGTCCATATGTTTATGGCATTATTTATCAATTATTTAAACTGATGACCATGCAGAGGATTGCATGGGTAAACCAAAGAAAGTTTCTTTCGCATCTGGTTAAATAATAGAAAATATTTGTGAAAAACTTTTTCATGAGATTTTTATGTGGAATTGATGATCAACAACAACAGTGGTGTTATCTGACCTATTGAAAAATGTTTTCATTTATGCAGGATCTTACCTTCTTCCCTTTGTTCTTTATAAGGCATCCTCTGAACCAATCTAAGTATGCAAATAAAAATATATCAAAATACTGTCTATGTCGGCATGGAGATTAATTTTTTCTAGAAACAAGCAACTTTGTGGATCCCTTTGTCAACACCTATAAAATAACAGCTTAGTTTCTGGTTAAGATATTGCAGATGGAAAGTTTAGCTTCTTGCTAAATATGTCAAACTGTCTGTTGGAAAATGCAAAAAATTACCTCTCAGTTTTAAAGGTAACCATGGTTTCAGTTTATGTGTTGATAAATAAATATGTAACTGGATATTGATTATACATATCTGGACTGCCTTACAGTTTCTTCAGTCAGTGCTGTTGATGTTTTTCCTAACTACACTCTGAGGCAACATATTTTTTATTAGAAGCTTACTATTAAGATGCAAAACAGCCTAGATTGAATTCTAGGTTCACTTTGAGGTTTTCTACTAGAGAGCATTTCCTATTCAAGAGCATTTAAAGAACATTCCCATGCAGAATTATTCATTTAAAACTTTAACTATCAGTTTCTTATCTTTCTCTGATCTACTCAGTTATATTTGTTTGTTACCCACCTTGAGATTCCTCCAGTATCTGAACAGTCTCGCCAACCCTCAAAGAAATTCCCAGCTTTACTTTCTCTCCATCAAAGTTATATATGGCTAAGGAAAACACCAATAATTTGTCAAGTTACAAATATATGATTTATGGTATCTGAAAATTTTAAAAAGTATAATTCATACAAATGAGGAGCCAAAACAGATTAATATTTTGGTAGCTCTGCTGAAATATTGGGCAAAAGAAATGAAAGTAATAAAAAACTGTGTATAAAAGAAAATTTGAACAGAAATTCAGGCTTACCTTGATGTGTGGAGGGGGTAACGGAGCATTCAAATATATAAACAATAAATTCTGGCATTAGTTATAGATCATGGGGATAGTTATTAAAAATATGATACTTTCTCTGAAAAGGCTCTGAATGACCAATCCTTAAAATTCAAAATTAAATGAAAAATTCCTTAATTAATGCAATTGAAAATGCATTGTTTGTAAAAGAATTCCTTAATTAATGAAACAGAAAAAAAATTATCTTAAGAAAATTACCTAATTAATTTTACCTAATTTTTTATTTCTTAATTAGGTCACAAATGTAGTTTAGTGTAATTAGGTATATATAATATATACTAAGCTAAACTGCTTTGCTAGAATATTATGATCTGGTACACCAATTAGGATTGATCAGAGAATCTGGGTACAATAAAGGAAGTAGTTTCTCGACATATCCTAGACATAACTTGACAATTTTTTGACTTGATAATTTATAGTCATTCCATAAAAGAACCTTTACATCAGGGAATGGTTGTTTTGGATGCTTTATGGCTACTTTTCGGTGATTAAGGCAAACTGATTTTATTATTTTATGCACAGTGAGAATTCCAAGAAGGAGGAAGCAAAAACTTGAATGACGCCGGATTATGAAACATAAATATATAAGGAAACAGCTCTCTTTCAAATATTTATGGTTTAACTTCGTCTTTTCTCCCGTTTAAGCACGATTGAATAGATCTGCTAATTACAAGATCTCTTTTTCATAAAAATCTCAATTCACACAAGAGCTCGTTTGTTTACGACAAAATGACGTCTATGCAGGTAATGGCATTGACATATTAGCGTGATAGTCTGTCAAAAGATGGTTAAGCCTTACCAACTCCATATTTCGCTTTCTCTGAGCTAGGTTTCCAAGCCATTCTTTTTGTCCTTGAATTAATTCAGTTACTTGAGCATTAATATACTTCCTTTTCGCTATCCAGTACGACGCGGCCTTCTGCTGGCCAGCGAACGAAACTTAAGGTACGTTGCTCATTTAAAAGAAAAAAACAGCAAAATTTCTTGATTTCGATGCAGATCCCACAACATATGCCAGATCTGGCTACACTCCAACCACCGTGGTCTGAAGAACCAAAATGTCACTTATTGAAAAGTTGGCTCTGGGCGCACCACAGTCAGATAAAAGTTTTGGCCTATTTGTAATTCCTTGGCTCGTTTCAAGAATCCCTTCCAGTAATAACATTGTTTTCTGGAACATCAAAAATGGAGCATCGTTTGCCGGTAGTTTTTAAGCATACCATTCTCCGTGATGTGACAATATCCCAAACTTTATGTTACAGATTCTATGTAAAGATCTGTTGTGTCACTAATGATAGCCGCCAAAGAATTAACAACAACAGCCCTTTTTTAGTGCATCCCGCGGGTACCGATCCAATTACGATCTAGCGCGGGTTGTGTCACAAGAGGGAACAATGTGTGTCATTCACTCTCCGTACATATACATATCTTATCTATACTTGTTTTTCTCCATATTTGTCTTCCTGCCGAGCCATTGCACTTACTTGTTTTTTGTAAAAGCACTTTTGAAAGTGAAATTTTGTGAATATGGCTTTGGTACCGCAAAGTTTAAATGGCACGGAAAAGCGGAAACACAGAGGACAATAGCCATCTGTACCAAAGTTTGGATTGAAGGCAACAAAAAGGCGGACCCAGAGCAGATTTGAAGAGGGGCAATTGGAAGTGGGAGCGCTGAAAAATTTTCAGAAATGGGTGACGAGAGTACGCTGAATACAACAATTTCAGATCCTAACTACTGAAGGCCTCTTATTAAAATTTCTCTCTTAATAGATAGACGAATTTTTCGGCTGAACATTCGCTGCTCCGCCATAGATCTCCAACTCCATTAGAGTACTCTACAAAAAGGGCTGACTGCTGACTTCAATATTTTTTTCCGGTAAGGCCCAGAAAATTTTCAATTAGAGTATGGCTGTTCAGTTAAACAGTACTCTGCGCCATTATTGCAAAATGCAAGATTTATTGTTCAGATGAAAGCGGCCACTTTGCTTGGCGGCAGAAAAAGTTTCGCAACTATGACATTCTAGAGACAGCCGGAAAATGGATTCGGGATATTTACAACATCGACTGAGAACCAAAGACAAATATTCCATCATGAAAGTGCTCCATAAATGTATTTGGCTTGATTATGACATGAAGTTTGGACAGCTATTAAGCGTAAGAAATTGAACAATGTTTGAATGGAGGCAGGAATTAAAGAACACAACTTTATGGATAGCCTTTGTTCTCTTCCTGAGCGTGACTTTTCTAGCAAAACATGATCCATTTTTGGAACAAACAAGTAATCATGAAGTAGATAAACCTATAGGTCTTAGAATTTTTTTCAACTGATTCTCATTCTTCAAAAGTGACGCACAACTTCAAACAACGGGGTGTCAGATTTGTTTCAACTCGGTGAGGGAGGGGCGACTGCCCCTAGTTGCCCTCCTTAAATCCGCCACTGCCTGCTCGTTAACCAGTCTGTGACAACCAACATTTGGATACGATAAGAAACAATCTCCTTCTCAACTAGTCATCTGCTTCTTCAAAGCTTAAATTCAAATTCAAATTCATGCAATTCATCAACATATTTACAATTTATCGAATGTATGTTAGCCAAAGATATATCAATAAAAGAAAGAAGTTAGATAAATATTTATCCATACAATATGCTCTATATAATACAACTTGTAGTAAGTTGTCCAAGACACTGATTGAACCAATGAGGTGGATAGAACCAAAAAGATATTCGAGCCCAGTGCCCTGATACTTGGGTTACAAATGGTTTTTGTATTATAATTTCACTTTGCCATTGTTTCTATTCTTGAGAACAGTTTCCAATTTTAAAAAGAAAAAAATCTGTTTACCAGCCTATCTTTCGAAGAGATTTTAAGGTCTTTGCATCTCACTTCTTTTGTGGTGTGGTGAGAAGGGTTGTGACGGAAAGGTTGTGACGAAAGAGTTTTGACGAAAGGGTTTTGACGAAAGGGTTCTGAAAATATCTCGTATATTCCATTTACATAACATTACATTACATTCCGATGGCCAATTAGACATTAACATTGCTACTATATTAGGCAAATGTGAAAAGGCACCAAAGTTATGGGTAGGCGCGTTCTACTAGGGGAAATTGAGCTTTTTCTCGTGGAAAATATTAAATTTGAAGGTCCTAGAGGCCACGTATAAAAAGAAAAATGTGTTGGTTTATAGATTAGTCCTACTGCTATTTGAAATTTTTAAAAAAATTCTAAGAGTACAGTCTTATCAAAATAACTAGAATATATATACAGGAATAAAAACAGTTCAGCGAATGAAAGCTGTAATAAATGTCTTTCCTGTAAGTAGTAAAACAACTAAACGTTTACAATTCCCTGTTTACAATTTTCAATCACAGAAATTGAAATAGTTAAAAGTTAAAATATATAACACAGACGAGAAGCATTGCATGTCAAGAAATTACATGATAAGCAAAATTTATGCAAAGACGGACTAAATGAATCCAGGGACCGCGGAAGCGGGGAGGGCTATGGGGGCTTTAGCCCCCCAGTAGTAGCCTCCAAAATGTACTTGAAACCATACAAAAATTGCCCTGCTCTTGGCTTTTAGCATGTTTAGCCCCCCAAAACGATTTAGCCCCTCTCCGCGGTCCTTGAACGAAGGGCTACAGATGTTCTTCAAGAAGGGCACAGTCGATTGATGGCTATAAAAATCAATAGTATTTATTGGCTTTGAAGGAAAAAGTATTGTCAAGGAATGAAAGACCTCAAAATGTGGCTATATTTTTTGTTTATTATAGTTGCTTCTGTAAAGTCGTTCAAAGAAACTTGTTAATTTGTTGAATTTATTTGATCTGGGTAAATCTCGAGATAAACAAATGAAAAGGAAGCAGTTTCTTGACAAGTGTTCGGTGCATCTTTCAGGTCGAGCTTAATGTTGGGCACTTCTCGTCCATTAAAGGAGCATCCTCCATAGACGTTGGATAACAGTAGAGCATGACTTTCGATGCCGATTGCTCTAGACACTGCCTTTGTTTCCTTTTCTGAACCAAAAACAAGCTCAATCTGCATACGAAGGAGTTTCAATTTCCTGACAACTATTTTTGGCAATATTAGTTGCTACTTCGAGTTTGTAGAACTTTTTGTTTCTGTTTAACAATTTTTTGACAACGTACACGGAAACTTTATTGCCTTCTCGCTAGGCGTCTAATTTGCTATGGTTGGTTTTGTACGCATGCCATGGCACAAAGTGTAGTTGCTATAGATAAGACATAGAACGGGATTAGGGAGAATGCAGCTTGTGAAACTCCAAATTCTGCCTGTCAAATTTTAGCAAGAAGTTGTTGCTTTGCTGCTGAAGCACAGTAAGATAAGACACAGAAAATGTAATTTTCAGCAATATTGAATGCCTCTTTGAAATCATGGAATACAAAGAAACTCCAAAGGTAAGACGGAATTGACAGTGCTTCTCATGTATAGGTAAAATTGGTCAGAAAAGAATCTTCAAAAGACATTAAGAAGATTCGTTCAATGTGACACGATAGTTCCATTTCCAGCATTAGTCTCTGTAAGGGCATTTTCATTCTGGAAAACTATTTTATAGTAGTGTAATTATTTTGCTAACAAAATTAAAAGCAATACCTTCATGACACATATCCAGTGTTACAATTTTCACTTAAATAGTTATTTGCTAACTATATTATCGTTATTTTGGATGAAGTACCACATGCAACGTACATACTCACTTAGATATTGTTTACTGACTAAATATTTTAGCTTACACAGTTGTGACTCAATGATGAAGTAAGAGCAATCCAGCCTCAATTTGAAATTAGAAACAGCCAGTCTGACCTTCATTTTGTTAATTTTATACAGAAATTCACTAAGCGTTTTGTCAAAGCAGTCACGTGCTAAAATTTGCTGGATTTGTCAGGAAATTAGTTTAAGTTTGTACTCTTCTTGTATACTTGCCTTCAGGGCCGGTTCCATGGGGGGGTGTGGGGGGGTGTGACACCCCCCCAAGAATTGAGTTTGGCGATTTACTCGGTAAAGTTCGATTTTTGGTCGGTAAAATTATGTTACGAAGTTTTATATTAAATGCTGTGTAGTGCATCACTGCGCAAAAAGCAATTAAATATGCATAACATTTTGAATATCTAGTTTTCTTCATTATTGCCCTGTGCCTACAAAGACCATGTGATATTTGCTGGTGTGGTCTCATTCGGTGAGAACCTGAGAAACCATTTGTGTTTCCTGCTTACTCTATTGTTCCCTATTGTTCGAATTCCACTGATCGATTTATTCAATAAAACTAAACATAGTGACTGACGCCACCTGTGAAGAAGGCGCGAAACCCGCGAAGCAACATTCTCTGGTAATCCTTTATCTGAATGAAGCTGAGCTGACGAACAAAAGTAGAATTGAAAAACTAGTAACAGTAATAAGTATTACGCTACTTGAAAGGGAAACGGCAGCTTTTCAGGTAACTCAAAAACTTGCTTCAAATAATGATCTTTCTGTTTTTTGAATTTTATTTTCTGAAGACATATCCATATAATCATTTGTTTTGAATTTTGTAATTCTCGCGTAAGCCTGTGACAAAAAGTCTAGGCCTGTTTGAAAAGCAAGATTTTCCAAGATTTGACAAGGCCTGAGTTTGAGCTTTTGAGAATTTTTTCAAGTGGGTCTCTTCATCTGAAGTAAAACTGAGAACAATTATTTTTACCAGGCTATGTTTCACTGCTATGAAAAGAAGACAAGTAAAAATAAGATGCAAGGCAAAAGGGTGTAATTCCCAGCTCAACAGTGACTATCGCCTCCAACACAATAGAGAGAAACATGAAGGCAAAAATGTGCCATATGAAACCGCAGGTGCAGTTAAAAACCCTTTCGAAGCAGCTAAACGCAAGAAAGATAATCCAATTGAAGAAAAAGATTCATCTTCTTCATCTTCATCTGAGAAGATATTGGATGACAAAACCGAAGAGATTGGGTTAGCGAATTCTGCAAAAGAAGAATCAGTATCTAATATTAGTAATGTTGTCGGTGAGAATGTGGTTGATGAGGAAAGCGAGAGTGAGGCTGAAAACTCCGAAAACGATGACACCGATGATGAAAATGATGATTATTGGATTAGCTGTGCGGGAAAGCTCAAGCATCTGCTATCCACTTTGGAGCAAAGAGGTAATTTGACGTTAAACATTCTAACACAACCATGTACCCCAAATATCGAAGAGTTTGCGATATCTGCAAAAGAGTTTGCCAACGAGATTAAAACCCAGTGTAATGATTTAGAAAAATCTGCTGAACGACTTAAAGTCAAAATTGACAGGCAAAAAGGATCTGTACAACCTGGAGAAGCAGCAGCACTAATAGAACACGACCCTGGAAAAAGAAAAAAAGATTTGTCGGATAGCCAACGCCGTTTTGTGATAAACCTAGGTCCCTACCAGCCTCGCTTGACAGTTTATCCAAGTAATGCATTCATTGAATCTGGTAAACAAAATAAGTTTTCAAGCACCTGGTTCAAAGATTTTCCACATCTTGAATATAGCGTTCAAAATGACGCAGCATTTTGCTATGTTTGTTCCTTATTTCCAAACGGCGCTGGAAGACCCTCTTCAGATGCTTCATGGACTATTAATGGCGTTAGACAGTGGCACAAAATGAAGAGTGTTGGAAAAGGAAAGAAGGGCAAGCTGATACAGCATTTCACCAGCCAAAGTCACAGAGAAGCATTACGAGATTTTGCAAGATTCACTAACCCACATCAGAACATTGATGCACTTTTGGATTTGTCTCGTCGTCATGAAATGATTAAAGAAACTGACGACGCAATGTTTAACACCAAAATTATGTTAATATTATGTGATGCTGCTCGCACCATGGCTATGCAGGACCTTGCATTTCGTGGAAATACTGACGAATCCAGCAACTTTCATGAGATTGTGAAGTTAATCAGTCGACATTGCGGCATTTTGAAATACTGGCAGAACCAAACAAGGATGCGACCATACCATGTTACCTATATGAGCAAAGACACCCAAAATGAGTTGATAAAGTTGCTAGGTGACGCAGTGAGGCATCGTTTGGTGAAGGAGCTAGAGGAAGTCTCAGCGTTCTCAGTAATGGCTGATACTACCCCGGACACAAGCAATAAAGATCAGATGGCAATTGTTGTAAGATACGTCGTCAATGCCAAGCCGGTTGAGCGTTTACTGTGTCTGAGGATTCTCAAAGACAAGTCCGGAGAAGGCCATGCTGCAGAAATTTTGAAAGCTCTCAATGAGTGTAGTGTGGACCCACAAAAACTCGTCTTTCAATCGTACGATTTTGCGTCATGTATGTCTGGAAAGTATAAAGGATGCCAACGAGTGCTAAGTGATAAAATTCAAGAAGATTTTCCACACAAAAAGGAAATCCTTTACATCCCATGCCAGGCTCACAGGCTGAGTACATATGTAGAACGAAGCTCCAAAGCAAGCAGTCTTGTATCATCGATGTTTGACATATTACAGTCATTGTACACATTCTTTTCTAGTAGCACCAAGCGATCTGAAGCACTTGAAAAAGCACAAGTTGAAATAGAAGGGGCCTTGAAGATGCGAAATCTTTCGCAAACTCGTTGGATTGCTAGATCTGAATCTATTGACAGTGTCTGGATCTCTTTGACAGTAATCGTCTCGCTGCTCGAGCAGATAATGGATAGACAACTTGACTGTGACAAAAACACACAGGATCAAGCCAAAGCAATTTTGAAGAAAATGAAAACATTTGATTTTGTTTTCAGCTTGGCTACTATGAGATTCATAATGCGGCACTGTAAGGTTCTGGTTGTGCAACTTCAGGAAGAGGGTTTGAATTTACTCGACGCACTTGAGCTAGTGTCATTGACAACTAGGGCGTTAGAAAAGATTTGAAATGAAGATGACGTGCAAAAGCAGATTGAAGCTGCCACACAAATTGCAATGCACATGGGAATAAATCCAGAAGAGGAGTTTCAGCACCGCCACAGAAGAAGATTGATTCCAAGAAGAATTGATGAAAACCGAGACAACGAGGAGGCATTCTCCTTCCAGACGTTTTATTCGAAAGAGATTTATTCTGTACTTGATCAGATAATTACAGATTGTAAAGAAAACTGGGGTAGCATTTTGAAGAAAATAAAGCCGTTCACTGTTTTGTTGCCTCCTTGGGATAACTTAAGGGAAGAACAAGCAGAGGATCTGGAGCATTTGTTGTCGGGGAAAGTTTCAAGTGGCAGTCTTATTGCAGAGCTTACTGTTTTGAGAGAGGACTTCCAAGAGAAAAAGTTGGTGAAGAGCATGACAGTCCGTGAAATTGCAAAGTTCGTATATAGTCGAAGGCACATTTATCCGGCAAGCAACACAGCATATACATTCCTTCAAACAGCACCAATTACTGTGGCTTCAAATGAAAGATCTTTTAGCAAACTAAAGTTGGTGAAGACTAAGCTGCGGAGCACAATGCTCCAGGACCGCCTGGAATCTCTGATGCTGATATCATGCGAGAAGGATTTCTCTGAAAATGTCAACTTGGAAGATGTTGTCAAGAACTGGATACACTTAAAAAACAGAAGAGTTCGATTTGACACTACTTAAAGTTAATTTATTCATATATTGCGCTATAAGAACTGAAAAAGAGGCTGGGTCAAAAGCTCCTAATTAAATGACTCGCAAAAATCTGAGGGTTATTTTTTGACCCACCATTGACTCTGTATTTTTATTAGAACGTGCTGTATTTGGTTGAAACGCTTTTTTCAGATTGAAGTTAAAATTAAAGTTCTTTCGTTAAAGTTAAATTTCTTAAATTAAAGTTAGTGTAAGTCATTTAGTTTTTAGTTCTGATCACGATTAGTTGAGCTCAAAATTTTTGGTATTGTTTTTTCTAAAATTACTCGGTACATAAGAGCTTACACCCCCCCAAGAAAATTTCCTGGAACCGGCCCTGCTTGCCTTTGTAAAATCTAGTGAGAAATTGCCCTTGTAAGATTTTGATCGTCACTGGCACTGTGCAGCAGAGCATTTTTATGTGGCCAGGGGCATCGCCAAAGGGGGTTATGAGGGGGTGCGGTACCCCCAACAATTTGTCCGTCATCACATTAAGGATTTTTTGCCGGGCAAAAAAAGCTATTTTTGTACTCACCCTGGAACCTTTTTCAACAATTGTAAGGTATTAACTTATCTGTCAGTATATAAGAGTATTTATCTTTTGACCACACCCTTTAAAAGTGAGACACGCCCTTTTTAGCCGGCATAAAGGACCCAGTTTAGATTAGATTATTGTGATTAAATAAAAGGAGCACAGCAACTCCGTAGAGTTATATGTAATGTTTCTCATAAAAGCAATGTACTATGACGTTGTATAGCGTGAATAGAAAGAATTAATTTGAGTTGGATATAATGTAATAAATCTAACTCATAAATTTCAAGAAAAGAAAGTACAAAGTCAAGAAAAAGAGATAATGTCACGATAATGTCATTTAAAAGTTTATTTTTTGAAAAACAATGGAGGTCAGTTGAAATTACCAGGGTCCCAAACTACTGGGGAAATTATGTGATTTTGCCTGTCACTACTGGGGAAGTCATCGGGCCTACTAGGGAATTTTCCTCAGTAGTTTCACTGTAAACAAATGCTCTTCTGTGCAGGTTACGGTGGTTTTTATTTGAGATTCACGTACTGTGGTTTTATAAGCCATTGGATGCGCAGGAGGAAGGAGTTGACGCCTTCGAACTGCGCAGGAACCACAGCGATCATCCTTCATGCAAAATATTGACGGTGATCGCTGTTGGATGCAAGAAATATGTTACAGTATTAGTTCAAAAGAAAGAGCTGTAAATGTAACAAGCGATTGTTTTTATGATAACAAAAACCAGTGTTTTCTTTGATTGTCTCTTTTGGAAGGAACAAGTGATTGAATTTGTATTTCAATCTATGTGAGTGCCATAGAAAATATCAAACTGGTGTAGGCCCGCAACAAACAGTTGTTGGGGTTTGCAAGGAAGTGGAATCTTAGAATTCCGCGATGGGTTTAAAGCCGCTAGAGTTCTCTGATTGCTATCTGGACAGTCCGTACTTCCGAGACAATGTTAATGAACACGAGAAGGAGCTTGAAAGAACTGGTGAACAGATAAAAGGTCTGATAAAAGAATGCAAAGTTTTGCTGAAAGCTGTTGACAGTGAGTGCATAGACTATCACAAATTTCTACCGGCATTGCTGCCCTCAAAAACTAAACATTTTTCATGTATGGCCTGTGTAAATCTATCTGAAAGCAAACATCAAGGAATCAGTACAATCAGGCTCGATGATATTGAAATGCAGAGCTTTTTATTCACAAAGTTTGGAATCTAGTTGAAAATTAAGGCTATTCTGGTGGTATCGAGACATTCTACTTTTGTAGGCTAAATATATAATAGGATCGACAAGTATTAAATAAACTGTATTTTCAGCAGGCCTCTATATGAATAGGCTATTATGCGCCAGTTTTTTGCCTTTTGTTTGACAGCTCTAGATATTTTCCCCAAAGATAGGATTTAGATTTCCCAGAGTTTAGAAACTTTCTTCAAGAAAATGATTTTTCACTGTCAGTCCCCCTATAACAACAGCAAGAGTAGGAATCAAGAGGTAAGGTCACATCAAGAGGAAGGACTGGGACACTGCTCTATAAGCATAGCTTCTCAGTGTCCTAAAAACAACTTTAGCAGCTAGGTTGCAAAATACGATACAAAATGTAAAGAGTTTTGCATGGATTCACCTAAGGTGAAATTTCGGGTCGATTAAAAACACATTGGACATTAGTACTGATTCATAACTGTTCAGAATCTTTCATGAGGTCTATGCCTTGAGCCAAAATGTTACACTTTGGGAGGTTTGAGACTTAGCCTGTGCCTCGTGGTGCAGCTGGGTTCTCAACAAAAAGTGAATCAAACTGAGTCAATCATTGTGTACACTACCCTCACAAAAGCATTGCACCACCTTGTACCTGAGTGAAAGGAATGATTTATTCCCAAGCAAGAGGAATTCAAGTTTTTCCATGGTGTCCATCAAGTCCAGATTTGCACATCATTGAAAATCTTTGGCTTTGTATGAAAATCATTATAAACCATGAATTAAATGGTTCTTGAAGAACCAAATAATCATTAATTAAAAGAATTCTTCAGGTTTCGCATGAAATTTTACAATAATAAATTGCCTCATGTATATGCAACCGATTCAATAAGGCATAAAGCAGTTTCAAAAGTTTGTGGTTTCCGTCAAGAAAGAAAATTCTCTAAATAGATTCAAGTTTTGATGATTGGTGGTGTTTCACTTTCGACCCACTCCCATTTGCCACTTAAAAACACAATCAAGTTGCACAACCATGGCTTTCAATAATTTTTGTGCTATTTCCCCTCATTTGAAGAATTGCAATACTTTTGTGAGAGAGTGTATGTAATATCTGAACATCCTAAAACAGAACATCTAGCTTTTGACTTGAACTGAGCATAATTTGACAATGTGATAATGATAGTTTTTCAAATGTCTCTTACCTTACAGATAGGCTTTGTGGAATTATTTTGCTTGTATTTAAGTTAAAAGAGAATTTATGTTTAAATAAAATGCCATATTTTCTTTTTGTACTTTGTGCATTTACAGATACAGAAAATTTGTTATTGAAGGCATACATGCTTAACTTTTCAGACCTTTCCAAGGCACAAAGAAGTTTTTGCAATGTCTTAAAACACTTCACACTAAACTACATTGGAGAAATTGATACTCCTGATGAAATTGAAATTGGTGAGTAAAGTGTGTTATCTCCTTCTTAGATTCTATAATAATAAAAATAGTAATAATGATAACAACAACTTTATTACAGTGTCAGTGTGAGTTTAGCATTTCTGCTAATTGGGGACACTATTTACATACAATCTATAGAAAATAAAACTTAATCTATTAAAAGTAATATATTAAAGTGAAAATTCTGATTTCAAGAAAACTTTTAGAGCTTACAATGTTCATTGCATGAGTTGTCTTCAAGAAAAACCTCAAGGTCTTTTTGTCTAATACAGTTGCAGAAGTTATCAATATTTGAACTATGCCTTACTTTATTATTCAATTTAGACCATGCATCAGGTCCTAGGTACCTCAATGGATGCTCTCCGTACTTAACAGTCTTATTTCTAGGAATTGTAAAGTCTTCATTTCTAAGATCATATCTTTTGTTCGGTATTTCAAATAAGTCATTAATGACTCATTTAATTTTTTATTTTTGAAAAGCCAGGATCAACTCTTTTGACAAACTCTCACATATTCTCTCTTGTATTCCTTTTTGTAAATTTTTTTGGAGATCAAGAAACAGCTGAATACTACATTGTGTCATAAAATATCTGGCTCAATACCCATTATATTATCTGATTTTTCTAAATCTTTTTTATCCTGGACTTTTTTCTTATAGCTGATGCCTTCAACAATTTTTCAACCCTCATTGAAAGAGTTGAAGAGGAAAGAGAAAGAATGGTTATTTGAATATGATTTTTATTTCTATGAGATTTTAAAGTGTTTGCAGACTAGATTGATGTCACCCTTCTAAAGCAAAAGTGCAAAATGTAAGAGTCAACAAAAAGATGGAAATGAAAGATGCCTGTAACAATGTATTTTTTCATAATTACCTCACTATTTATTCTACCTTCTCCCTCAACTGCTCTTGGTTCTTCTCAAAATTCTTTCTTAAGCATCTTTTAAATGAAAAAATTTTGAAGGTTGAAAAAATGTGATGAGGCACAAAAAGTAAACAGGGACAATAAATCTAGCATTATTTGTTCTGTAAACTACATTCTTGATTGATATGTTTGAGAGAATTTAGCCTAGATGGTTTTCAATATAATGGTGAATAATGTGTGATTTTATGTTTAATTCACAGCTTGAACATGCCCATATACAGCTAATTGCACCACTGGAAAAATTCAGAAAGTCTCAAATTGGAAGTGCAAAGGTATTCTTTTTTCCATATCAGTAATGTTGCTGAAATTTCCCCATATCAAGCTGCCTTTGTATATATATTAGTAATTAGCTACTTAAAACTAGGGCCTTATTGTTTGATATATTTTATAAAGTAAGAAGGAAGTTGGCCAGTGAAATTTTATTATTTTCCTCATATGAAAAAACCTTCACTGTTTTGTAAATTTTTAAATTTTAGGAGGAAAAGAAAAAATATGAAGATGAAACAAGGAAGCTGTGTGCTTTGCAAGACAAACATTTACAGCTAAAAAACAAGACAAAAGATGAAATCTTGAAAGAGGTCTTAATTTTAATTTTTGTACTTAACTGGTTATGTGATATTATGCAATTTAAAGCATGTTTCTGTTTCTTTTTATACTTGTTAGTCATTTTTTTAACTTTCTGGCTCCATTATATTAGCAGAATAATGTAAATTTGTAGCCACATTGAGATGTTAATAATATTTTGATGCTGTGTCTATGAAGCATGCTAGGTTTGTTTTTATCATTGGTTTTCTTATCAATATTTTGCATGTCTTTACATATTTATCTGCCCAGTTATGTTTACAATTATGTCTATGGGATGCCTCACGTATAATGCCTAATATGTGAAATGCCTCATCCCCATAGAGGTAGCTCTAAGCTGCACAAAAGTTTTGAAGAAATAGGTGAATCCAACCTTCTAGAAATGATTTAAAATAGCTTTAAGAACTGCCAAGTTGTCCAAATATAATGATTTAGAAATAACTTCATCATTAAGTCAAATTGTGGTAATATTTATTAAAATCTGCTCTTGCACTTTTTTTCTTAGAATCCATTTGTTTTCTATAATGCTTCATTTTCAAACAGGTAGTATTTTTTAAGGTTGTGTAACCTCTGGAGATTAATTTTTTTTTATTTTCTAGTCTGACCAGCAAATGGGAACTGAGTTCAAGAATTTCCAGCATCTAGCTTTTGATTATGTTTCTAAACTCCAGGAAGTGAATGAAACAAAGAAGTTTGAGCTTGTTGAAATTGTGAGTTTTCTTGTCTCTAGCTTTCATTATTCCAGGAAATCTTTGAATTGCCTTAACTTTCAAATCAGGGGTGGACACATAGATGAACATTGGGGGGGGCAAGCCTATTGTTTTGATAAGATAATGTCACATTTTCCCATTGTTTTATGATAAAAAGACCATCTTTTTTGTCAGTTTACGTTATTATTTTCTACTTTTCAGCTGCTCACTTACATTTATGGACAAAAGACATTTTTTCATAATGGTAAGCAAGCTCATTTGCCAGTAAATTGTTGCTTAGCCCTGTTTTCATCTCAGAGATTCTGTCTACTCTAGGTTTAAACCAGTTCAATTTTTTTGTGTTTGCATGACATTAAATCTAAGGTGATCCAAGGTAATGTGTCATTGGATTCATTTGAAATTCAAAAATAATGCTAAGGGTTTTCCTGACAGTTACAAATCTTTTTTAGAGATCAGAAAATCCGTTTTGGAACATTGATATTTTGTTTTTGATGTCATTTTTTAATCAAATGAATTGGCCTATCCCTAAAATGGAATTTATTTAAGGAAAACTGGTGAATTTTCATACTTTCCCTTCAAAACATACAATTATTTTTGTTGGCTGTAAAAAGAAGACATGCAAATTCATTTCGCTATGGCACAATGGTAAGCAACCCAACAACAAACTTAACTGGTCACTTTTACAAAAAGGTGGAAATACCCTTGACAATTTCCAGAAGACTTGCTTAGTTTCGTAAATTCAGACTTTTTATAACAGCCAACATTGGGTCGATAGTGAAGTTTTTATTCTACAAAATCAGCAAGTCTATAACTTGAAAAAAGTTTTCCAAAAGGGTGGTTAGAAATAATGCATCTGGACTGTGTTTTTAATAAAGTAGAATCATAACCAAAAGTTAGATTCTCGAAAAAGGTCATTTTAACATACAGCATATTTAAGACTATTTATAATTTAATATCTCACTTCATTGGATTCTCCAGTTCTAAGGGTTGAACAAATTTAAGGGATTACAGAATTAATATGTTCGGTTGTCCTTAACATGACTCTACTTATCATTGCCATATTTTCAATAAAAAGATCCTTGTTTGATTTTACTGAAGTGGTGCTTGTCGAGTTGCGAATTTTAAAAAGGTTAGGATTAACAATAAGCGTCCAGCTTTTGACCACTGACGTCATATCATTTTCATAATGCAACAGACAACCAGCTTTCAGTCACGAAATCATATTCTCGGGATTACAGACAATACGTTTCCTATCCATCTCGTGCCAGCATTTAAGAAACGGTGCATTTTTGAAGATTTTGTGTTTGGATACAATTTTTCACATAAGAGATGGATCTTCATGTTTTTCACGTTCTTCGGGTGAGATGTATAAAGAAGCTGGAAAGTTTGAATACCTGTATTGCTGGAATACCAGAAAAAATTGGCTTTATAGTTGAGAAATGCTAAGCTCTAGGTGTTTTATATTGAAAAAAATCTTGAGATGCCTTTGGTTGTTTAAATTCAAAGAGAACTAAGAAACTTTCTACCTAATCCATATCTATGCCCAACCTAAAATATTTCCTGCTAGTAACAACACGGATACCAACAAATATTTTATGATTTGTTATAATGGCAGCTCGCCGCCCGCACTTAGGCCCATTTCTATTCCCTCCTAATTTTAAAGTAGAACTTGGTCTACGCCATTTGTCCTACGCAGCCAATAAAGGACAGCAGCACCACTTTCAATAAACACCCGTTTTTCTTTCAAAAGCATCCCTCCCCAAGAGCTGTTTCCTCGATACTTTCGATGCACCTTACGTTTTGCCTATATTTTCTGTCTGGATATTTTTGGTTATTGTTTTCGCTCGTCCCGGATGACTTAGTGTATGATTTATCTCGTTCATTCTCCGTTTTATTGGCTTCTGAAGGTCATTGGCCTAATGGAATCTAACAAAGCAGCCATAAGTACAAAATATTTTAATGTTATTCGTGTTAATGCCACCACAAATAGGTATCTGATTTTAAAACCAGTTAAGAATAATTTATTAATCACTGTGTACTTCGTGTTGTGTCGCCAGAAATCCGAGTTCATAAAAAATTTCTTCCATTTGTTCACTCACGGCTTTTCTTTTCTCAAAACGCAAGGTCGGGACTTCTAAATAGCATCGTTTCCCCTAGCCACCTCTAGTCAAATAGATGGGTCTTTAGTCTAACCACTTTAGATTCTTGTTTAGAAAGCCTATTGCCAATGTAAGACTTGAGAGTACCATATACCGGTGAGTAAACAAGATGGATAGCTGGGGTAAAACCACATAGAGCCTGGACCCTTGTAGGGGGAGCATAATATTTTTCGACCTGAATTGGATGATTTCCAAAACGAAGGCACTTGCTATTGTTGGTTAGGAGACACACCCCTTTCTTTCTCAAAATGGCGTGGCACGGATTATAGATATCACAAGGTCACGATAAAGTAATATGTAGTAATGAAAGGCATTTGCCTGTTGTATTCCCTTGGCATTCGTATTTCTAGTTTGTGCTCAGATGTAATGGGGAAACCCTGGCAGTTGAGACGGTGTTGCATACTTTTCCTTGTAGAGTATATGAATGTTGTAAATGATATATCAATTGTTGCTTGGAGTAGCAATATAATCACTCCCTCATTAGGTTTTGAAGATTTTTAAGAATCATGCACATAGTAGAAATACACTCTTTGCTTGAAATGTGATACAGGCCTAGAATTTTTATTCACAGAAGTGATTATTTTATGTCATAATTCAAGGTCTTGAAAAGTGTTCAAATCCATGAATTGAAAATTGCTTTTACTTTTATTATTCGATGCAAAGTTCATACTACGACGAATATTGAAATTGGGCAAAGAATTTAGAGAGTATCATTTAAATAAGTATGCAAATTTTTTAAGTTTTTTAGCAAACAGGTGTGTTTTGTGATCGCTCTTAGCTGAAATAAATTATTCATGATAATCCCTTTGGTCGGAATTTATTTGAAAAAGAATATGAAGACACAAAACGTTTGTATTTGAAAATACATTGCTGGTTACGTTTGATCAAGTTTTGCAGCCTTCGTTATTAATCGCAGGAGATCGAGATATCTCGCTTTTTATTTGCACATTTAGATGCCTAACTTTTTGACTGCATTCTGTCAGGTCATGAATGCTATACAGATGCCAAGATTTTTCTCGATGGATTAGCATATAAACTGCAGACTGTAAGTTGTGAAATTATGTTTTTCAGCGTGTCTTTTGATTAATAGGTAGAAACACTTCGCATTCTGGTTTGCCTAGTCGATGTTTGATTCGACGGCCGACCGAATGCAACTGTGCTTTCTGTAGGACTATATATCTGTGGTTTTTTATCGGTTGTAGAATTTATAGCCAAATTATGTTAGTGGTATTACTGAATCAAAGGGCGTGATTTACCGTAACTCTCATTTTAGTGATAACATCAAATTCCGGGCTACACAGAACAATAAAGCAGCAAATTCTAGTATACGGGATCATGGAATATCCATTTCTAAGTAGATTCAAGTATAACATAGCAAAAATAGGAATCATTTGTGTCCCGATTTTCCAAAGATAAGGTAAAACACATTTTATATTTTTCAAGTAGAAGCTTGATAGTGTTTATAATGAATAAATTTTGCAAGTAACTTCGCTCAAAAGTTTCATGACAAACATTATATTTTATGAATAAAAGTTTTTGTATTGTCCTATCCTTCTCCAATTTTTATCGAATATATAAGAATAATTATCTTGAATTCTTTCTCTGTGTAGCTGAGGGAACGGTACAGTGTTACCTCAGAAGAAGCAGAAGATCTGAAGCGTAAGGTCGAGAAGGTAAGGAACTTAAATGATAGTTATAAAGAAGGTATTTATTCCCCTTCGTAATCCAGCTCTAGACATTGTAGAAAATTTAAGTGGGAAGAGAAACCTTTATATAAGAGCCTCTTAATCGCTTTTCCGTAACGATATCACAGCCTCTCAGTCATCTTCCGGCGTTATCTTTATATGTGGAAAATGTGTGTCTGACGATGAAAAATCCGTTAGTTGGAAAGTTCGCAAGTTCTTTTGAATTAATATATTGGCTACTATTTACTTAATACAGAAACCGATACCATTGTTTCGCTCCTATGCATAAATTGCTTCACACCTTTGAAAATTAAACTGCCCACATTTTGCACAGAATCCAGAACCTCTCGTCGCCTAACGACACCAGCAATGTCGGACACTTATTTAACTCAATCGCTAGAGGACCGAATTCTTTTAAGTCATAACCTTGTAGGAAAAGCGTTACACAACGAATTTGCGTGAAGTTTGACAAAGATCACAGAGTGGCTTGCGCAATTATTACCTCTAGTTATCGATGCCTAGTGACGTTTGAATGCCGACAAGGCTTTAAAAATTGACAGTTTCGGATCCTTCCTTAATGCACCAGAAGTTTCTAGGAAGAATCCTGACAAACAACTATCTAAAATCATGTTTAAATAAGGCCCTCAGATAATCCAATCTTTATTCGTGGCAAAATTGCTCTTTAGGTAGTCATATTTGCCTGGTTTAAAATGGCGTACTTTTTGTTGAAATCGAATAGAACATTCTGCTTCAGTCACGGTACTATTTCTGACGGGTCTGTAGAGCTTTGTGATAGAATAAGCACTTTTAGGTGAATAATAAATAAGCATAGTGATAGAATAAGCAATTTAGTAATGCATTTTGCAAAATTTAATAATTGTATACTTTACTATTCTCTGTCGAATAAGCATTTGACACATAATTCATTTTGTGGCCTCTGAAAAAGTTCATTTCAACAAATAAGCTTATGGCTGCTTATTCAGGATTTACCGGCAACTTGTGTCAATTAAGCAAGCACAAAGCAATATCGTTCGGCAAAATGTATAATTAAGTCCTTGATCTTGCAGTATTCACAGTCAGAGATGATATCATTTTGGTATTTTGATTGTTTTCAGCAAGGAGAATCTGGTGAACTGCAGAAAGGAATGTGCGCAAGACAAGGCTACTTATACGTTCAAGAGAAAAAACACGGTAACATTATGTAAAGTTTCACCTGATTGTACAATTATCCTAAAGGGAATATTTTATTGGACTTAAAGGTTTTTTATTTTATTTTTTTCATTTTTTTGTATTGTAACAAGACAAGATTCTTTCTCGTCCGAAGTCCTGAAAATCTAGTTTAAGGCTTAGTTAAGCTTATGCAAAGCTTCTACATCAAAGTTTCCAGAGACCGTTTCTTTAACGATCCTTGTTTTGTCTCTCCAGGTGGTCTTGTTTCAGCTTGGACGAAATACTATTGTACATATCAGAAAGAGAACAAAATTCTAACCATGATACCTTATGTGCAGACAATGGGGAAAATGGTAAGAGATCTTGAAGTCACGATAAACCTTTTCGATTGAATTTTACTTTGAATAATTTGTAAAAGACCCCCTTCAGTTCTGTTTTGACCATAGAGCGAGGGAGCCAAAGCTTTTCGTACTATGTTTCATAAACATCAATGTTTCTTTGGATCATGAAGTTTATTTACATAGCCGTCTTTAAAGCAAAAAGCACTGGCCTCGTTTTGTATTCTAGAATCTGTTCGAGTTCAACCAGATGCGAATGGATAGATACTGAAAGAGTCATATTGTGTTGGCCATTGATAGACTGATCCATTTGTCTGCATGGAACTTTTTTTGATTTGATATTAGCTACGTCAACGTTTTACGGATAATAAAAAGCAATTTGATTCTGTAACAAATAAATCTTTCCGTTGTTAAATAATTTGTACAATATGACGACGATATCACAAGAACATAGGTGACGTTTTGGCTTTTTTCCGAGCCGGGGTTTTGAGATTGATGATAACAAAACTAGTTTCCAATGTTGAACTGTCAGCTACCAAAATAATTTCTCTTTTCGATGCAGTCTTATTTTTATATGATTTTTTTCCAGAATACCGTCACTGATACAATGGTAGTGAAATCATGCGAAAGGTAACCATTCCCCTTCTTCTAAGAAATTAGCCATTGTAAGTGCTATTTTTGTTTTCGATATAGATGAAACATGGAGCGGTTTCTGTTATTGCTTGACAGTTGAAGTTAAAAAACATCTGATTTCGTTTCTTGTAATCACACGATTCAGAATTTCCTTACGATTTTAAACTTGGATATATTTTTGATCATTCAAATGACTTCTTACGAGCGATTTCTGCACGAACATTCTACTTATGGCGCCGGTTGACTATCCTTTCTCCATAGTCGCCAAGCAATGAAAAAATCCCATTTCCTATTCACTGTTCACTGAGTAGATTTGTATGACAATTTTCTTTAAAACCAGTTCAAAGATTGATATCGTGAATGGCGTGATGCAAAAGATTTTAAGATGTTTTTTTGCATGATTTTCTTATGGTTATTGTTCTTAACATCGTGACTTGATCGTTATTCACTCCTTGTTAATTCGAGTATATTTTTAGTCATCTGATCTTGTGTGTTTTGTAGGAAGCCAACGGAGCCTCCAGAAAGACGATTCTGCTTCGAAATAACTGCCATGGAAAGGTAGGTTTTTGTCAACCATATATCATAGACTGATAAAGGCAATTTCAGGAGAGCTTAGATTGCCCATCGAATGCACAAGTTTGGAAATTGAATTTTTGGGGTTCCCTTTTTATTGCTCTTATTGTATTTTATTCTATGTTTATTCTCGAAAATAAAGTGCACAAACACAGTGAAGTAAGCTATAGTTTCAGAATAACGCAGTCCAGATCAATTTTATCCGTAAAGATTGAGAAAATGAATTATGATAACATTAAACGTGAAACTTGGGGTAGCAACCTAGAACCGTTCTCTTCTTTACACCGAAAGCGTGTACAGCTCTACTTGTACAGCATGGAACACTTTGTGACGACAGAACGGTAAACAGAAATTTCAATTAGAAAATTAATGAAATGTTAGCAGCTTTTTCTCTAAAATGCGAGAAACTGAGTATCTATGCCTCGTTGCAGACGGACATGCAACGAGGACATACAATTCTAAAACCAACATTTCATAACTAATACCTTTTTCCCTAAAACGGGATTTAGGAACTTATACGAGAGACTAGATTCTCGGTAAAAGATATTTGTCTTATCGAGACTTTAAGGTTGACAATAAAATAAATAAGTTCTTTTATTTTGAAAAACTGCTCGTTCTATAGACTTCACATTTCATCAATCGAGTTCTCAGAGTTTTTATTTTGTTTTTTATAGGAAGGAAGCTCTAAGCCTACAAGCGTTAAGTGATGAGGACAGGCGATGCTGGCTTGACGTGATGGATGGCGTAGAACCAGTGAGTAAAAAAAACTCCTGGGTTCATAGTGCTTTGCTTCGTTTCCCTTTCCGTAACTATTCTTGAGCTTGATTTTGTTTTTCTCAGTTGATATTTTAATGCAACGTTCTGAACGAACGTCTGCGATTACACTAACAAATAGCGATTGATTAAATTTTCCTTCTGAATAAGGCAGAGTTTTCCTTTGATTTTCTAGATCTACTTACAATCAGCAAATTTAATCAACAATGGTAAGGAGATAATCTTTTAATTAATGCTGTAGTTACCCGATCTCCTTTTCAAGAAAAATTGAATATTGCTAAGGCTAGATAAAGATTCTTGTAAAGGTTATTTAATCTAGGTTTTTCAGCAGAGAAAATAGAAAATTAAGATATGATCCCTTTTTGTAGATGGTATCAACTTTTAGGCAAGGATGTAATGCCTAACTGTGTAGCGAAGCATTTGAATAGAAATTAACCTATTTAAGGAAGCATGAAATGATAAAAAAGTCGGCTTAAATTTTAAAATTGTACATAGCATTTTGAGTGGATTTTAGCCGCATAAATTTTCCAGTTTTTGGTTTCAGGAATATCTCTCCTTGCTCTTAGCCCGGCTGAAGGCAAATTTGTATTTTTTGCAGCTAAGTATTCATGATTTATCAATGCTGCAGTTATGTTATTTTTGTGGTATGATTGTTTTGAAATCTGTTTTCCAGCGGATATGATCAGCGATATCGGGAATATCTTTATTCGAAAGTGTATTGCAGCCATAGAGAAGAAAAGTATGTGTAATCATTTTCACCAACTTACCATCCGTTCGCATAGTATTTGCGGTTCTTTAATGAATAAAAAATGGATCGATGTGAATTGTTACGGTTTCTGTAGATCGTTACTGCTTCATAATCTATTTTCATAAAGAATCTTCAGTTCTGTAGTTTAATGCTACTCTTTTTTAGCTGTTGATAACAGTGTATAACAACCCTGGTTGCTTTGCTATCGGATTCAAGTTCAAATGTTAATTAATAGTTCTACTTCAAAAATTGTCTTACTTCAGCCGGTTGTTTCCATCTAATTTATGATTTTGTATATTTTTCGAGTTGGAATTTGATAGATTTTCCCCTATACTAATCCTTATATCAACGACTTACTTGATTTGGAGTCTATCGAAATGGCTGCTTTCAATCCTTACTAAGACGGTTACCTATAGGATTGATTCGTTTAATTCTGGGGTTGGTGTAAAGAATGGTCTGCAAGTTATGATTGATTGTCAAAAGCTGGACCATGACTTTAAATTTCGTTTCATGTGCATATTAGGCCAAGCATGGTTTTGCTTGATGGTAGCTTTTTTTGTACCCACTTCATACGTTCCACTCATCTTGACAAAACGATTTTGCAAGGCATACTCTGCTGAATGTTATTTGCATGTAAATTTATCATGCTCGAAGCTATACAGTAATGAAGAATGTTCCAGTTTCTCAAAAACGGTGAAGTTAACATTTCAACAAAACGATATCATAAACGGTTTCATTGACTAATTATTTTTCCTCTGATCGACAAGCCTCTATTTATTTATTATTTTTGCTTTTATCTCTAAATCAGTTTATCAAAATATAGATTTTCCCTGATTCGTTTTATTGAAAGTATTTTATGACGTGATTGAATGATTGTTGAAGCAGTAACTGGGTATGTTTCTTGAAATTCTAGGCCTTGAGGAGGAAGGTTTATACAGAATCGCTGGAGTGTCGTCAAAATTTAATAATCTTGTAAAATTGGCAATAGGTATTGTTGTTACATATTTATTTCGTCATTTTACCGATCCTGATTTTGATGCTGCTTTTGTGTTTTAATGTACAGTGTTTCTATGTTTTGTGCATGGCAGTCAAGGACGCCTGCGCCAGGGGGGGGCAGCAGGGGCAATTGCCTTCTTTGTCCTCGCGAAAATTGGACATTTTCTTTATTTTGCTATGTTTTGCCCTTAGTCTTGGCGCTTTGCCCCCGTTGCTTTCTTTGAGTGCAGGCTTCCCTGATAGCAGACAATCTTTTTTGCTCCTTAGAAAAATTTTTGTGTTCAGCAATTGCATAATGATTTAATTGTATGATTGCACTTTGATTAAGTTGCAATTTCTTCCTGCGAAACTTCAGGGATTTTCAGATAAGCAAAAGCTCTTCACTACCCTACCTCCCAGTATAAGGGAATTGATAATGCCAAAAAGGCTTCTTTCGTTACCTGATAGAAAAGGAAAAAAGATTAGGTATTTGTCATTTCCTTTTAGTATATATTAAATTGTTATTGTATTTTAGACTCAAAGAAAGCCCCGATCCTGGATTTGGAAAGCGATCAATCGGAATTCGACCTTAGGACCATCACAAGCGCATTGAAACAGTACCTTAGGTTTGTACCTCTTTCTAATGTATAAGGCACTATATCTCGTCAGTCAATCGTTCAGGGTAAATAACAGGCTCTTTGGGGGTGTATATGAGAGAAAAAGGCGGAGAGAAGGCATGGCGTAGCTGATTAGAGAACATGGCAATAACCTATTGTATATTCTAGCTAACTGCAATTTAGCTGGTCGCTGAAATCCGTCATGGCATGTTGCCTTTAAGGTTTATATCAAATTATCTAAAAATATATTTATAAAACTACGTTACCCATTTTCTGTATTTGTTTAGATCTTTTTTCACTTCTATTCGTTTTCAAAATGTGTTCTCTGTTTACCGATATTACTATGAAGACAGCCCGAAAACAAGGGGTGTTGGCAGGCTCCACTTATGCTAATGCATTTTAGACTCTGTTGTTAGCATTTTTTATAATTATGCATATTCATCGTTGGCATCGCGTATTTACGGTCTGATCCGCTTTCATTCCATCCTCTTTGCATTGCGTTTATCAGTAATTGTATTCAATCAATTGTACTCAATTGTATTCAATATATATTGTAATCGTATATCAGTAATTGTTTATCAGTATTGTATTGTATTCATAGAAATGTAGTTTTGACAAAAATTCAAAACAGATACATTTTTAAAAATTTCTCTCGGAAGGCCACTTTTTTCATCACCGTTTTCTCTAAAAAGAACCGACAATTTTTTTGCAGGACTTTAGAAGAACCCTTACTTACATTCAGGCTGCACCTTGATTTTCTTGAAGCCATCAGTGAGTAGTATTTCTATCCTTCTTCTATCTTTAATTTACTTACGAATTCACAACAATTTCGCTTGATAAACCTTTAGACAGCAAAATTTGAAGATAGCACGTAAAAGCAGAAACATAGCAAACTGGGAAAATGACGAAAGTTAAGCAAAAATTCCTATCCAGAAGTGGATCGAAAGTGACGTGAGAGGAACAATGATGTTGTTGAATTGTTCCTTCATTCTGACAAATCAGCGACAGCTAACCTCTTACCTTGTTGGACTGTCCAGGAGAGTAAGTCTGTATAGTTCTTAAGCATGCCATGTTTCCGCTTTTTCGTGCTATCTTAAACTTTACACTTACACAAATGACAAAAACATTTCTCGTTCCCTTTTACTGCCTTGTAGAATTACCAGAACAAGAGCAAAGAATCGAAGCTTTAAGGGACTGCTGTTGCAAACTGCCTGAAGTGAATTTTTCTACCCTGAAATTGTTAATGGAGCATTTAGCGAAGTATGTTTTGCTCTGATAAGTAATAAATGTTTGTATTATCTGAATATCATTTTACCAGCCAATTTCTGTTATCATTATATATTACGATGGTTATAAAGCTCTAAGGAAGGCTTAAATCTGAAACAGAAGAAACTGCCTGCGGGGGAGACCCTTAGATTTTCCTTGGCTTATTTCATTGGCTGTTGATTTTCAGCGTTTACGCAGAAAATTACCAGTAGTGTAGCTATTTGCTGATCTATTGGCAAAATTTTCCAAATCGTGCAGCCACTCGTGTTCTTTTATACAAAGTGGAAAACGTAAATGGGACCTACATATCTGGTAGGGCTGTGAAAGAAAAATTATGCGAAATTTCTATTTTTGCGACTGTAAATTATTCTGAGGACTCTCTTCATTTACATATTAGTGTTTTATTGGTTGCTGATATAAAAATTTATTTAGCCAGATAATTTAACTCAAGTTTATGCTCATTTCGCTAGTGTTGCTGCGCATTCGAATAAAAACCTTATGCAGCCTAGTAACATTGGAGTAGTCTGGGGACCGACTTTGATGAGGCCAAGGGAGGAAACCATGGCTGCCATTATGAATTTGAAATTTCAAGGCGTTGTCATAGAGACACTTATCAAAGAATATGACAAGGTAATCCATTCTTTTCCATTCTCCTGAAACAACAAGCTAAGCAAATAATCGTGTGATCATTGTAGTGTGCACCAAGGAAACTATTTTCTTACCAAAATAATTTTTGAAAGTTAAAAAAAAGGAGAAAAAGCTACAAAACGAAGAGCTATGGTTAATTGATTCTAAATTTTTAATGTAATATGCAGTGAACACCGAGATGTATAGCAAGATTACAAGAACTTTACTAAAGATGATATTTGTAAATATCTTTATTCTATCTTCTAGCTTTTTTGCCAATTTTTCTAATTCGAGGCAGTGTAAAACCAACGACATGACTGCTATTTGTGCTGCTATCATTACTGAGTGAGGATCTTCTTCTTTGAGATTTTCTGAATATCAAGAACAAACTTCAGATTGAACAACAGCCTTCTAATTGTTGGTTGAACTGCTGCCTGTTAATTTATCGAAGTTTGTTTCGACAATTTATTAATTTTTCTTTTTTTAGATTTTTTCGGATGATGCTGGAAGAAAACCAAAACCAGAGGTTTCAAAGCCAGAAGTTTCAAAGCCAGAAGTTTCAAAGCCAGAAGTTTCAAAGCCAGAAGGACCCAACAACGAACTTATGAAACCGGATTTGAAAGCTGAGCCTAGGCGATCGCCAAACTTACCAAGAAAACATCATAATGGACCAATCGGTATTTCGAATCCTGGTTACATGGATGTAAGACCACCTGTGCTGCAAAAACCTGTCCATTCGCAAAAATCATATCCAGCTCCCCCGCCCCCACAAAACAAGCCTTTGCTACCGAAGAAAAATCTGAGCAAACCAGGTATCTCTTTTCAAGTCAGTTTAGACTTTTTAAAAAAATGATGATGATTAAATATATAAACAATCTTTTGGTGGTACAAAAATTGCAAATGGCTTTGAAAAAAGCAAACATTTAGTAACCTAAAGCTTTTCGTCTGACACTCTTCAGAGTTTAAAACGTCAGAACATAGGTCGAAAACTCTACGCTAAGAAATATATATACCCAGTTGTGGATCGAAATAGGCCAATCAGAAACACGAGCACATGACTGTACCTATACGTAGAGTTTTTACGATATCCCTTATCATCTGCCATAATGTTTCGTGCTAAATGCAACCAACAGTCAAGCATCGATCACTTTACAATAGCAAATGAATCTGACGTTTTACTTGATGTGAAAATGTTATTCTTGCAAGCAATTCCTTACTGCTACGCTTAAACCACCTTCCTATAAAATCATGAAGTTAAAGTTATTTATTAACTAACCATAACAACGTAATGCAATCCTTGCATGGTGTGTCAAGTGTATATGGGACACTTAGAAAGAGGAGTCTCTCCCTTCGATTGATGTAATAGTATTCTTTTTTTCTAGATCTCGATTCGGATAGTTGGACAATAATATCGGACCGGTCATCGGGGTACTCGACCTGCTCAAGCGTTGGGGAGGAGCTTCAGCGCACGGTTTCAAGTAATCATAGTTTATTCACTTTCATTCTCAGTACTTTACCGATAAATGGTCGAAGGTTATCTAAAAATTGTATGTTGCAAAGGGGAAGCTAGGGAAGTGGCATTCCTACGGTATAAGTGCACCAGAAAGTTCTTTCAGAGCAAATATGGTGCAAGTGGTCCAATTTGGGGGAATGGAAAGGTTTCTGGATTCTAAAACCACAGTTTTTTCTAAAATTTATATCTACTTCCTTATTCGATCTTCGATAATGAAACAAAGGAGTTTCTCAGCCACAGGGCTTTTACCTGATTCCTCTGATGGTCACCAGACCATAAAATAAGACAACAAGGCAGCCCTTTCGTCAATCTTTGAGCCCCATTAGTATTTATAGCGTTTTTATCTTGTCAACACTTATTGTTAATGATTTGATAGACTCAGCTTCTTAGGTCTGTTAATACTTATACAAAACGCATTATAGTAAGCCGTTGTTCATAAAATCTTTGTTTTAATTGCAGCCCCTGCTCTTAATACGAGTTCTGAAGCTGCTTCCTCATCCTCGGTTTCATCAAGAAGAGGTTTGTTTTTATTGGTTATGAGATTAATTTTGGAAGTAGTTTAACTTTATGAATTACATATGTAGCTGTTGGGTCTGCTACCCCCATGATGTTACTGATGGTGCTGAAGATCAATTTTCGTTTTTATAGGTACTCAAGGAGGAAAACCCTTGCCCCCACCAAAAAGGTCAGTTAGTCATCTTTTTGTAAACTAGAAACATTCTAAATCAGCCATTAAATGTATCGAGTCAAGTATCATAAGCTAGACTTGCACGCGACTCAATAGAATCCACGGTGGTAACTGCTCGTTTAGAATGCGTAAAAAATTACAAAAAAGGCTTTATTTACCACCAAAGATAAATGCTGAAATTTCGAGATGTCGAACATTCTAGTTGTGTCTATATATTTCCTTAAACAAATTTTTCTCTTTATGGCTTTAATATATTTCTATAGCTTAATTAAGGTGTGTAATTGGAAATGAGTTATACAGGACTCAAGAAACGCCTAACTCAGGTCGTAAAAATAACTTTAAATTCAACCCAAGACATTCATTTCTTGAAGATATATATTGTTTGATATATTATATTCGAGGTTTGTGGTCTTTTTTTACAGGAAGTTACAAGATCTTTGCACCTTTTTGCCGTTACAGTATTAATACTTATTCACCAAGAAAACCACCCAAACACAATTTGAAATTTGTTTTTTACATAGGATTTTTGAGAGTGTTCCAGCTTTCACAAGCGTTCCAGCAGCTGAAGATGCAGAAAGGTAGGCCAATATAATGCAGTTATCATTACTAAATCATCACCTTTTTATCCAAGAGATTTGAATATTTAAGTATCTCATAAGCTTGTATTTATAGATTTGTTTCGATTTCAAACATTTATTTAATGGCATGTCATTCATTTCTTATTATCATCAGAGATCAAGAGTATGAAAATGTCCGAGCGACTGTCCCAAAGAGGACTATAAGTTTTGAAAAGGCAGTCCAAAACAGACAAGTTGCTATGGTTGGTCCACTGCAAAAGTCAACATTACCTGAAGACGGAAAGGAACCCATATCACCACCACCTATACCTCGGCGAAAAGACTGGTAAGGCCACATCCAATGAATTTTAGCTGTTTGAATCCCATACCTTAGATCTTTGAATCGTACCCCCAACCCCCCCCCCCTTATTTTGTATACACTCCCTCGAATAAGTCGTTAGTCCCCAACTTAGAAGAAGAATTTAATGAGCCTCCACTCTAGGAATGATACATTAATGTTTCAATGGAGCGTAATGAAATAAACGAAGCATTTTTACAATGTTTTTGTTGTCAGTTTTGATCTGCAGAATGTTTTGTTTCTCAAAGAAACTAAAAAAATAAAATGGCTTTGAAAAAAGCAAACATTTAGTAAATTAAAGCTTTTCGTCTGACACTCTTCAGAGTTTAAAACGTCAGAACATAGATCGAAAACTCTACGCTAGGAAGTATATATACCCAGTTGTGGATATTTCCTAGCGTAGATTTTCGATCTATGTTCTGACGTTTTAAATTCTGAAGAGTGTCAGACAAAAAGCTTTAGTTCACTAAATGTTTGCTTTTTTCAAAGCCATATTCAAGTTTTGTACGACCATAACATTGTTAACGCTTCAAGAACCATAAGAAAGAATAAAAGGCTTTGAATAGGTTCTTCTTTGACTTTCAAAAAAACTTTATCTCGAACATATCAAAATTTTACTCTAAAGTTTTAAGATTTCATATGAAATATCACATTGATTGAAAAGAAGTATTTTACAAATTTTCAAACAATTTTTTTAGGTAGACTTTAGTATTTATGTATCGCATTTTTACCTCTAGGAAAGTCATAGCTTTGTATAACTGTGTAGCAGAAAACGACGCCGAGTTGTCATTTGGTATGGGCGCTATAATTACAAACGGTAAGGCCTTACAAGTTATCATCACTATTCTTGTCATCAAAAACAACAACAGCGACAGTTTATATGATAATACTGAGTAACCAATCCGGTATAAATTTCTTTAGAATTATACTAATCTTTATCAATAATCAATCATCACCATCAGCATCATAATCATAAATCATCTTCATCCTTACATTACACGTCTTTACTTTATGAAATATTTATCCACAATAAATGCTTCCTATTTCTAATTTTTTCCATTTCAATTTTAGTAAGAAAATCTCCAGAAGAGGGCTGGTTAACTGGGACTCTGAATGGACGAACGGGCCTTATACCCGTGAATTATGTGGAAACTGTGGATGAGATCTAAATTTCGTTTTTCGATCTTCAATTTTCTTATAATCAAGCTAAATTATTTGGATCGTTGTTTTAATTTCATGCATTAGAAGGTGATCATATTTTGGTTTCTTGCGTATTATCAGAGGGGTAAATTATCAGAGCAACATTACATGAGCAGCATTTTTAAATAATTTTAAAATGTTGCAACACTGCTCTGTTCTGTTTGAAAGCTGCCAATGCTTGATTTTTTAATTCGTCTTATGAAGTTGGCAGCAAATAAGCTTCGTTGACCTAGATGATACCGAAAGTTAATATTGAGAAGGGTTCAGGAAATTTGAATCATGATTGTACTCAGTGTAAAGAAGCAACGTTTTAGCGTATTGCTGTTCCTAGAGATTACCCCTTTATGTTTTGGTTTTTATAGGTACTACGCGTATTTATGGTATGATTTGAAATATTTAGTTTTATCGCAAAAGACGGTTTTTGAAATAATTACTGATGCCGTTGAATATCATGGCAAATCCATGCATCCCATTTCTTAAAAAGTGGGCAAAGTAATTACATTATTTCGCAAACATAAGTTTTCTTTGTTTAGAGAATCAAAATATGTTACACTATTTTTATCTAATCTGGCTGCCATAGAAATACCATCTGGATGAGGATATCCATATATATATCAGTCTGGATTTCCCGAGACAACGACTTTAATATCTAGTGCAGCTTTAGGTAGAGTTGATATTTTAGAAGTTGGCGATAAACTTATAATAAATAGTCGAGAAACAGGTGCTGAAGATCAAGGGTAAAAATAGCCGAGAAACAGGCGCTAAAGATCAAGTGTACGTACACGATAATAGGCCGGTAGTGATCAAGGTAAAGGGTACGAAAATTGAGAGTTTTGAATTTGACGTTGCTTGGGCTGCTTTTCGATATAAGTGAGGCATTCTTATTATTCCTTTCGATGATCTTGACTACTTGGACACTGACTGAATGGAGAAAAGGGGGAGGGAGTTGATCTAGCACTACCGAACTTTTTCTCACCAAGTTGTTCTATGAATGTGTTTTGCGGGCTAGGCCTACTCCAAACATGTCCCCAGGTTACGCCACTGACGAATTATTTGACTCCAAAAAATCGACCTTTAGAGAGGGATTTTCATGACATACTACAATGGGAATTGTGGGAATAATTCAAATGTTTCAGCTTTCTAACCCTTTGACACTTTGAGAAAGTGCAAGCAGATAACCTTTTTTTTAAAAAGAGAAAAATGAACCACACTGACGATCTTGTTTTGAGGCAACCTTTGTTTATGTATGAAGAAGAAAATAATTTCGCTGGCTTACCCTCAATGTATTTACTCTCGAGCTAGCATGCATGACAGTAGATAGAAATTGTTTATGAAACACATCTTGTTTTGTTAAAGGTTTTAATCATGCTTTTTGATAACAACCCTTGTAAATGGAGAGTGTCTGAAAGACGTTTTGCTAGCCTTGTATTTAAACACTTGCGCTGTTATTCCTCAAAATGATCTTAATTACCTCTCGTACAGCTTTTACTGTTTTTCCCTTCACATAAGAAAATTACGTGAAAAAATAATACTAGTTGTAATGTTCTCTATCGGGATGAAAATTTCCTGTTTCCTATGGGTGCAGAAAAAAGAAACGCATCGCTCAAATTCGTTTTCAGCCTCAAAAAAGAAAAATTTGCAATCAGAACCTTTCTAATAATTGTCACGCCTTCTCTAAGAATTTTTGCCCCGCAATCTCCCATGCAATAGTCAGAAGTCAATTCGGCACCCATTTTAAAAGAACATCTGCATTAGTTCCAACGTTATTTCTTTTTCTCCATCGGTACTTGTCGAAATTTAAAGATTGTCATCAGTCTCTATGTAGCCGGAGTGTGTTTAAACATTTTATCTCATTACCACGTTAATATGCAAGTGTTAGATCTATAGTTTTAATCAACGTCAACTTACACAAGAATGATTTTGTAAACGTGTTATCTTTTTTTGTCACGTGAACGTAAGATTTATGATTCAATTTTTGCTTTTAAACTCCCAAAGACTCTCCAACATCTAAATAGCTCAGACGAAGAATGTTCAACTTGATTACCCACCCTAGTTCACTCCTCACTTGCATTTGAAATAGTTTACCAAAAGACACGTATTTAGATATAAGCCTTTCAGGTCATACTTTTGGAGCTATAGTGCAGTCATGCTTATTTGAATTGTAATATATTTTTATGACAATCCATGAGCATTTTCCATGATGAGCATGGTTTTGGCAATGTACTCGAAGGCTCCGTCTTTGATCCACTTTTGCTTTTATCCTATCGGCGACACACCCTTTATGAACTTGAAAACACTTTGCTGTCTTGTATGATGTTGTGAAAGCAAAGGTCTAGTATTATCTTCATAAATCAATCGAAACGGGCCTCGTAATATACGAGGTGGGGTATAGTTGCGTCTGTATCTGCAAAAATACAAATGAGCAACATATAAAAAAACACTCATAAATAAACAGAAAATTGTCCACAGTTCTTTTTTCTACAAATATTTATTACTGACATTGTTTACCATCACATTGTTTATTCATGTTTATTTATTCATCACATCACATAACATTGTTTATCATGAGATGAAGGAATCATGGGGAACAAAGTTGATAGTGAAATTTTAAAGAGAATTGAATTCAATCCCTTTTACAATTGGCAGTGGAGAGTAGGAAAATAACGGGTTTTTTGGGTAGTCAAACGGGGTAGAAAATATCATCAATACACCCCCAGAAACGATGAAAACCCCTTCTTTCGTTGAAAAACATTACTGACTTTGGGCATCATCTGTAGTGATGTATTGGTGGTTTTTGTTTGATCTATCAGATGATTTCTACACAGTTTAAAAAGACTAGAGAGCGTCAGCAGGAGCCCTATCTATTTTTCAAGAAGACAAGAATTAGAAATTTAGATGAGACAATTTTATTTCAGCCTTGCAACTGAAATAGGTTTAAAGAGAGGGTGTGAGTTTTAACGGTTGCTGGTATACAATCAGAACCTTCTCAGTTGCAAGCGTTTAGCAGGAGAAGAGCTATACGAACTTTGCTGGTTAAAGGATAACGAAGGGGATGATTGCCAGAATCTTTGATAGTCAAGACTTCAATGCATATAGATAAAAATTGTTTCAGTTTAATTTGCGCCCCCTTGGGGATACTCCCTACTTTTTATACAGGGTCCAAGTCAATAGTTAGGGGACTGAGATTTGAGAAAAAAAAGTATATTTGGGGTCTTAGAAGTGAAAAAAGGACTCAATATTTGAGGTTTTTCAAAACTGTTACTTAATATCTTTCAAAACTGTAACTTAATATCTTTCAAAACTGTAACTCAATATCTTTCAAAACTGTAACTTAATATTTGGGGTCAACAAAACATTACTGACGTGGACCCCGTATAGAAAAGTAGTGAGTACTCCTCTTGGGTGCGTCCATAAGAAATTTCCATTTATCCCCACAAACTTAATGCATTTCTTGCTCGAAAGCAAGAATAAATTCCAAATTTTGATAGGATAAATCGAACGAAAATTCCAACCTCAAAAACATAACCAGATGATTCTATACAAATATTTTCAAGAGCCCCTTTTTGGAAATTTCAAGGAAATGGCCGGAAGTGTAAGTGCTGCCAGATAACACGACTATGTGGACTATGTGCTCAAGATAACAGGCAAGGCGAGTTGGAACTTGAGACTGAGGATCGTCATGCCAGTTCCTCGTGACGTTTAAATCTATTTAAATTTACTTTGAAGGCTAGGGTCCTAAGGGTCTCAGTTCCAACCAATAATTTTTACGACTCCATCCTCATCATGGCAAGCAGACCTGAAAGCAAATGCGGCGAGAAGGTAGATGCAAAAGATCAGCTTGTAACGGAACTAAAAAAGCTTGAAAAAGACATAAGCAAAGAGCTGCACAATGTGATGTCGTTTTGGCTGACAAACTCCCATGATAGGGAAAATGGTGGTTTTTATAACTGCCTTGGAGAAGACGGTTCTGTGTATGATAAATACAAATACGTTTGGATGTTGGGAAGACAAATCTGGACATACTGCCGTCTCTATAACGAGACAGAAAAATATCATAAAAAGGAGATTGTCGATGTTGCAAAGCAAGGAGCAGAGTTCCTTCGCAGAAATGGTAAACGAAGTGACAATAGGTGCTACTTCTGCCTCACAGCTGATGGGAAACCAGTCAAGTTGCAGAGGACCATCTTTTCTGAGTGCTTTTACGTCATGGCCATGTCCGAACTGGCAAAAGCGACAAATGATGCCAGTTACAAGGTACTTATCCCACTAATTATGATACGTCATAGCTACCTCGCCTTGCGCGGAAGCTGTTGACCACTAGCAATGGTACAGTTGTCTATACAATGCTTACATGATCGCATTTCATTAGGCCTTTTGGTCATAGTCATGTTTGGGTCTCGGGGAGTACCTTAACATGTTTGAAGGTATGGGGACGTGCCATAATTTAGAGGTACTTTTTTCTGAAAAGTGTGGAATTACTTATCAGTTTCTGAAATATGTGTGTGGATATGGGCAGGGATGCCGGAACGACCAAGGGGCAAGGAAGGCGGGCTTGAGTAAAAGGGCATTTGAAAAATTAATTCCCAGCTACCAACAATTTTTCAATCATTTTCAAAATAACTGTTATTTTCTTTCAATCTTCTGTGGGTATCTCAAAAATTAGCTAAATTTTGGCATAAGAATTTTCTTTATAAGTCTCGAGAGGTGTCGTCATAAATAAGGCAATACAGTCAGGATTACATATGAATCTCATGGATTTCTTGCAAAAGGCCGGCGTCAAGGGCACTTCTATGATAAGGGCAGTTCAGCCCCCTTGCTATCAAAAGGCAACGGGGGTGGTTGACTCCCCGCGCCCCCCCTCTCCGGCGTCCTCGGATATGGGTACCATTTGAAGAAACATGCAATATTATGGGTACTATTTTGGGGAAATATTGCAAAATTATTAGGAGGGAGAATTAGCATTAACAAAATGAATGTCCAGCTAGAAATATGCGTAAGATTGAGATTTGGGGCAAAGGACATACAAAATTTGTTTGATGGTTTTGTTATGTTTTGAAAAATGTTTCTTGACTGGCGGAATTATGGGTATAGTTTCCATCATGTTTGCGGAACAATGGGTGCCATTTTTTAGACATGGGCGAGATTATGGGTCTAAATTTTTTAACTGAAATGGCACAGTCTTAGTTACCCTCCCTCCGGACTGGACAATATTTGTCTGAAGTCATTTTTGTTTAGGGGCGCTAAACTTTGTAATAACCTAGATTCCGAAGCTAAGAAGGCAACATCTCGTAGAAAATCTAAAACTTTACTTTGAAAATTTTTTGTTTTGTTTGTTTTGTTTTGATATCAAACATTGCAAGGGTAGGGTGGGCTAGAAGTGGTTGGGTAGCGTTTCTTATGATCTATTGTAACTTCTTACCTTACCCGACGCTGGAGTACTCACGGGTGCACAATAGTGTTATACAACTAGTTTTGTCTGTCGTGCATCGTGTTTGTGGTTCGTTATTGTTAATGAGAATGTCTTTCGATGTTTGCGTCAGTAATTTAGTTTGTCATCGTGCCATCTCTTTTTAGTTGTTATTAGTTCATTTGCCGTTAATTTGTGTCATTAGGGTTTTGTGTGCGTCACTCGTGTTGTTAAAAGCGTATGTTCGTTGAGTGCAAGTCCAGTCCAGTCGAAATTGTCGTTAAATGAAGTCGTCATTTTGTAGTTGTTGGTTGCTGCTGATTATACGATCGCTATTGAAGAATCTTGGTTTATTTAAAAACGTTATTGCGAACTGGAGTCTGATTTATGAGCTTTACCTGTCCTGTAAAATACTTTATTTTACATTGGTGACCACGACGTGACAACTCGCGACCTTCATTTGGAGCTGAAAAAATGATGTCGTTGGAGCAATCGAAGGATATTTTATTAGAGATCGTCACAAAAGTAATCGCTTATATGGCTGAAAAGATAAGGCTGGCTGAAGAAAAAGGAAGAAACCCCTTCGCCAACCGCACAAACGTATACAGAGGGGAGGACGGACGGCCTATTTGTTACAGCTGCTTACGAATAGGCCACGTTTCAAAATACTGCTGGGACCGGCGATATGCCCAGGCTAGTGACGTCAAAGACAGTATCAAGTTTGGGATCCCGCAGTATGTATCAAATTTTCAGAACGCACTGGATGGACTTGAAGCCAAAATGAGGGACTTGAGGGAATTAAATCGAGAACTCAAGGATTGGACAATGCCCTACCAGTTTGATGTTGTTCCATCAGTGCCTAATCATTCTTATGAAACGCAAGGGCAGAATCAGATGGAATCTTACGAGCACGTTTCTTCGCTTGGAAAAGAGATTTGTCATGAAAGACAACAAATGGCTGATAAAAGGGAATCCCTCCAAGAGAAACACAAACTTGATTGGAAACATGGACATTTGAAAAGAGACTACGGAGAACCGCTTAGAGATATTACATGAAGTAGCTGTATTGTGAACTAACTAACTGTATTTTAAATTTCTTGTTTTGTTTGTTGTTCTATTTGCATTTCTCTCTGAATAATTCAAGCCAGGAGGCTTGTCTTTGAAGGAGGGAGTAATGTTATACAACTAGTTTTGTCTGTCGTGCATCGTGTTTGTGGTTCGTTATTGTTAATGAGAATGTCTTTCGATGTTTGCGTCAGTAATTTAGTTTGTCATCGTGCCATCTCTTTTTAGTTGTTATTAGTTCATTTGCCGTTAATTTGTGTCATTAGGGTTTTGTGTGCGTCACTCGTGTTGTTAAAAGCGTATGTTCGTTGAGTGCAAGTCCAGTCCAGTCGAAGTTGTCGTTAAATGAAGTCGTCATTTTGTAGTTGTTGGTTGCTGCTGATTATACGATCGCTATTGAAGAATCTTGGTTTATTTAAAAACGTTATTGCGAACTGGAGTCTGATTTATGAGCTTTACCTGTCCTGTAAAATACTTTATTTTACAATAGTCGGGGGAAGAGTCGGAAAACGCCGTGCTTCTTCATAATAATCATTTGGGTCATAATAATGTTCCGGTAGACTGAAGAATTTTCGTGAATTTCAAGTTCGGGTTGGGAGAGTTTTAAAGAAGATTTAATGAGCAGGCATGTTGGAAGAAAACTCTTGTTTTATAGTATTTTGCATATTGAAATAACTTTTGCTTGACGTATCTTTCTTCAACTTCAAGCCATCATTTTTAAGCGGACATAATTTGTCACAATGATATCCGTTTTAGAGAATATAGGCTGTACTGCAATAAAAATCCCAATATTCAACCTCGACCAAAAACATGCTGGCATAAAGCTGCACGCAGTTTTACAATGATAGTTATTTCTAGTTTATAGTAGACTCCGCCTTAAGTCGCATTAAATGTTGCCTGAAAATGTAAATTTGTGACTGTTTGCTGAGCGTGACTTTAAACAGAGCTAAATTGAATATTTTGGATATTTGGGATAAGATATTATGCGACTGTAACTAAAGTGTTTGTTGTAACCAGCAGAGTGACTTTAAAATGAGTGATGCAGATGGTTTGAATATAGTTTGTCCATTCTGGCTGTTACTTAGACATGGAATGGGGAATTGAGGAATGGAATCGGGGAATATTCACGCTTTAGTAAAGTTATGAATTTCACTCTTACCAATACATCGTTCCTTCGTTCCTATCATCACATTTTTAAAATAATTTTTAAGAACTATTACATTGATAACAATCATTATAATAACGATTTGATAATTATGATAACAAAGGAACTAAATTTATGTTTTTCCAAAAAAGGCAGAAGCAGTTGCCGTCATGAAAAGCATTATCAATTGGTATGAGAGCGGGGAACTCCCCGATGGTCATTTGCCGCTCGAAGGCGCAACCCCGGTAAATGCTCTGAGTGGGCCAATGATGATGCTTGGAATAACAAATCAGATTTGCTACTGCTTTCCCGAATTCAACGACGAATTTAGAGATTTCAAAACCAGAGCCGTAAAAATGATTTTGCAACATTTACAACAGGACGGAGAGGTCGTTCTAGAGAATGTATCTGTGAATGGAAGTGAAATTGAAGGTTCGGCAGGGAGGCTGATGAATCCAGGACATGCACTCGAGGCTGGCTGGTTTTTGCTCGAGTACGCTGAGGAAACTAGAGATGAGCAGCTCAAGAATGTCGCTATCGAGAAGTTTATTAAATTGCCATTCGAAACGGGCTGGGACAAAGTGCACGGTGGGCTGTTCTACTTTCTTGATGCAGATGGTTTGTCCCCTGTTCAGCTCGAATGGAACATGAAACTATGGTGGCCAGTCTGTGAGGCAATGATCGCGTTTCTCATGGCGTTTAAATATACCCACGACAAGCAGTTCTTAGAAACATTCAAGAAGGCTCTAGAATATGCTTTCCAGCACTTCAGAGATGTTGTGCACGGAGAATGGTACGGATACCTGGATCAGCGTGGCTCTGTCACGCACAATTTTAAAGGTGGTCCATTCAAGGGATGCTTTCATGTACCCAGGACTTTGCATATGTGTGGAAAAATGTTGGCAGAAATCATCCAGAAACTTCAATCTTGAAACAGCAGTTGAAAAGCTTGCATTCAACATAATGTATGCAGATCAAAATAACATGAAAACATAATGATTAATATGATGGCATTTTAGTTTAATTTACATAAAATATGATAGAATGTTGGTTGGGTATTAAGATTTTTCACATTGTTTTCCAGAAAGGATGCGTAATTTTTCGTGTAGTCAATTCATTCTTTAAAATGCTGTTTGTATTTAATTCATGCTGAAGAATGCTCAGTATCCAAAATTGGATGTTCAATTACTCACTGCTAAGCTATAGAGAGAGATAGGTCTTATTGAGACGGTACACATTGCTTGTATTCTCTTAATGCAAACATGCACGATATTGCAAATTAAATACACTACACCTTCCCAATTATAATTATTTAACACAATTATTCCATTCAATTTTGCAACACAGCATATTATAGTTTTTAAACCATTTTGACTGTTGAGTGCTATAAATAGTTAGGCTAGTATAATGATTATACAAAACTGCGAAAAGGAGCTCCGTTACACGAGTCACTGATAATATCAATCAATCTAACATCTAATTAATGAGTGCGACAACTCTGTGATAACGTCTTTTAATCCATCGCATAAATGCCAACAAAGAACTTCTGCATGACAGTTCAGCAAATGGCACTCTTATCATTATTATCAAAAAAAATAGCAGTCATTAATTAGATGTTTGATTGCATTATTATCAAAGATACGAATTACTATGCATTAATGCAGGCCCATCACGATAGGGGGGCGTGAGGAGTGACACCCCCCCCCCTCGGAAAAAATTGCATTGCAAAAACGAAAGTTTTTTTGCATCTAAGGGTGCTAGGTTGAAAAATTTCAAAACTTGTCGGTAAAAAAGGATGGCCCATCCACTTTATCGGCGATGTGCCCTGCATTAATAAGCAATTTTTGTTGGGTTGCCTCAAGAGTACTGCTAGGATCCTTTATTGTTCATAATCTTTATTGATCATAATTTTAATTTAATCATCATGCCTTTGTCTGAAGTGAGGACAGTGATGAAATTTGCTAATCCAAAAACAGAAGTACGACTTTGATGCTGAATCGTCTTAGTTACGCGCTCTATAGGAATATTGAGATCATAGTCAATAAAATAATCTATTGACTATGATGAAACATCCTAGAAAATACCTTGCCTTTTTTTGAATGCTACTATTTTTTGGGTAGCTTTGGGCTTGGGAAAAGAACTTTGGATATCAATGCTAAACAAAGAGCAACATAAATTTTGACACATAGTACTTTAGCCAGAAGAAGAAGACTTTAGCCAGTAATGAAATTGTCTTGGGCAATGTAATTTGTCAATTAATTTACAGGACCTATTATGCGGTTGGTCATCGTTCTCAGAAACATATGAAATATTCTATCATTCGAATACATGTTGGACTGGTTGATTTGACCATTCTCCGTGTTATGTCTTTGTGCAATGTTAGTCTTATAGTGAAAAACAAAGTCAAGAAAAGTGCTGATCTTCCTCTGCCTAGCGAGCTTTATTACTGAAGGATTTCTAAGAAACCAACAAGAGTGATGTAATCAGAGTAAGCAAGCAATTTTGGGCTGCTGTTTTAGACAGATAATTGCTGAAGGTATCGCTCTATAAAGGAATAGAGAAAACTGCAAAAATAAGTACTATGATTTTAGAACACAGGTCGAACATATCATCAGCATTTCGACAAGGTCTTCATGCATTCATATATAAAATTTATGTAGTATTCTATTCATATACAAAAATAAATTATATAAAGTTATAATTCCAAATTAAATCGTTGGCAATCAGTATTCATAAAGAGACAGCCCATCTTTCATAACATAACGACCGCTGTTCATAATGAAACTAAACATCGCATTCTTTTGGCTCTGCTTACAGTGTGCACGGTAATAAAATAAATTGAGAAGATTCTTACCTAAAGGGAATGCGGAAGGAATTTATTCATACATTGCAGTTTTTTTTATCTTGAAAAACTCCGCGAGTGAAATTGATACCACCAAATTTATTCGAAAGCAATGTATTTGGCTCATTATCCAAAGTTTCAGAAATTGTTAGAAGTCGAAGTAAGCTTAAGAGATTTCAAATTGAAGATAGTACTGTTTTTTCTTCTTGAATGCTTATGCCAATACTTGAAATATACGTCAATACAGCTTTGTAATAGCACATACTTTTAAAACAAGCATAAAATATCTCTCTTTAATAAATCTTAGTTTACAGCCATAGGGAGTTTGGCATAATAATACACAAATCAATTCAAGACTTGAATTTTGATAAGCGAGTTAGGATGGAAAAGTGTTACCCAGAACAATCTTTGCAATCAAATTCGCCGCAAATCCAAATTTTATACTTAATATCATTTTCAAACTTTATATTGCTAGAAAATCTAAGATACAAACATAGAAATCTGAAAAATTTCATCCTGACTTAAAAGTATGGTGGTTAATTATTAATTATTCAAGATCATAAAGAGTCCTACAATGAAGAGGCCTTTTGAAAAATTACTCAAAACTTGAGGCATCGCAGGGTACCAAGCAAATTTGAAAGGGCTCAAGTCAGGGGGTGGGGGGGGCAGAATAAATTCTTTACACCTACCACACCTTTAGTATACAAAACCTTTAACTATCTGTACTTTATCTCAAGCAACACAATAATGCATCTTAGTTATTTTCCACAAAAAATGTAATAATGGAATTATTTGAAATGAAATGAATAATATCCAATCAATTCAGCTCAAGGTCATGACTGTAAAATTTCTAAAAAAATGTTCTCAACTAACCCTCTTTCCCGATAAATGAAATGTACCATGCTGCCTTTGATTTGGTAATACTAGAAACTTTTTAGCCCCACAGTTTGCTCCGCTGGCTCTGGTGGCAATCACCACATTGCCTTCTGCTGTTTGCAAATGTCAATAGAGTTGCCCGTAAACATTTTAAATATGCTTCAATTTTATAATGTTTACCGATAAGTTTTTGTCAAGGATATAAAGCTGACAAATATCTTCCTGCCAAAAAAAAGTTTGTTGAATATAACTCAGAGATAAGCAATGTTTCTTTATCATGCTACTGTTACATATGATCAATGTCACCATTTGAACTTGAACCTGATGATGCTGAATCCTTTTTAACATTGCCTTGCATAACGGGTGCAGTGGTTTTTATCGATTCTTTTCCCTTGCCATGAATTTGCTTGCTTACCAGCCTTGCATAGATGCATCCTTTTTCCAAAAGCTCTTCATGTGTCCCTTGCTCCATTAAACGCCCCTTTTCAATAACTAATATCTTATTTGCAATTTCAATTGTGCTCAGCCTATGGGCAACAACAATGACAGTCCGATTTGCAAGATTCCTATTGATTGCTTCTTGTACTAAATTCTCACTGTCTGCATCTAATGCACTTGTTGCCTCATCTAGTATCAGTACAGAAGGATTCCGAATGAGTGCTCTTGCAATAGCTACTCTTTGCTTCTGACCACCTGACAATTGGACTCCTTTTTCACCAGTTTGGGTGTCATAGCCTTCTGGCATATCCACAATAAACTGGTGAGCATTTGCCTGTTTGGCAACCTCCTGTATTCTTTCTTTATCAACATTTTCTATCCCATATGCAATATTGTCAGCTATAGATCGAGCAAAGAGTGTTGGCTCCTGTGCCACAAGAGCAACTCTGCTGTGTAAAAAACTGTGGTCATAATTCTGCACTGGCATGCCATCAATCAGAATTTCACCTAGCTGGGCTTCATAAAAGTGTTCTAGCAGCTTGACAACTGTACTTTTGCCTCCCCCACTAGGTCCAACAAGAGCAATGATTTCTCCAGGGTTAACAGCAAATGAAAAATTCTCTAAAACAGGTATGTCAGATCTTGATGGATATGAAAAGCTAACATTCTTGAACTCTATGTTGCCTTTAAAGTCAGTTGGCTTGAGCTTACCATTATTTCCGATTTTTGGTTGTCTTTCAATGTAAGCAAAAACTTTGTGAGAGGAACCAACAGCTTCCATCAGACTGGTGTAAACATTACCAACATCCTCAATACAGCCACTTAAATCAAAATTATAAAACGAGAATGAAACAAGGTTACCCCCACTTAGATCACCACGCATAACTAAGTGTCCTCCGTAAAACAGCACCAGAACCTCCATGGCCAGAAAACAAACCTCTGTACATGAAACATATCCCCCAAAAGCAATTGCCTCTTTGACCTTCAGCTTGAAAGTGTCCTGTAATCTTTTGTCATAAAGTCTTCCCTCAACAGTTTCTGCAGCAAAGCTCCTAACTGTCCTGATAGAGGATATTGACTCTTCGGCTGTTTCATTTGCAAGTGCCAAAGAGTCTTGGACTTGCTTGGACAACTTCTCATAATATTCACCATAGGCCTCTGAAATCATCACAAGTATTGGTGTTCCAACCAATGTAATAATAGTAAGTTTCCATGATAGCTTAGCCATGAATATTAAGATGCCAATGATTCTGACAACATTTCTAAGAAATACATTCATGTTTAATGAAATCTGATCTCCCATTTTAGTTGTATCAGATGTAAGGCGGGAAATTATAGCTCCAGTTTTTCTTGTATCAAAAAAGCCAATCTCCTGTTGCATGACATGTTGAAACAGAAAACCTTGTATTCTTGTAGTGAATCTGGCCATTACGTAAGTGAATGTCGCACCACGCAAACCAGTTGCAACACTGGCTGCAAATGCCACAGTGGCCATCAGAACTATATACTTCTTGAACATTGGATATGACTTTTGGATTGCAATAGCATCAATAACTTGACCAGCAAAGAATGGCAAAAATATTTCACATATGGATGCAATTAGAAGAAAAATAAAACCAAGAAGCAAAAATGGAGCATCTGGTTTTGAGTATTTAAGCAGTTTCCATATACTTGAATTGACTGACTTATTCTTTGGTTGAAAAGTCTTGTCATCTTTTTCTTCATCATTGCTTTCTTCTTCTGAGTCACTAGCGCTAGAATTGCTGGAAGAATCTAACAAACTCTCCTTTTCACTTTCAGAGCACTCTTCATTTTGTATATTAACATTGGATCTCCCAACCTTGGAAGAAACTTGATACTTATCAATAAAGACCACTGACAGAGAAGAAGCAAATTTGATACAGCAGCAAAGCAAAATAGAGCTTTTATTGCGAAACCTTTCTCAAGTTCTTTTTTGCTGTCTTCAGCAAAGTACAACAGCTTAATGGCAACTGGCAGGCAAAGTCCCACAGAAATATTCACAGCAGTTCTTCTAAACTGTTTCAGTCGTTGAATTCCCTCGTTTCTGCTTCTCAGAATGCCAATAACTACTCCCGTTATTAAACAAACCCTTAGAATGCTTAAGTATAGCAAATCCACTACATCCTTGCCAAACGAATAATCTTGAATCTGGATTTTCAAACCTTTCTCTTTGGTTGCAAAATAAGCTAAAACAGAGTTCAAACCGATATCAAACGCAATGATCACAGCTACACAGCACAGCTTCGCTAAATTCTTCATCGTCACTTCTGATCTCTAGTTGTGTAAAAACGTTCCGAGTTCTAGGCCAATGTTCTTCGACTTTGTTATTTACCTTTTCTGCTGCAAATACCAGATGGAGTTTAGTCACACTTTATACAACTATAAATCGCACCTTTTACAATTCCTCCTTTGAATTTGCGCTCAGGACTTCAAAGTGGTTTGAAACCCGATTTGAGCCCTCGTGGCAAACCAAACTCCTTACCCCTCGTTGATTTCACCATAGTGATTTCACATAAGTGGTGCAATCCTTGCTGCATTATACAGCAACAACAACATCACGAACGTCCATTGAACCATTTTCAATTGAAAAATTTCCTCTTTCGTCTTCGAATTCACAAACTGGCCTACGGTTGAAAGCAGCTATCATGGTGGAAAGCATACCATTTGGATCTGTTGCAGAGGTCATGGAGTCGAGATACCTAGAGGCAGCTATCATATTGCCAGGGCCACCGGTGCAGATTTTAGCTCAACGAGCAGCCCCAACGATTGTGCTAAAAGCTATGCAGCAAACTCGAGGGAAATTCTACTTCGAATGCAAAACTGTAACTGGTACGAGGGTTTGAAATTTGTTTGCTCAATTTTGATATCTTCCGTTTGTATTCAGCGAAGAGGGTTTCTGCGTGGAAAACCTCTTGGAGATCAAGGGGGTGTTGTCGAATCCCAACGCAAGTTTGGAAGTGAGAGGGGCATCTGTAAATAACAAAAGTTTTGGGTAAAGTAACCTTCGTGAAAAAAACCAGTTTCTTCCCTATTTCCATACCACCAAAGCCATCAATGAGATATTTCCATACCTTGTAATATTTCTTTAAATTGATGTTCTCTTAGCTCGATCTCTTTGAAAAATTACCTAGACTGACAAACAAATAGTAGTTCGTAAAAGAAGACAAATTGTAAATAAAAAAATATACTAAAAATAATCGAAAAAGTGTGATATACTCAAGATGGAAATTCACATTAATGCCAGTGACAGCTTGAGGAAGATTTACTTATCAAAGGCGTGAATGTCCCATACATTTGTTAATAACCTGTGTTATTTTCTAATTTATTTCATTCAACCGAAAATAACAACATTTATTCAGTAGCTAATTAAAATCACTTATAAGAGTCTTTCGAACGGTAGTACTAGTCAGTTTAGCATTTTGCGAATAAACATCAGCATGTCAAACATAAATCAATTTACAAAAAGTACGAAAAGAAAAAATATCATCAACTTAACACAAGATTGCTAAACTGACTAGTACTACTAGCTAGACAATGAAAACCTAGACATAAGTTTGGCACCAAGTAAAATGAAAAATCACCACTACAGTACAGATACTCTGATATCCTTAGGGGAGGGGTGGGAGAGAATTCTTATCCGCAAAATAGCTATCGACGTGTGAATTTAAAATTTCAGTACAGACCATTTATACTGACACAACTTCACGTGTAAAACAACTTGAAATCACTATCACGCTTGCAACACAACACTATTGTAACCTTCTTAAAGACTCTATTCTCTTTCTTTCTCCTGGGACTAAACAAATTCAGTTAGAAAACATTAAGACTCTGCGGGGGACACGTTGTAAATAACAAAGATTTTATTTTTTATTTCTGTGTTGTATATAAAGGGATTTATTAAATCGAGGTTGGGGGAGGCTTTCGTGGATAGGATTTGGATTGTTGTATTGCTTGAATGTAAATGGTTTTGTTTATCGATTGGAATACGAACGCGTGTACGGAATTAAAATTGGATATGTCTCGAGAACATACTTTGGATATCGTTTTGTAATCGTTTATATCGGAATCTAGATCGCAGATTCAGTGTTTCCTAATATGACTGATTGAGAGAACCTTGGAATCATAACCAGTTTGTTTTCCTCTTGTTTATCTTGAACTGAAATTATCGTATGAGAACATTGCTCGGTTTAACTATTTGGCAATGTTACCCATCAACCTGCGCATTGAGCTGCACCAGCTGCACTGGGACGTCCCAATGATTCTAGGGCGTCCCAATGGTTCTAGGGCGTATAGTGCATTTTATTATGATAATAATCATCATAACCATTACAGTTAAATTCCCGTTTCGAACAGGCGGATACATGCAACTTGGATGGGCTGACTTGGACTTCAAAGCCATCATTAACGAAGGAAAAGGTGCTGGTGATGACGCTCACTCGTGGGCCTACGACGGCTTACGGTGCTTGAAGTGGCATTCTAACAAGAAAGAAGGGTTTGGCAAAAAGTGGAAAGCTGGTGACGTAATAGGCGCAGCAGTTGATCTGGATGGCTCACCTTCGGTCAGTTTCTCACTGAATGGCGATTGGGCGGATATGGGGGTTGCATTCGACGGACTTAGACCAAGAGGGGCTGTGTACCCTTGTATAACATTGCTCAGGGGAGAAAGAGTTAAGCTGTTTTTGGGGGTTCGTGGAAATAAATTCATCCACAGCCCGCCTTCTGATGAGTATAAACCGTTGACGGTAACCCAGCCTTTAAAATCCAATCAGCAGGAAAGTCGCTTCACGGGGTTTACCCCTGTTATTGAAATGGGGTTGAGCGATCATTCATTCACCATCTCATTTCCGGGCGAAATGATGGTCAATTTTATGGGGAGAGGCTTGGATTATGAAGCGAAAAAGAACGCTTTGATTCACGCAGGGTATACAGAGACAATGAAGCGGTGGAATCAATCTAATGACGTCATCACTAAGAATACAGAGGGGAAAATGTTGACAAAAGATGAAATATTTGCATTGATTTGCTATACTTTGGAGCATCCTCCGGTTTACAGGCATTTCAACAACGATACTAGAAAGGGTTATCAAGGGGAAGGCATGGATTTTCCCATATTAAGCCACCTTCTGCGTGAAGGGTGTAGGAAGATTTTAGCCGGGTTGCCTGAAAACACACGTACTAGACAAGTGTACAGAGGGGTCAATGTTTCGTTTAATGCGAAAGTTGGGGAAAGTGTTCGATTTGGCTCTTACATATCGAGCTCAGAAAGCACCCAGGTAGTGCAAGGGTTTATGAAGGATGGTACTGGCGGAACGCTTTTCATCATAACATCAAAAATTGGGGCACCGATCAAAGCGTTTTCGCAGTACCCCGAAGAAGAAGAGGTACTGATTCCCCCTTATGAAACTTTTAAGGTTACAAAAATCGAGCAGTCGAAGATCTTCTTGGAGAGCAGTGTACCGGATGACAGTATTGCGCAATATGTAGAATCTGGCGCAATAACATGGAACAAGTAACATTTAATATGTTAAATTGTCTTAAAAACCACCAGAAATTAATTGTTATTCACATGGAAATAACTGTTTAGAAGTGTCGCCTTTCCTTGGGTTTGGCCTCGGTCCCAGTTCCCTCTCTTTGGGTATCCACGTGCTGGTCACGTCTTCCGGTGGTGACGCCCGAAAAAACACGGTTGCTCAAGCATAGTCAAGGCAAAGAGACAGTCGCGCAGTCAACATGTAATCTCTTAAATTTATAATCAGTTCGCTTGTTTGTTGCTGAATATATCGTAAAAAGTGAAACCACAACTACTCTATGTTTTATTTCTCGGCATGCTCAACCCTTCTTCTCAACAATAACATTCCAGCCTTCTTTCATGCAATTGGCTATTCTTTTTCTTCAGTTGCAGAACCTGGTTAGTTCACTTTAAATATCTAGAGATACACTGGTACATGCTTGGAAACATATTATAAACGTTTGGTACATTTGAGAATGAAAAGCTTTTTAGCTGAGAATCGAAAAGGTGACACTGAAGTTTCAGTCGACTTTTGAAGAAACAAAACAGTTAACTTTCATCGATAATTTATGCTTGTTGCTGATAACAGCAATGGAATGTTTATGTGGAAGACCATTTAGATTTTTGAAGATAACAAGAGTTTGTTAAACGTAGCTTTTCAGGATCGCAAGATGAAATCGAATTGTTACCTATGCCCTATCAAAATCTATGTTCAAATGACTTATATTTACGAAGATCTAAAGCAATTTTCAAACTACGACAAAACACCCATTCAGGCAGCTTCTTTCTCTTGCATGACAGGCTACTGACTATAACTGAAAATTTTTAGGACAAATATCTCCCACTGTTTCATGGGGTAAACTATTTGCAAAGATCTGCAAAATTATTTTCGTAGCTTCCCGTTTTTCAAATTAAAGTATTTTTTCCTCCCTTAAACTGGCTGAAGATTAGAGACAGGAAAATCAAAAGAAAATCAAAAATAGAAACAGGAAAAACAATTGTTGGCAAGATAAATTAAACTTTCAACAAAACTTGAAACGACTGCATCTACAAAAGTTTCAAAACACGAAGTTTCGAAAGGAATAAAACCGATACGTCATTGGAAAACTTTGGAAAGTGGTCGGAAATCTTCTGGACTAACGTCTTGGACACCTTGACAAACAACTACTCCGGGTACTGTGTAAGGTCTAGGGAAAAGACTTTGGTTGTTGTGCAGTCCATGTCGGGCTAGAAAAAATTAATTAAAGTAGAAGATTGGTGACTCTAGGGCAGACATTTTAAAGAAGTTTGTTCTATCCGTCTTGCAGTCCTATTAAGAAATGATGGTTCACTTGGGTCAGGTGCACCCGCCCCAGGTGACAATATTAGAGGTGTTGTAAAGTACAGAAAACTGAAAAAGATAGCCTTATGGTGGATGACAAAATATTCAAAGACCCATTGCTAACATTGAGCCATTGCGCTATGCAAGCATCCCACAATGCATTTTCAGACAGTCTCAAATCAATTTTGGTTAATACGTAGTTTATTGCCATTGTTTGGATCGTCGCCTGGACAGTTTGCCACGCTCGCAAAGGCTCATTATTAGCAATGAGTCTTTAAGGTGCGGGCAAGGGTGTAGAGCTGGGGTTTCAGGGGGCTGGACTCCCATTGTTACTGCCAACAATTTCCTTTTTCTACTATTCTTTTTCAGAACTTAGATTTATTTTGATAATGCGAAGGCAATTTAGAGCAATTTATAACATTTTTTTCCTAGCAAGTTTGAACAAACAGAAAGCAGCAAATTGTATTATGAAAAAGAAATCACCAATTTAAAGGTCAGTGGCTTAATTGCTTTCACTGTATACAATTATTGAAATTGTTACCTCGAGGGTAATTCCAACCAAGGCATCCGCCTTGCAGTAGAATTCTTCTTTTAGAGAAATCACAATGCACTGAAAATTCTTGTGAGTTTGCTCTTTGATATACCTAGCAACCTAAAGATAAACAATCGAAGTTGGATAATATTTGGTTTTGTAAACTAGCCCAAGAAGGCCACAAATGCTTTGAGAGATAAACTCTTTAACCCTGAAATTATGAATAAATCGGCTCTTGAAGAATTCGAAGTTATAATAAAAATTTTAGATAAGGAATAAGAGTTTTCCTTAAGTTGAAGTTAGTTGACAAAAATAAAGTTATCCCTCACAGCATAGTTCATAACTTTATAAAAAGGAAAATTCAGCAAAATCTTCAATTTACATTAAGGGAAACTGGCCAATCTGCAGCTAATTTTTAATGTTAAGAAAAACCAAATAATAAAAGTTTAATATACAGCCAGTGGTGGAAATAGATTATTCAAAATAAAAAACTGAACAAAAAATTAAAATCAAAATGAAAAATTTGATAAAAAAAACACTGATTTATTTTTCCATTCAACTTCATAAAAACATTCAATATTTTTCAACTGCCAAAATCAGCTCTTCGTGAAACTCAACTGTTAAGTTTGTTATGAGGATCTTAAAATGAAATATAAAAAAATGAAATATAAAAACTTAACATAAATAAAATTGAATCTAGAAGAATGAAAACTATTAAAACTCACTCTGTTTATGTTGGTGTTATCTAACGCAGCATCGATTTCATCCAAAACAAAAAAGGGTGCCGGTTGATAGCTGTGGATGCCAATATAAACTTTAGCAAGAGTGTTACAACTTAAAGTTTCTATTTAAAAATCTGGAAAACCTTACACTGGGTTTCTTGATTCTATGGAGAATATGACAGAAATATTGACCTCCGAAACATAAAGATACAGCAGCAACTCCTTTTATATTTTTTTTATTTTCCTGATCTACCTCTGAAACATGTAAATTATGTAAAAAATGTGTGTGTAAATTTTTCTAGAGGTACCTAACTTTTTTCTGATTTAGTTTCTTTTACCTCTCTCTTTTTGTGTGTTTATATTTAGATGTAATTGAAAATGTCACTCATAATGGAGACTAGATGACCTTGCGTCCTTAACTATTGTGAGTGACATGTATTTGAGTAGCTTTGTTGTGGTTTAAAATTTTAAATTATAAAAAAAATAATAAAGATTTACCTGTGTATTGCAAAAAGAAGCGCTAAGGCTGCTACTGTTTTTTCACCACCAGACAAATTATCCATTGGACGGAATCTGAGAATAAGAAAGAGCAGAATAATGATTTAGTTTGCAAACGATTATCAAAAAAAGCCTTTGCCGAGCTATGTATATAAGTTGTTTTGTTTTCGGATTGCGATTAGTCCTACTTTACTTTTCTCCTTGTTAATCCATCACTTAATCGGATCTAGGCTTGGCTGAGAGATACGCCAAAAACCATTTTCGCAAGTGTACATTACTCTGAATACGCTGATATACACGCATGCTAGACATAGAAAAGGTTGTTTTTATCAAATTCTGTTTATCTAACCACTTTGCTTCCACTTCTGAAGCTTAATGATACACTTAACGTTACATAAATTAAATATATCATTCGACTCACCGTTTACCAGGTGCAACACAGTTGTACCCAATTCCTTCTAAGTACGGCTCCTAAAAAATTAAAAGACAGAGATAACCATTTAACAGGTTCCTAGCCACTGCTTGATGTGTTTTATGAATTGAAAATAGAAGGAACGGGGTTGGATATGAAAATCAAAGATACAACGAAGTTAAGTGTCTGTCGTAGTTTTGTTTATTCGTCGCCATATTCAAATTGTGATCTTTCTACCAAGACATTGTCATAAAGGCAAACATGCTCAATCTTATCGAACAACCCATGTGAGGAGTAAATGGATTACGGATAGGATTGTTGCCCGTATCATCTAGAGAAAGCACCCTCTACTTAATCAAAACTACGCTTAGGTACCTCGTTGTTTTCTGCTCCTAGGAATGCTTGTGCACTGGGATTGTTCGACAGTTCCTGTAAGGATAAAAATTCCGTAAAATCATGAAAAATGTAGAATTAGTAGCACCAACAAGGCAATGAAATCTGTGATCTGTGAAAACCTATGAAAACACTGTTCGGAAAATGCAAAAGTCGATTCGTTCAAGACTGAATAACTTCCTACAGTTAATTCTGGTCAAAATAAATTGGAATTGAATATTAAATCAACTTACCTTGTAAATATCATCTATTTTATTTGACACGTGCTCAAAGGAATTCATGAATCGATCGTATCTATAAAGACAATCTTCTTATATGAACATTTCAACGAAAAAATACAAATCAATTTGTCATAATATTGACATTTTCGCTTTGCAATAATTCTGTAATCATACCTTGCAGCCGGAAAACTTAAGAATCTATTGAAAAATGATTCTGTCACGTGAAGCAAAGAGATACCATGAACTATCAGGTATAAACTAAGCCTATTTGATGTAAGAGAAAATTAAAATATATTACATATGTTTTCCTCTGGTTGACGCTAAACATTTTCTGTATGAGGAAGTTCCAGTCGTACAGCAAAAGACTAAGTTTTCTCGCGAAAGTGGGGAAACTGTGCACAAATAACCATTTGCTTCTACTTAAAGTTAAACGAGAAGAAAATATTTCCACTGTACAACAGTAATCAACAAACATAGCTTTAACGTTGCTAAAGCTAAAATTGTGCATTTTTTCAGTCCTGATTCTCCCCCTAACTGAGTGTAATATGGAAATCAGGAAAATTATTATCCTATGAAACCATAAATAAATCTATTTTTGGATTAAATAGAAGGACATATTGCAGATAACACTCAAACCTTTGTTTCTTTACAGCTTCGAATTCCATTTTGGCTTTTCTGGCTCTTTTACGTATACTTTCAAATTCATTACTTGTTTCTTTCAGTCTTGCTTGAACATCATCGAGCCTTTGGATCAAACAAAAACGCGATAAAAACGGGTGGCAGACGCACGATCGTAACAATAACATGAAAAAAGTCCTTCAATCAAATATTAAACGAAACTGTGGAAATAGATTTATCATATCATAGTATTGCTGATTTTTATCATGGGATAGAATGAAATAGGCGTAGGGATGAAACAAATCTTACTTATCCATTGCCTTCATATTGGGTGCAGCAATCCTCGACAAAGTTGCTTCCAATTTGCTGTTTCTGGATTCGATTTCTTGCAATGTGCTCTTTATCTCCTTTGCATCTGACAGCTAGGAAAAATTCGCTGATAGTTCATAATACTTTTCATAGAAAAATTATCATAGTCAATGAATAAAAATTGTTAAATCCTCTATGAAACTCTGGGGCAATATCAAAACCGAGAGAACTACCTACTTTCTCAATTCTAATAAAGGTTTAATGCTCCAAAAAGAACTCTGAAAAAATTCAAAAGAAGTTATTTGCCTCTGATTAATTAGAAACAAATTTCTTCCTTTAAAACATTAGCATTGCACCTTATTAAATGATTTTAAGCAATTTGGTCTTCTTTGTCATGAAAAATTCTTTTCTGGACCAAAATAAATTCAATAGAGAGAGTATTCCTGCCGTATTTAGGCCAAAATATTCGAAACTCATCCGCGTTTGGTGTGTCAGTAAAACAGGAAAGAAGCATGAACTACCTCTTTGAATTTTCTCGGCAATTTGTGGAAGTCCACTTCTATGTGCGATTCTTTCTCATAAATTCTCCTTGCAATCTGAAATAATACATCAGAAAAAGGTCTTTTGAGCAGAAATAAATTATATTTAGAGGTTTTATTCTAGAGATACAGTTGGAAATTTATTTCGAAGCTTAAAGAAAATTTAATTACGATGTGGCAATGATATTTATCAATTAATCAACAACGAAATGACCAAAGGTTTATAAAACAATTTCGACTGAAATTGTTGACTAAAAGATCAGAATTCTCTTAAGCTATTAACGAAAAGCACAGGCCCTATTTACACTAGACCGGATTTATTTCGATACATCAAAAAAGAAATAGATCACATACTTGTGAACTGCCTAAGCTCTCATTCCCATCCGTGTCTTCGTCCGTGTGACTAGATGAGGTCTTCAAAGAGAAAAAACAATATCGTTCAATAAAAGAGCTGGTATAAACTGAATATGCCATCAATAGAAAGAAATTAAATACTGTTGCACTGAGTCAAATTTTTGTTTTTTTCTAAGCCATCTTTAATATTGCTTAACCTGAGTTAAGAGGCTAATTATTAGAATCCTTGGACATCACGTAAATTCTAATTGATACTCCGTAGCAGCTAACAAGAAACAGGAGTTTTTGGTACAAATGGTATTTAAATAGTGTACAATTAAAAAATAAACTTGCACTATACAAAACTACTTGGAAGAATTGATAAGGTCTTTGGTAAGATACAAATGTTATATAATTAATGTTAATTAATTACCTGATCAGAAATGTCGTTTAATGAACCTTTTTTAAGCGGTAATTTGATGTCTTCAAGCTTAAACGAGAGTGAATTGAAAACTTTAATTTACAAAAAGCAAATTGAAAAGTAATATTTAAAAAAGCAAGTTATAAAGCAATACCAATTGGTTGAAAATCTTGTTGTAATATACGATCTTATAAGACAAAAAATCGTTTCACAGAATCATACGGTCTGTACACTTAGGATGGAAAAAACACAAGAAGCTTGAAGTACCGAGTTTTCATACATTACCAATTTAAGACATAGTGCCTTGAACAAAAAAGCATTGCATAAGATGAAAAAAAATAGTTCAATAATGTATCAAAGTGTTCACATAACAGCAACATGTTAACATTGCAGCAAAAAGTTAATAAAAGAAAATTGAATACAGTTCTTGTCCAAATACTCCATAACCAAAATTAGAAATATATAACTTGGAAATACTGAGCGAATGTGCAAGGATAGGTATCATTATCACGAATTTAGTAGCGACCACACGACGCTAAGAAATTTCCAAAAATAAGTGTCGGAATCTTTTACTCATATCGTACGTGATTTTTATCGTATTTGTCTCAACATAAAATTTATTACATCGCCACTGGAAAATCTCAATACAGAGTTGACAACAGGAAAAATGTTTCGTTTTCCGTTTCCTTTCTGCAGTTTATAATAATTGTCTTATTACCTTGCACTGCTGGAAAAAGTTATGACGGTCAGCAAGTTTCTCTTCTAGCTGGCGTTCCTATTAAGAAAAACGACATTCCATTAGATTATGTCGGCTAATATCTAACTATTAGCATATTAACATCTAACATCTAACATTTACCATTACTGGACTATGCCCTAATGGTTATAGGGAAGAAACGAAGAAATGAAAGCCGGGGAAGGGAGAATGGCATAGGAAAACGAAAATTTCTTGAAGCAGTCTTTACTGACTTAACTTACCTTTGAGGTGACTTTCTTTTGCAATGTCGATTCCTCTTTTGCATTTGCAGTCAATGACTTTCGTATTTCTTTTATTTCTGATTCCTGGATAGAAGGATAAAGCATTTTGAAATTAGAAGAGGAAAATATAGCAATCATCCAAGGCGTGCTTTGCATAGGTAGCTTCGATAACAATATTTTGCTTTGATCTCTAGAATTAAGTGACCTGAAATAATAGTGGCAATTTGACAAGGGTAAGACCATGACAAGGAACCTTTAATCTTAAGGTATTTTTTACATTAGTTCTTCTTTCCATAACCTAAAACTATCCAAATAAAAGAGGTCAGAAGCTCTGGGACGGAAACATACTGTTCCTAAGACCTCTAGAATCAACAGTGGCAACATGAAAGCTGTGAAGCAAAGTGAATAAAATGGCACCTTCTCTTCAATTTTGTTTTTCGTTGCGCCGAATTCCAGTCGAAGCCTATCAAGTTCAGAAGTATCTTGATCAATCTCCTGCAAGGAAGCAAATAATATTCAAGCGGACTTTTCTGTATCGAATTTTTAGATTAATTCAGGCAATAATCCTCTTCATATTCTCACCATTGCAAAAAGCTAAACTAAGAAAAAAAAGTCTTTAAATTGGCAGTAATACAAAAAGCGAGTATAACAAAAAATCAAAAATTTTTAATTTTCTGGACAGACTTCGAAATTATCTGATAATAATGTATAATAATATGTCTGATAAAAAGGAACCTCTAAATGATCTTTTTCAATATTCCTGAGTTTTTCTATTTCCTTTTCTTCTGCTGTTATCGATTTCTCTAGTTTCTTGAGATGTGCTTGATAGTCTCGTGAGGTTAGATATTCCAGCTGGAAAAGTAAGCAAAGATAAAAGTGTATCATAAAAATATCTCATAAAAATACCTGGTTAAAATTCGATCACTTCCCAGAACATTACACATTCACATTTATGATCAATTCTTGGAGATTGCATCTTATATCTCGATGTAACAACAACGTTCTGTTATCCAACATCGCTCAAACATTGCCTGTATACAGGGCTGTGGCCAGTCTCAGAATGATCCAGAAACAATGTTAAACCCTAATGTAGACAGTGCCGTGACATATTATCCTGTATGAAATTTTGCTTTTCGTTCGGATGGATTACAAACCAATATGTGCTGGTTTTCAATAATTTTATCTAAAGTGGTTGGAGAACTGTACTCAATTCTGCTTTTTCCACCACAGGCAATTTAGTCAGATATTACCCAAACATATCTACGCCTTCCTCCGATAAATATTGCCATTTCCAAAACCTAAATAGGTGGCACCCAAATTGGCATGGCCTTTGGTATGTTTGCCCCCTGCATAGAAGAAAAATCACGACGCCCCTGATCCCAAGCCCCCATTAAATAGAACCTTACAAATTCTGTTAACAACGATCTGAGCAGGGGGTTTCTTCTAGGATTTAAAAACACTGCAACAGTAGGTCATTGACTATCGAATTACAAAGTTCATAGACTTATTGAATTTCATGCAATGAGAATCAATAACATAATACCACTCCTCTCAATAGAGACGTTCTGAAAATACCTGATTATTTAGTCGCGACTGTTGTTTTGTAAATTCCAACTTCTTTTCTTGTTTTTCTTGAACTGCCTTGAGTTGTTTTTCTTCGTATTGCCTGTAATAAAATGACGTCACTAGTACATAGGAATCGGGTTATGTCTGATGATTTTCAAATCGATAATCAGTATATCAAGATAACAGCTTAGCTAATTGGGCGTCTGTAAAGGAACAAGTTAGCCCACCTACTAAGGTCAACCAAAAAAACAAATGGGTCCTAATAGCTTATCTGCTCATCATTAAAAAATCCAAACGAAGTTGACAATCGCTAGACGACAACAGATAAAATATGAAAAATTTAGAAGGGAATGCAAAATTTCGTAGTTTCAATTCATAGCTACCTGATATTTTCAACGCCAATTGTGACACAGAACTCTGCAAAAATCTACAAAAACAATCATCGTTCACCAAAGTTATAAAATTTAAAGATTAAACTCGATATCTAACTTTTTTTTAATCATAAAAAGGTCAATCGAAAAACTTAAATGATGAAAACTCTGCATCTTGAAATAAACAGACAGATTATTTTCGCATACCTCGTCTTGAACAGCATTGAGTCTATCTGCCAATTTTCTTATCTCTTTCTCTCTTCCTTTGATCTGCCTTTGGTATTTTTCAAAATCCGGCTGCAAAGGTATTTCAAATTAAGCATCTTTGATACTGTGTAATGAATTGAGGTCACGTGCCTAGAGTTATGGTTACAGGGTGTGATTATGATGTACAAAACATATAAATTGTTGTGAAATTCAGTAGTTTTTGCACGAAAATAATTTCAAGAAGCAGGCAGCTAAGGGATATGTCTCATGTAAAACAGAACATTGATACAGCTTAGTTGAGTAGCCAGATCTAAAAAACAAAATCGTACAACTGCTAGGATTTGGTGAATAATATTACATGCCTGAAAATGGACTTTTCTTATGAAAATCTTGATATATTCATATTCAGACATTTTTGAAACCTTCCAAAATCCACTTATGTGGCTGTACACTGCTTCTTGGGAGCTTTAAAAGGCATTTAAGATAGTGAAAAGCCGCAAATTGTTTGTACTATATTACCTCAAGTTCGTCAATCGCAACAGCATTTGTCTCCATTTCTTTGACGCAATTGCGCAAACCCTGACCCTCCTGAAAATGATAAAAAGTACTTGTTTAGATTCAGCCGTATATAATTGAGCCTATACCAATTACGGATACCAATTACGGGCGCCTTAAGAAGGTTTATGAGATTCTACTAAAATAAAACTTTATCTGCTCATAACATTAATGATGAAAGTTCAAAATTTTTAGCAGGTGGACACAATTTTTTTCTTATTTTAAGCCATTGGCTTTAAAAATACAGTATAAAAATTTTCACGAAATCAGAAAGTTGCAGTGGTAAATTCTGATCACAGTAAAGCCATCGTCGTTTTAACAAAGGACAAAATTAACTAGTTATGCTGCAAAACATTTGATGAAAGACAGTCGGCATTTCTAGTTGATACTGTCATAATGATCCCTAAAATACTTTGAAAGTTGATATTTAAATCATATTTTCAGGGAAGCCGATAAAAATCCTTACAACACACTTTCACGTAAAATTAAGCTCTAAAACTAACTGTTGTTTCTTTATCTTTCTTGGCAAACTTGAGTCGATTTTCCAGTCCATCAATTTGCGACTTCATAGCTGACAAATCCGCCTCTTTCCTCCTCTCTCTCTGCAATTCTTTGATGTCTGCAACATACTTGTCTCTTCGTCGTTTCAACGAGTCCACGTGTTTTTGATCCCAGCGTTTTGCCTTTGCACGGATGTCGCTGAAAACACGGTTCAAAGATTCAACCAATTGTAATGTAAAAAGTTGTCAAAAAACCAAGTCATTGTTTAGAAATATAAGAATGGAAATAATTATAGGAATAGACAATATTAATATATATGTATCACCGAAATATGTATCATACCTATCGCCGAAAAATAAAAAGTTTACACTGTCAACATGGCGAAAAATTGTTTGATTTTATAAACATGCCACTAATTGTTGGTGACGGGGCTACGGAATAGCAGTATTTGAGTGGTCTTTGAGTGGTTTTTTATACATAGTTGTCTTTGAGTATGGCAGGGAAATAATAGTCTGTTGCAAGCAAAAAACAGAGTTTCAACAGTGCAATTCAAGCAACTTGGAGTGACATAGTAAAATCAATACCTAAGTCCTCCAGACATGACTCCTGATCGTTCAAACATTGTTCCATCTAAAGAAACTGTTTTTCTCCTCTCTGATCCGCTAAAGGCAAACTTTCTTGCCTCTTCCATGTTGTCACAAACTATAGCGTTGCCACATGCGTACTGCAAGGCTTTCTAAAACAAACAGAAATCGAAGATATTGGCGTCTTACTTCATCCTTCTCAAGGACAATATAAAAGTAGCAGATTATTCAGAACTACTAAATTTCCTTTATATTTTGTTGCAAAAAAATATTCGATTCTTCTTTGGTTAAATAAATAATTCAATATTTGAAGAAGAGAAAAACGTTAGGAAATTAGCGTTTGCGTATGTGGCTTTGTTCGATAGCTTAACTTTTTTTGTAGCTGGAGGTTTTCGTACACAACGCATTGACCATCGCTAAAAGCCGTTGCTGGAATAATTATACAAAAATTAGCCATTCTATTAACATAATAACACATTTTCGATATGTAATAAAACAACGAACAACTTAATAGCATCTGTTGACTTAAACAGCATCCAAACCTTGATAGTTGGCGGCTTAAAGTGGATGACATCAATGACAAGCTTTGCAGTTCCACCGAGCTGTCTAAGCTGCTCGTTGATTGGTCTTGTCTGGATTGAATCCAAAGGCAGAAAGGTGATTGGTTCCCCTCGCTGCTCTTTGTTATATTGAATGCAATCTCTTGCAGTTTGCTCTGTGTCTGTGACAACTGCATCCATATTTTTGCCAAGGACTTTTGTGATGGCAATGGCGTATCTATCGGTAAACAAACACGATTTTTGGTAGAACATAGACGAAAATAGAGACAGAAAGGTGATCAAGCAGTTCATAAGGAAGAGGTGAAACTAAGAAGCTTACAACAAAGGGCATCTAAATGACATCAATTTTATCGTAAATTCGTAATAAAACGTCTGCCAAGGCATTTTTTAAGTCATTTTTTACTTTTTTTTAACTGATAGTGGAAAAAACTGAAAAATCACGATCCACAAGACTTTGTCATAAAACTCCCCTTTTTGTCTCTTTTCTAATCAAATAAAACAAAGAACAACTGAGAGACGTAACAAAAAGTCGTTACCTTTTATGAACTGGTTCACAAAGATCAACTAGCCTCCCATGGACTCCAGGAAACAACTTGGTCATGCTTTCTAAAATTTCAGCTTTTCTAACTTGTCTCGCACTGGCATGTTTATCGGTTTTGGCTTCGTTTAATTCATTTTGCACAGTTGAAAGTAGGTCTTCCATTTCTCTACATTGCGTCTGTGCAGTTCTGAAGAAATGATGTAGTTGATCATTTTGGTATTTGTTTGACCTCGAGATATTTGTCGAAATGAAGTCAAATCTTGCCAACGATTCAAACAAAGTATTTGGTGGGGGGGGGGGGGGGGAGTTAGAGAATTTGGAGGGAAAAAGGAGGTCAAGCGGAAGGAGGGAAGTTGGGTTCGGGAGGAGGGAAGTCGGGTAGAGAGGTCAGGCGGAAGATAAGAAACCAGGCAGAAGGAGGGCAATAAAAAAGGTTTTGCATGATTAAGAAACATTCGGATACAGCAGTCAGGCTCTATCAATATAAACTTATGTCAGTTCTGAATCTGGGTCTTTATGGGCTCGGGATAGTGAATTCTGAAGGACATTTTCTTCTCACTAGCAATGACTTATATCTTATAAACGTTCTGGTACCTGACTCTCCTCTCTATGTCTTCATAATCCCCTCTGTGCTTGTTTACACTGTCAACATTGGTCCTGAAAAAAGTAGATTAGCAATGGTTATAGGAGGCAAACAATTTAAGCTATAAAAACAATGGGACCTAAAAAGTAGAGTGCCACCATTAAAGGCGATAACACTATTCTGAAGCTCATTAACTATTTCTTCATACATTCAATGATACTGACGGTTTTCAAATAGTGACTCTCCCGTTGTTTCCAGGAAAAAAACCAATACGTCATTGGTTCAATTTATGCTTCTTTGGGACCAGTCATCTCCACATTTTCGGAGGAAGAGGTCCCCTTCCCTCCAAACCCAAAATTATTTGTGGCTCGGGTTACGGACGTAAATGTGCATAACATCAGCCTGGTTTGATTGACATATTAGACTTACTTGATATAGTCATCTAGCTGAGTGAGTCTTTCCCGCAAGCTTCGTTTCTTGTCCTCAAGATGCTTTTGACGGGCGAGCAGTTCGTTTTTGCGGTAATTACATTGTTCCAATGCTTCTTGGTCAGATTTTTGATCCCTGTTGACCTGCAAAGGTTGTTTGGTTACTTGGTTTGCAAAAGTAATAAAAATCGAATGCACCAATGTGGCTTGAAGGCAACAAACTAAATTATTAACAAAAACTGCTTGCTTCACTACCTTGTCAAGTTGCATTTGAAGTGCTGTGCCTTGCTTCCCAGCTTCTTCCTTAAGTTTCAAATATTCTTCCATCTACAACAAAAAGTTAATGTATCAGGTAAATATGAAATTAATAGAAGATGAATGATTGAGCTAACAGTTATCATAAAGAGAAGGATGACGACAATCTATGTAGCAGGTGAATAGCCTAAGATGAAACCCTACAAATGCAAAATCTTAATCATGCCAAAACCATGGAACATCAATCTAATAAAAAAAACCCCAAAACCAACTTTTAAGAAAAGCCAATATTCTTGCCCTATTAATATAAACAGTTATATAAACTAAAGAATTGGTAAAACTAACTATTAATATAGCCTTCCCGTGGTATAAGCGAACTATAAAAAGAATAGATGTGTAATTCATATAATCCTTGGTATAGAAAACCTCCCAAATCAAGTTATAACGGCTAGAAATACAACATTTATCTTAAAGTGGAACTTATTTTCATAAGGCAAAGTAACCGGACCTGTGTTCCCATGAGCTCCAAGCTTTGACCCTCGCTTTCTTCTGAAAAATCAGCCTCAAATTGCTCCGCCATCTTTTTCACTTCTTCCAACTCACGATTTACATCTTCAATCTACAAAGAGATTAAAGTACTTAAAACAGATAGCATTTTTCTGACTACTAAATAATGAAAATTCTGTACCAAGTAACTTTGAGAAAACACATAGAAGCACAATCATGTTGAAGGACAAAAATAAAACCTGTTCAGCATGCTTGAGCTTTAGCCTCGCTAGAAAGGCCTGTATTACAAATATTTTTAAACATTTCAAGCCAGAACCACTAGTGGATTTTCTGGCTCAAACAGCAATATCTCATATCACATTTTGACACTGTTTTTCAATCGATAGCAACAAGAGCCTATTTGACAATCAAGTAGAAGGTCGACAGTCAATTGTTTACTTCTGCAAAGAAACAGCGAAATTGTAACGCTTCACATTACTTTAAAAGTGATCCTAGCTCAATATATGTAAACTTAGTCACACAGCGATCCATAACAACTTAAGACATGGAGGCACTAAAAGATAATGACCTCTTTCTGCTGCCTTCTTTGCTGCTCCTTCGTCTTCGCCAAACTCTTCCTGAAGAAGAAGTTCATAACACATAGGCACAAAAGTCATTCTTCTTAATAAGCCTCACAAGTCAGAAACATGCATTAGCAAAATGTGAAATGTGAACTTTGACTTGATGAGGCTCGAATATCATTAAGGATGAAAATTCAGTTTTTGCCACGTAGAAGGACAAAAACGTTCCTACAGTAGACTTTTGGTTACATTCAATTAATTGTTGTCTTAAACAAAGCATTGAAACTGGTCAAATTTATATAAAAATTTCACAGACAGAAGTGATGAGGCCTATTAAAACTACAGAACAAAATGTGCTTAAAACTTGATTATTGTTCTGTCTGATCTAATAACTAGATGAACACTGCCTCTTAAGCACAGTCAAATATTTAGGACGAAGATGACAACTGGCTTGAAGTTGAAGATAGATAGAGAGACTCCTTCAATGGCTGATATCTTGGCAAAAATTAAATGATCATGTACTAGCACAGTTAAAAAACTTTTGAAGAAAGCAACAGTTACCTTGTTTCTTCAAGCTTTGTAACAGCATGATCTCTCTTCTCTTTGGCTTTGATATACATGGGTCGTTTTCTGTTAAGTTCACTTTCCTTCATGGCAAAATAATTAAATAGGATTAAGTTATAAATTGGATTAAGTTAAATAGGATTTTGTCAACTGCTCCTGCTGAAGATGTTCAGTGTTATAAAGCTATCTGATACTTGACCTATAGGCTAATAATGTTGGGTGTTAGTTAAGACATATATTTAAAATATTTTGCATTTGATTTGCTACAAAGCATTTCTAAAACAGAAGTTTCTAGCAGGTAGTAGTGTGATATTTCCATCTTAGATGTCCCAATGAAACATTTTACATCTGATAACATTATAAAATGAGTTGAAAAAAAGGAAGATGCATAAAATGTGGAAAACCTATTGCTATAGTATCCAAAAAGAAAGCAAAGTTCTTTTGAAAATAAAAAATCCTGCAGATATAAGATACTTCATACTTTATCATTCATTTTCTTTTCAACAAGTGCCTGTTCCCTTGACAACTTGGCAGATTCGGCTTTCTTACTTTTAAAATGTTCTTCAATCGTCTTTTTCCTCGAGAGCTAAAATAAATTCTACACTTTACAGAAGATACATTCTACAGAAGATTCATAAAAGATTTAGACAAAACTTGAAAGCATAACTTTTATTTTCAAATGATTACTTGAAATAAAAAATTTTGACTAAGAATAGCAATAGTATATTATGAATGTTTCAACTTACAATTCTTTCCAGTTCCTTGTTTTCACCTTTGACTTCTTGAAATATATTGTTTATTTCAATTTCTGCATGATAGAGCTTGAAAAGCTGAGCTTCCAATTTTGCATCACTCTGAAACAAAAGATGGCTATCTTAAATACATAGACAGAATGTCTTTAAAAAATATTGGTTGAATTTATTTTGAATTAAGAGGTATGCCTAACATCAAAATAAATGATGAAAACACAATACTTACAAGATCCTGCTTCAGTTTTTGGTATTTCTCTGCTTCCTCTTTTTCTGCCTTGGCTTCCTTTTTCTCAGCAGTGACACCCTAGAAAACAATAAAAAAATCATATTATAACCAATTCTTGTAAAATCATAACACAAAGTAGATAATTAGTTATAATTGCATAAAAATGAATAAAGGCTGGCAGGATGGTGGGCTATAATGTTTGGGATAGAAAGAGAGAGAAAGTAAATCTTAATTATGTACAATCTCATATCATGCCCAAGGAGTTCAAACACATTACCTTGGTTTATTTTGGAAAGTTTGCACCAACATGATTTGAAGATTACAAACTTACATCCAGATGCTTCTATTCTGTTGCTGCTATGAACGCCTCTACTAAACTTGGAATAATATATTCATTCCTAGTGGCTATAATTGCAACACACTGTCAAGACTTCTCTAATCATAATCATAAATGATTCCAAAAGTGACACATCGCCAAGCAAAGGGAATTAACAAGTGTTAGAAACATCTTTAAGAATACACTAAAGTCTAGATTGAGAATTCAAGCTTTAACTTATAAACATTTGAAACTTGCTTACATATTTACAGCCTCTATGAAGATATACTAGCTACATATCACTTCAGAATATGGAATATTAACAAAATTTGTGAACTTGCCTTCTTTTTGTTAAGTGAAAAGTTTGTTTCTTCTTCTGTTTTAGTCATGGTTGACTTCTTAGCTTCATACTCTGTAGCAAGTTCACCAGAACTGCAAAAAGAAAAAACAAAGTAAAACTATATAAATATCAAACTAAACCCAAATTCAATTTCAAATATCAGACTTGGCTACAGCAACTTGGTAGTGAAGATGAGCTGCTACTTTTTGCAACAATTAAGAACGATAAATTTGTAGGTTAAACTGTAAAAAATAACTCCTAGAAACTTGATAAATTCACTGAAAATGAGAAGATTTAACAATGTTACATTAACCCTCACATTAAAAAATATGTCAATGATTAAACTCAATGTCAAAATGCTTAAGATATACCTGCTGATCTTCTCAAACATTCCAGTTCTTTCTTTTGGAGTTTTCATGGCAATTGATTCAATGGCTCCCTGAAGCAAAGTGAAATTCATTACTGTTACTATTTAGTTACAAAGTATATATCAGGGCTTTCACAATCAGAAATCAACGCATGCTGCCAAAAACACGTGTGAAAAGAGTGGGGCGCTTTATTTACAATGTTGGCATTAAAATGGTATGAAATAGCTATACATGTATAAGATGAAATATTTACAAGCATAGCTTATAAAAGCCAATTATCTATAAAAACCAGCAATGAGAACGGCTCAAGAATAACAGAAACTGAATGAACGGAAAACAGGACATAGGAAAATGGAGTAGTGGAAACAAGGATTCCATGTTGAACTTCCGTTTCTAAAAAGAGTTTCTCAAGTGGATTGACCTATCAGCATCCAGTAACCGCGATCTTCATAAGAAATATTTATTACTGAGCGCGCAATCAATCACTCTCAAAGATAACAGCAGGCGCGTCTCTGCACACTTATGTACTTTTGCACGTTCCCATTGAAAGCCCTGATATATTCATACAGTTGAACTTGAACAAAATGCAATGAACTCAAATGCTATGAAATAAAGGGATCACAAACATTGAGTCTTGATTAAGTTTCCGCTCATTGAAGGAATTCTGTTGCCAATTATAACTTATCTACCCAATCCAGTTTTAACAACAAGTTTGCATTTTATCACTTAAATTCAAGCTTGATTCTACCAGATCTACTATTTGCCTTAGAAGCAAAAATTATCTTTATGTTGCAATTTTTTTGAAGAAAATAAAAAATGCAGGTGATTTTGATAGTTTGAGCATGAAGTCATTAATTTCTGAAACTTTTTTGAGATATGGTTTATTAAAGCTAAAACCTTGACAAATCTGTAGCTTACCTGAAACACTAGAAAATTTTTTGCCTTTATTAAAATTCCAATACTTTCTAATTTTTCTTGATACTCCTTAGGGGTAACAGTATTTCCATTTATTCTATATTCAGTGCCACTACCAAGTATTCTGCAAAACAAAAATTATCTAAATTAAATTGGAAACAAAAAATTGGAAAAAAGTTGAAAAACAAATGAGTGGAGAAAACAAACAGAAAAGGGAAAAAACAGTTTCCTAATTCAGTATCCCCCAGAATACATATGCTTTAATTTGCTTTAATTCTTTTTATCATACTTAAAATAAAACTCACAAGAGGTCCATAAATGATAATATTCTTTGCAACATTGAAGGTAAATCATATTTTTTAACCTTAGTTATCAGAACTCCCAAGGGACTGAGGCAATTGGTTCAAATAAATGGGGTTACCAGTAAGTTTAAAACAACAGGAAAATCCTACTTATATAACTGCTATCCAAAAGATTTTATCACATTTATAAGCAGTTTAAACATTGTTGAAATAGTCATGAAGTAATTTTGCTTTTTGTCAGAACACTTCAAAAGCTTAGCTATGAAAACAGTTTCATTATTGAAAACACAATCTTCTTGGAGGGTCCAGCTAAGTAGAGAAGGTTTCTTCTTATCTGCTCTAATTCTAATTGTTGCCAAAACGTTTGATGACTTTATTTTTCTTGTGTTCTTTAGTTCAATGTATTTGTTGTAATCTAAAGGTTTAATTCAAGCTGATTTTAATCCTTTTGTAGCAAAAAACTTGGAGGTCATGACCCCCTGCCCCCCAATCCCTGTGGTGCTGGCTCTGCTGCTAATACCAGCTTTGCTTAAAACTACGTATCACAAAACCATTTAAACTTGCCTGAACATCAGAGATTTTGTGTGGAGACAGCAAACATATTTTTTGAGAAACTGAAATACAGTTAACTGGTTTTGAAAATCATTTGGGGAGCCCATATCTTGGTTTTTTTCCTTCAGTTTGGATAAAGAATCTGGTTAACAAAAGAGTAAAGCAAAGAGTAGCTCACTTTCTATGGAATATTATTTCCTTTTCTTGGCCATCATCTTGTTCTTCCATATAATGGGCAGTAACATATGCAGTTGAGGCAACAGGGCGTTTGATTGGAGCACCATGGATAAGTTCCTGCATTGAAATTTTGCAACAAGTTTTTGATTTTGCAACAAGCAACAAATATGTATTTGAGAATAACTGCTTTACTGGTCTGTCATTAATAATGTTGGAACAAAGGATGGATTTTCTGCATAATTATTGTGACTTCAGCTTTTGCTATGCATGAAAATGAAGAATTTGTTACATCTAACAGAATATTCAACAATATCTTACAAATGCCTCATGAAAATATCTGACCACGTAACAGGGCCTTAAGAACAACTTGCATGTAGGGGCTTTCTCAGTAAGTTAATGTAACAGTTGAGAAAACATGTATAATTTTGGATAGGCATAATTGTGAACAGTTAAACGTTTTCAAGATGAGAGCAGTGAGTATGATCACAACAAGCTACTGGGTGGTATGCAAAAGAGAATGCTTTGATATGTGACTTCAGGTTACAGTAAACGTATTTTGGATGAAAACATCCATATTTTTTATTATTTTTTTCAACATTCAGTAGCCTAATTTCCAAGGCACACAATGATACCAAATTTGAAACAAACAAAAATGTTGAAAATGGAAAAAATCCTATGTAAACAAAGGTTTCTGTAATTTTTTTATCAGAACTTTTAGTTGAGGATTGGAAATCTCTTGACCTGTTAAGCCTATTATCGTTGCTTTGCGGTTGTAGTTGCATGTCTCATTTACAATGTTGCATTGCACATCCATGTATTCAATGCAAGGCCCTCTTTACTTAAACAGGCAACATTGATTGCAAGTAAGTGCAAGTTTTCCAGCTTGGGTATTAATGAGATTGATGCTCCTAAGTTAACAGTCAATTACCTTGACACTTTTCACTCTTAGATTTGATGTCTTTTCCCCCAAAACAAAGCTGATTGCATCCATAAGATTGGATTTTCCTTAAAAAGATAATTGGCTTGAAATTTATAAAGTTCCTATTCCATGTCCATTTTTAACGATGAGCTATGGGCAAAAGTAATAGCCATGCACAAGGAATACAATGATCAAATGTATTATTTCAAATGCCATCCAATTAGTAAATATTTATCATCATAATATTCTTTATACATATCCTAATAATGCAGTCAAATATTAATGATAACATTGCGTCAAATAGCTTGAATGTTTCAATCTAACATTAAAAATCATAGTTGTTTTTGTTAGAAAGCGTAAGCGATTCTTTGGGAAAAACAGGAACTGTAAGAATTTTTTTGGAAAGGAAGCGATCACGTTTTGTTACAGAAATAATAACAGAAAATAAATGCAGTAAATTCGTTTTGCGACAAAAATAATAAATACCATTGTTAGCATCTGATCAATAACGCCAGTTCAACTTATTTTCCTTCAACTACCTATAAGAACATCTTAACTTTAGTTATCCATCTTCAAATATGGCCTAAAGTTCAAACAACACAACTATTACAAATCATACATACCGCATCCATTTGGACCGATCACAGCTGTAAACTTCTTGAAGGGTATAATTTTCTTCCCCTTGTAGGACTTGAAGTCTTTGACTTCCAACTGTTTCAAATAACCCGGCATTTTAAAGTCCACAGTCAACTACAACTTGTTTTTGCAGCTCACATTCGGAAAACATTTGGCGGGAAGAAGCTTTGCGAAGGAATTGTGGGTAATTGCACAGAATAGAGATTACAATAATAAGTATAATCATCATAACTAGACATTGAAACGACTCGAAGAAAATAGTACTATTTGAAACTTTTATATTAGGTATTGAGCTGCGCGTTTTGAATATCATGGGCGGTCTGAATATCATGTTACATGGGCGGTCGCAAGTGTTAGTGGGGGTGTGTTCAGTGGCGTCATGGCCGGGGGGCAGGGGGAGGGGCGGTGGACCCCTCTGCTCCTAAAAGTTGAAGGATTTTCGCAAAATTTTTTGACTTGTCGTAAAATTCTCAAACTTGAGCTGTTGGTAATTCTCAAAAGTTTAGCAACATAAATTACTTTTTTTAATGCGAAAATATGCAACACGGACAGGAGTTGCTGCATCGTCTTGTAGATTCGTCTATCGAATAATCTATTTTTTGCATGCACTTGAATGTTGAGTATGAAACACGAAAGGGTGCAGGGATTGCAACGTACAGAAAATGACAAGAACTAGCCAGACTGCACACTATGGACGAGTATGGTTATGATGATTATGATTAAAGTGCATAACTATAATGCAATATTCTATACAGTTTACAATTTAAAACATATTATGTAAGATCATAAGCTAATTCAAGTAAATGAGCAATGAAAATGGTGTGATTAAGAGTAATAACTGCGCGAAACTTCGGGTCAAAAGTGGTTTTTGAAAGGAAAGCAAAATTGATACACCTGGCATAAGGGAAAAATGGGACAGGACCGGTTTTTTGGAATGCAAAATAAGAGAGAAAAGTTTTGAAAGCATTTGATTGATGTGGTTTTCGAAATGATAAACATAAGCGTTTGATGAAAATTTTGTATGTAAGCACATATTACGTCTGAAATACAGACAGCAAACTAATTTAGCAGATGATTACCAAAAATTCAAAGCAATCTTCATCTTATGATTTAGCTCGATTTAGCTTTGATATTATGATTAAGATATGAAACTCTACATTATTTATAGAATTAATTTGAAAAAAGCATCCACAAGTTGACCTGTGGAGTAGGGTGGCAACTCCCCTTTTTCAATGCAGCAGAAGATATAAGTGAAGTTATTTGTAGGGTTAGGGGGGGGGGGGTAATGGAAGCATCTTTAGAAATCAAACAACTTCCTCCCTCTAAATTTCTTTTCAGCTAGAAAACTTTCAAATTTTATGTTTTCCATCAAAATCTTATTATCAAACGCCAGACATGCAAGATTGCACTCCCTCTCTGTTCGCAAAGAATTTCGTTGAGTGGAATCTACCCTTGTTAATGTAGAAATCAAGCACTCCTTACAGTCCTTATGTGTTGAAGTAAAGCCAGAAGTTAAAGTAAATACGTCGCCCCTGTTAGTTTGAATCCCCCCTTTCCCTCCAAAACAATGTTGTATTTCAGTTCTATCATTTTTGTTTAAAAATCATACACTCAACATACTGATTGATTCTTAAATACTTGAAGCTTTGAGCGTTTATGACACACTGACGGAGAGTGCTCGGTACTGACAAAATCATCAAAGTGCTTTGGAAAAAAGGCGCTTTCTTTGCTGAACGTTGCTGACTTCGGTGAATTTTGATTGCTTTCCCGAAAATCAGCAACTATTTTCACGCATTGAACCTCGTTCAAGTTTACACATCGTTCCTTAAGGTCTTCTCTCACTGCTTGAACTTTAGACAGTGCTGTGACAACATTTTGTCTGGAAGATTGAAGTCAATTTCAAAATTATGTTTATTGGCTTTAAAATTTCCACCAGCAGGTAATTTATAAAAATTAACATCCCCTCGTCCACACCCTCTTCTAGCTGATGCAGCAATCCTTCGGCCAAGCCACTGTCTTTGCCATTTAGACCCCATTGTCTTGTTTTTAAGATAATTTTCAGCGCTTGATTTTGCAATATCCTATATTATCTGTAGGCTCAAGGAGTTCGTGTTTTTTAACATAACAGAAAATAACATTCCTACTTTGACAACTCCTGATTTAAGCAGTGCGTGTCTATATGCTACAATATTGTCTCCAAAATCGTTCTTCGCATAATTTGTGATTTGAAATGCCCTGACCAACGTGTTCCAGGCAGACGTTCCAGCAACTTTTCTGTGGAGCGCCCAAGTAGTGCCAAGTTTTTGCTTAGCAGCGAACAGGTTTTTTGAGCGCAAAACACTATCTTGAGTCCTAAATGGGTAATAAGAGACCCCAATAACCAATTTTCTTTCCACCAGTATTAGCTTCACTCAAATCCCATTGGTGGCAAACAGCTAGCTCAAAGTTGCTCCAGGGGTGGCATTGCCCTTGGCCCCCATCTGCTACCATAGAAAAAAATCCAAGAAAAGTGCTGAACTCTTTTGCGCAGAATTGCTAAAATCCAAATCAGACAGAATAATTATTATTTAACATCAAATTGCAAATAGTGTAGCGCCTATATGTTATATAGGTTTGCTATTCTATTAGTTGTACCAAGATTGCTGCTAAGAAATTGATATATTCAATAGCGTAGTCAGGTTGATGTAGCCTGTGTCCCAGACCCCTAACTTGAAAGTAGAGGAGGACTGGAGCACAGGCTAGGTTGATGAAATTTAGGGGTCCCTTTGAAACACAAGAAAACGCCCTTTTTCAAAGAGACTTTGTGCCATTGCCTTCCTCACTACGCTACAGCAAACATTATGATGAAATGTTTATTTGACCACGTCTTGAATTTTAGACCACATCCATCGTGTTCTTTCTAGTGATCGTTTTAAATATCCTATATTATCTGTAGGCTCAAGGAGTTCGTGTTTTTTATCATAACAGAAAATAACATTCCTACTTTGACAACTCCTTATTTAAGCAGTGCCTATCTATATACTACAATATTGTCCCTTAAATTGTTATTCGCATAATTTGTGATTTTGAAATGGCTGTGGCGGGAAAGGACTGTCTCGTTGTGAAAACGAGAAGTAATGTCTTCGTAAACAAGAATAAGAACATGGCTGAAAAAACATCAATTGATGCCAGATAAGTATTCGTAAGTTGCTAGTTTTATCGACCTTTAAATATTCTAGGAATAAAAACTGTCTGTAGAGTTTTCCTGCTGTCCTTTGTGAACCCAAGAATAATAATTTTGATAATTCCGAGACCAAGAAGATGCCCCAAATTAAGGGACAAAACTTTCTTCTCAAGTGTTCTAGTGAACGTTCTCTTGCTAATAAGACACCCAGCGAAACATGATACCTACTCAGATTCGCCCTACATTCTTGAAGTACAAGTGCTCATATCCCTACTTTCACCATCATTAATGCATGCTACGTCACAAGACCTCCAAACACTTTCAGTGCTGCCAGAACAGAATTCAGTTTTACGCTGGGGATAGCAATGGGGAGGCAATTTCAAATAGTTTATTTCTTTATAAAAGTAACTGAATGATTAATTGTTGTTTGTAAGGGCTGTATCATCAAACTGCACAAGAATTATAATCAGGGATGTCATGTTCAAAAGTTTGGTGAAGGCTGCCATATGGTTGGTAGCAAAAAAGATGCAAAGAAGACATTCTAGAGATGGCAAGAAAATGCATATAAATATTTACAACATACTCTAGACCAAGAAAGATCCTGGGCAACATTCATATCTCCCATATCTTAATTAGGTTAATAGGACAGTCTGGATTAAACTTAGGTAAAAGTAGAAATACACTTACGTTCAAAAAGTATTGGGACGAATTCTATAAACGAATTATGGCATTCCGTTGGATTCGGTTTTGCAACGGAAACTTTTTCAGGTTTGGGCAGTCTATCTACAAATAATCTAGGCCTACGTTTCCCCAAAATGGAATAAAAAGTTAAGAAAATGCTTCAACTTATGAAGCATAGCCAAGAAAACACAGGATTCTTTCGATTTTCCTGATTATAACAGCAAAATATGCAGAAGGGCTGAATGGCCTAACAATGGCAGAGTCACATGACCTTCCAAAAACTTTAGAGCTGTCCAAACAAATAAAACTCTTAAATTTCACGTTTGCATAGCAAAAAAAATTATAAAAGAAATTATAAAATCAAACTTTTAAGCTTCAAAAAAGTTTACTTCATCGACGAAAATGCTACAATTTTATTAAATTATTGCATTTATTCAAGCTACTTTTAAAATTGCGTAACATTCAAGGAGAAGCCATTTGTAATCATCGTCAATGATTAACTTTTGCTTTGAGAGAGCATTTTCTTCATATAACGTTGGAAAATTTGTATTTTTCATGACTTTTATAGCCATGGTTTTGTTTATGTTCCATTATTTAGCTTCTTTTTACATGACAATATGATGTCTGGTAAGGATTCAAACCTATTACTTCGCAGTTCCCTCAGAAATGACCTTTCGTCCCTCTGCGACGTAAACTTCTTCGGTCTGCCAACCTTGGTAAATTTTCTACTGTTCTTGTAGGGAAAAACTTTTACACACATAAAAGCTGCACTCAATGAGCAGCGGACAATAGATGCATATCGCGAAATCCATTTGCTTTATTTTAGTAGAAAGCAATTTGTAAGCGCTTCTCTTAACTCAGTTCTTGAATTTCAAGAGCCTCCAGGTTTTCGTCTCAAGGCCTATAGAAATTTTATGGTCAACGTTTTTTTAATTGTTTGGCGTACATAAAATGCATCGAAACATCAATAATGTCTTGTGAAAGTTTCATAGAAATAGCTGCTATATTTATTTAATGGGAAAGATTTTAAAAAAGTCTTTCCAAGTTTGTTGCATAAAATGTCTTCGAAATTTTGAAGTGTGTCCCAATACTTTTTTAACGTAAGTGTAGAAATTGAACAGCAACAAAAACAGCCAGCATCTGTACAAGATGCTGCAAATATTAGTTTTTAAATGAGCAACTACCGACTGTTGCAAAAGCTACACCTTTCTCTCCCTTGCATTTCTCTTAATTGCAGTGAATGAAACACCTTGCATCCTTCCAATAATTCTATGAAATGGCACCTCTAACAGTAAATAGTTCAAAATTACCCAAAAACTGAAAATAATTGGTATGCATAGGCCCCTGGCCCCCATACCAGCATGCTGCTGTCATGCAATCTTCTAATAGATTTTTGTGAAATTTTTTATCTATGGTTTTTGCAACTATTTTACTTTATTACAATTATTACTATCATATTGTTGTAAAACAAATTTTTTAATAAATAAATTTTTTTAGTGCAACACATTATGTTTTTGCCAGGGTATTCTATCTTTTGCTAGTTCACAAACTTCTTTCCATTCGATTTTATATATATCCTTTTATATTCTTCATTCTTGTATGCTAAGGCTAGCTTTGCAGGGGTTTGTTCTGGTAAACAAAGTGCATGTCCTAACCATCTAAGCTAATATTTTTTTATATTCTTGCTCCATGGAGTTTTATTGGTTTGTTGGTTGACATCATCATTTTTCATTATTTTTGGATTGATTATGTTAAAGATGTATGTTCTTAATCACAACTATGTTGTAGGTAAATTGAAGATGATCATCCCATGAAGGTAATTGCAAGATGTCTTCTCAGGCAAGTTCATCATCAAAGGAAGTGATAACAAGCAAGCTAGTACGATTATCAGATTGCAGCCTACATAATAAAACATTGCTTGGTGGAGAGCTTTTAAAATGGATGGACATTGTGGCCTGTTTAGCTGGTATGACAATATATCAGAGTAATTTAGTAGTCACAATGCAAATAGAATTTCAGTCAAAGCTTTTGATATTTTTAAACTTGTCTTATTGAAAATACTACAATACGAATTTAGGCAGCTTATTTGTGGCCCTTGAGGCTCTTACTTGGCTCACTAAATGAGAAGAAAAGTAAAAGAAGGACATGTAAAAAAACACTTTTGACTATGTCCCACTACAATTTAAGGTTGGAAAACTCATATGTATAAGAATGGTAAATATGAGTTAAAAAATTACTTTCAGTGGACCTCTGCATCAGTCACAACTCAAGGTTTTGTTGTAAAACAGTTTTTGATAGTGGTTGAAAAACCTGTATTCTACATTGTGTGTAAAATAGATTGAAAGGCCATCCCAATTTTTTGCTCTTGTGTAGTGCTGTTTAAGCTAAAGTGTTATTCATTTTACATTTTTGGGAATAAATGTTTATCGATAATTTAAAGCTCATCTCTTTCAGCTGAGAAACATGCCGAAGTTCCTTGTGTAACTGCATCTGTGGATGACCTTCATATTGAGCACAGTGTCAGGTGACTATCCGTATTCATTAGAAAGCTATATATTCTGAAGGAAAATAAGTCTTAAATGCCCAATTTGCTTTTAATAACATACAAGCATGGAAACAGCGGTGCGGGTTAAAGTTGAAATTGATAGTTGAAATTGTTCACCACACCACTGGAAGAAAGAATTTTCATAAATTGGTATTTTAAAAGAAACACCATAATTCTATGATATAAAAAGTGATACAATGTTGATTTTATAGATACATGAGGTTAACAGTAAAATTTCAGTTATTTACACTTGCTTGAAGAAGTATTCCTGCTGGAAAAATTAGCGCCTCTATTTTGTTTTGGGTGGCATTTATTCAGCAGGGTTACTTATTTGGTCATTAACTGTATGCATAGAATTTGCTTTAGCATTACTTTAGACAACCAGTTCCTGAAACATCTCTATGCTGTATATTTATGCAACATAGTTTTTTTATACAATTGCTCAGAAAATCATGGTGTTTACTTTCGAATTTACATACAGATGTGGAATGGTTGTCAATTTGAAAGCTCGTGTAAACAGAGCATTTAATACCAGTATGGAGGTTGGTCTTCAACTACTCTATATTCCTCTACATATTTCTATATTTTTGATATCCTTTTGAGAATTTATTGATTGAAATCCTATGCATGAGCCTAATTCATTTTTTGTTTTTCATACCACAAATCGTTCTATTTGTCTTGAAATATTTCCATAAATCCAACTCAATGACATTAATATATGATCTTTTATAGCTCTTATAACGATTTTTGTTTCAGATTGAAGTACATACTAAGAGTGAAGATTTATCTACTGGAGATTCAGTTAGAGTCTGCAGGGTAAATGTTTGTTGTAAAATTAAAAATACTCCAAAATCAACGCAAAAATAGATGAAGCTCTAAACAGGACGACTACCAGCAGCGATGAACTCCTTTGTAAAATTTGTACTTTTTGCAAGCTCCTTGAACTTGCTTTGCGTTTTGAGCGGTTTGAATGATATCACCAGCTAGGGCGACAGGTTTTTTGCGAATGTTTTTGGTTTATGTTCCTTAAAAATTTCTTGACTGTAATTTTTCTTTAACTTCTTTTAACTTCTTTGCTGAATACTCAGCGCCATCTGCCTAGGGGACCAGATAACCTTTCATCTAGGATCGTTAATCAATCTGATAGCAACACAATCAATTTATTTAATGAAAGTATTCCTCCACGATGTAGTTATGACCTAATATTAAGTTCTGCTTTTTGAAGATACTATTTGTGCATATGTGAGTTTTTGATATCATGCAGAGTTCATTATATCTACAGGCATTCTTCACATTTGTCACCCAGCCTGACAGCAATGGAAAGCGAGTAAGGAAAAATTTTGGCAGTCTGTTTATATTTTGCGATTTTACCGTTGAAACATCTGATGTGTCTCAATTTGAATGAGCATTGTGTAGATGTTTGTGCTGTGCTTGGTTACATTCACAATTCAAATGATTTATTGTACTAAGTTTTTTATAAGCAGAAGGGATGAAGTCATAGGATTACAAAAATCATGATATTTAGTTTTACTTAGTTTGCCTGTTTATATATTATGTCATTTATTGGTCAGGGCTTGTAGTAAGGGGATAATCAAAATTGAAGCGAAGACATTTGGCTTTTAGCGGGCTGAAATGTGCACTTAATTGGAAAAAATCATTGAAAAACTTTCCTTTGTTTTACTGTTAGGGTAGACGTTTACTTTTTCTGTTCTTAGTGCAAAAAAAGATTTGATTATTATCAGCCAGCTAACTCACTTTCTAAGTCTTACTTTGCGAAAATTTTCTCGGTATCGCTATTAAGACAATTTTAGGGAAGACCTCGTAGCTAATTGTGCAGTACAGTCACTAAATGAAGCCTAAATACCTAAATAGCGACCTTCTGACACTGCAGGCAACTATCAAACCAGTTGACCCTCAAACTGAGGAAGAGCGATTGCAGTATCTGTTGGCCAGTGAACGAAAGAAAATGAGGTATTGTTTTGCCTTAGTGGTATCTTATCGTATGTCTTTAAAAGGGGAATATGCAGAGGTCCATTGTATTTTGCGGCAATACTTAATACTAATAAAAACATGAAAACATATACTTTGGGTCGTTCATATTCTGATATTGGATTGATGTATACAAATTTTGTTATTTACTGTTTCATTACTTGGATCCTATTTGAAATGAAATATCATTTTGAGTCGTTAGGGACCATTTCCTAGACAGTTAAAAATTTATTTTGAATTTATGCAATTTAGGGAGGGGAGATGATTATAACATTCGGGCACTTTTAATTGAACTTGCAGAAGACACATAGACCTTAAATTACATTAATCCCTAAAAATTCCGAACAGTAAAATTCTCTGATAAATCAACTGTCTGAGAATTGTATCGTCCGAATATTTCATTGGCAATATCCTATAAAGAAACTTTGAGAACAGGCTTTATATAGAGACCAAATTTTCTTCCCAAGATTAAAGTCCGAAATCAAACAGGGGATTAATGTAGTCTACACGCTCGCCATCTTAAAACTATGCAAATTAGATGTGAAATATAAAATTTGCCTTGTCAACATCGATTTTTGTATTGGTTTTTAAGTTCAGTAGTTTTTAAAGAATGAGTAAGGAGCAATGGTAATAGAGTTGTATAAATGGAGTGTCAAACTGATAAACTGAGATGGCCAAACTGCAGTAAGAAACCAAAATACCTAATAAATATTAAGTAAAATTTAATAAGGTAGATTTTTTTTGTACAGTGATTGATGTGATGATTTTATGGTAAAGAATTATCAACAATTTATCTAAAGTTATCTCACAGACCACACATAATTCGTTTTAAAGGCTCACTTCTGTTTTCATACAGGCTTGATTACAAAAACACACTTCAAGAAATGAAGCGAAACAATTTCGATGAATTGTGTAAGTAAAATGTTATCAAAAGTTCTTTCCTTCCTTGCACAGCGACAGGATCTCTGATTGGTCAAGTGCCCCTTAGAACATTGGTAGCATGTTGCTATCTTTACTGTATTGAAAGTCCACGAAAATGTTCTGTCTCGACGAAAATCTGAAAAGTTGTCCGGAATATTCTTCGACAAAGTTTATCCGTCGAAAAGCATCTGACGAAATTTTTTGTTGTTAATGTAGAATATAGATCTGTTTTTCCTTTTGCTGTTCAGTAGACAAAGAGACTATCCTACATACTTTTTGACTGTAAACGACAACGTCGATTATTAGGCTCGCTTGTTTTTTGTAGAGAATAGCAGACTTGAGTTCTGTAGTAACTGTATTTTACTTAAAAATCAGCATCAAGACTTAAAATGGAATGTTTTTTATCACGTCATCAATAAGAAATTTTTGTAAAATCTCACGCATGACGTGTATGATGTGAAAATGGAATGACATGCTCCTTAGTTTGGCACATTGCATGAATTTTCAACTTGTCCAATGATCTCGCCATTTGGGCGTAACTATAGGCATCTGTTATTGTCCGAGCAACTTTTAAATGACATGAACATGTATCACTTAAGATGGAGTGCTGCAACTTTTGAATGAAGTAATAAACACTGGTGGTACCTTAATTCCGGTCAACTACCTTATCCCTATACGACTTGCCCGATACGTTTTCTGCGTAGCTGGAAAGTGCAAATGCTAGCCACAAAGAAAAACTAAAAGCTGCTGATTCATCATTGCTCTTTTTAGAGTTTTGTAATTGTCATCTTAGTTAACATTTCTGTTTCCTAGCACATGCTGTAAATGAAAAAGGTTGAATAAATAGATAGCCTCTCTTTATTCATATTTTTGTATGATAATGAAATTCACATAGATCAAATCATCTTCAAAAGAAAGCATTTGGCTGCAATTCGTTGTTTTAATCGTTTCACATGTGATCAATAATTTAAACCCACTGTTGCTTTCTTGTTGCGACGCACTGTTGTGTTTGACGAGAATATCCTTTCAAGAAACTTAGTTGTGACTATGCATTATGGCGAAACATTTGTCATAGACTCCTTTACATTGAAGTTAACATAGAAATGGGATTATTGCTGTGTCTGTCATTGTAGCACCGTGTCATCATATGCATATTCCCAGTACTCTTGATGTTAGTTGCAGTTGAGTTATCCAAAACAGGTTTTTCTTCTGTTTCTACAAAGATGCTTTGTTTCCTTCAGAAGCTCTGTTGATTTTTGATAAAAAAAGAGGCTTGTAAACATTCTAGATCTACAAGTGCAACTTGTTAGTCTTAAGACATGACTTGGTAGGTCGTAGTGTGAAATAAATCTATATTTAGAGCTTGGTACCTGATCATGTCAACATCTCACCTTTGGAGGTATTTTTAAACCTAGCAAATTGGAGAATACACCGATGAAGGTTTCCCTTCTGCTCTTATTGCAAAATCATTTTCTTTAGCTCTTTCTGAATACAAAACTAGCGTATAACTTTGCTTGCTGTTTAAAAAGTCTTCGATGTCGTAAAGAACAAGACTGTTTAGTGCATTCTAAACGACTTAAAACCATTCATCCTATACACTAAATACAAATGCAACTTTATGTTTATCTCAAATCACTCCCCAAGCAGTGATTTTATTATTTTTGTTTGTGCGCTGTTAAAACAACATTAGAGCAACACGCCTGTTTCTGTATAATTAACTGAGTGAGTACAGACAGTTTAGGGTAGCAATAGCAGTGTGATGCGATTATTTGATGCCAGATGCAAATATTCCACGGCCTATCAGCTGTAAATAAGTTTCATATCCAAGTTTCAACTGTGCTTTTTCGCTGTTGTAATTGTGAGATTGTTCTGCTTCTAAATCATCCTCAAATCATCAATAGAGCAAGGTCAGCATGACCCGTCTTATTTCTTTTAGACTTTCTCGCATCACAAGGAAACAAGGATTCTGTTGTTTCACCCTCCTCCACAGTCTGCGAAAGTGTTGAAATTGTTCTTCCTCAACATGCAAATCACCACCAAACTACTTTTGGAGGTCAGGTAAGAAGCTTCTTGTCTAATGAATGGTGAGCAGAACTCTCTAAAGATTTGCTTTCAGTGATCTCAGAAACTAATTCTGAAATTAAAGGATTGTTTGAAATAGCAACCACTGTCCTCTTTTATTATTTTGTCAATAGAAAAGCGAGAAGTTTAAGTTCATTACTGCTTTGCTGAAATTTTTTATTGGACGGTGGTGTAAAGGTTTAAATCAAAGCAACTGCATGCCAGGCTTGAGTTGTCCAGGTTTAAGTTCTATGTCGCCCCTAGGAGAGAGGGGAATGAAATCCAAGCTTCAAAGGGTTATGACCCATGAAAATTTCATTTGTTTTACGATGTTATTCTTGAAATAACATTTTATCAAATGGCAACTAAAATAGCAAGTTTGCAGCTGTGGTATCCTTAGACCCTTGGGGGGGGGGGGGGTCACCTCTACAGCAAAACGTGCACCTGTTCAAATGGAAAGCAATTACACTACGTCAGATTTCGCTTAGAAAAACATTTTTGTGCATGGCAAAGAATATATCAATGTACTAATATGGTTTAGGCTCTGATTTGATTATTTTACAATACGCAATAAAAGGAGGCGCATCGTGCATAAGCCGCCCAAGGGCTCGTCGTTGCTCCCGGATTGGCCTGAAAGGGATGGATTGAAATTATCATTGTGTTGAAGTTATCATTGTGTGAGACTGATTAAAGGTTGCCAAAGAAAAAGTTAGCAAATGGACAAAAATGCTTTTCTTTCCGGGAAGCTAAACTGTGGAATAGCCTTCCTGCTGAGTCCAAGACGGCATCCTCCCTGGGTGGTTACAAAATCAATACAGGGTAGACTAGTTCCTTCTATATTGTATAATACCATGTAATTGTAAATAGGTTTTTAATATTATGGTTTTTTATTTTCTAGTATTTTACTTGTATATTGTAATTAGCTTTTATTGGAGGGCCCCTTGAAAAACAACTCCCGTTGAAGGGCAACCCTCCTTAAACAAATCAAATATTAAAATATATGAAATATGCGAATCTTTGAGGTAGTTAATGCTTTGAAATGAATAGTTCCTTGATTAAGGCCCCGTTTACACGACATCAGGACCAGATCGGATCCACAAGTATCCGGATACTTTTGGATCCGATCCCTAAAATGACAATGCGTTTAGACGGGATCCGATCCAGAACCATTTGCATTTACACGGGAACGGGCCCAGATGAAGTCAACAGGTTACGCGCATGCGCTTTTCGAAAAGTGGCGCTCATATGACGTTTGCAGAACTTCGTGCGTGATCAAAACATAGTTCAACCTGAACATGGAGAAAGGTAGCGCTAAAAAGGGTCAGTTTTCATGGACTGAAGAAGAAACTGCGCTACTTTTAAAAGTAGTATTGGACTACAAACTGCAAAGCTTGCAGGTGGACAGGATTGGGAAAATATGAGGACAAAGTACGACGACATATCGTCAAAATTTCAAAATAATTCTTCAACACAGTAGTCTGTCAACTTGATTTTCGGTTTTCTGGCGCCAAAAAGCTACGGACTACATATTCAAAATACCTTAAATTGAAAAATCTGTCTCACTTTCGACAAATAAAGTAGACGGATCCGATCTGGACCAGATCCATCTGTTTGCACGGGATCCGGTCCAGATCGGATCCATGCGGGATCACCTCTAAAAGCGATCCCAAAAGTGTTCGGATAGCGGATCGAAAAGTATACGGATCCACCAGTTCCCGTGTTAACGCAAGGCCTATCCGTAACCGATTCGGATCGGATCCACTCTCGTGTAAACGGGGTCCAAATCTTCTTATTGGTGCTAGAAATGTCTCTAGTTGATTCATTAATCTCCCTCCCTTGATCAGCTAAACCCAAAAGGGAATCCAAGCTCAAAACAAAATTGTCGCTTCTTTCCCTTAATGATTCCAGAGACCTGTGTTCCCATTTGAATCATAACAATCTCCCTTAAGTAAACATTCCAACGTTAGATTAAGGTGGTGAAAAAGATTTTTCTAATCAGCTCAGTCGCTAGACACATTTGTGAACATTGAGCACTTCATTATTGTATCTCTTTCCTTTTTATTTTATAACAACTAGCTGATGGCATGGATGGAAGCAAATGCAACGATTTCGGCAAGGTACGCTTACCCATGCGAATTTTGCATAAGACTCACAAATTGTATCCACACTTTTGTACATGAATTGTACACGGGGATGTATTGGCAAAGACGTAAGGGTTGTCTGACAACACTCTTTGCATATTTTTGACACGAAGCGTAATTTTGCTTATATTCTACTTAAATGAAAAGCTTGACTGCTGATACCTTCTCGATGCTTAACCATAACAAGCAGAAGTAATGAAAATATAACACAAGTCGTTATCTTATATCCTTACCAGTTTCCATCATTTTAATCAAATTCATTGGTCCTTTAAATAGAGTTAAATAGAATTGACCCTCTGTAAATTCAAGTACCTGGGCGTTTTAATCTTTAAACCTGTTCTTCTTAATCTCAATCTATTAAGGTACTCAATCTTTAATCTTTAAAGGTATCTGTGTTCTGCCCCAAGCGAGCATCTTCTCATCATACGCTCCCTTGGTAATTCTGTTTTTGATAAGCTCCCTACAATATTTTTCATTTGCAAACCCTTCAAACTTACTGATTTTGTGTCGCGCCGCTTACGGTATCGATGCTTGTCTTACTGTGATTCTAGTAGATTAAGCATGAAAAAATATATTCCTTATTTCTCTTTTATGATGTTTTTATAAAAAATGTGTAACATATTATGTAGCTTGCTATTGGCACCTGTTTTGTTGGTGTTGCATGTTTTTGCTAAACACAACGATGTTTGTTAAGAAAGTGGCTTGGAAGGGAAATAGCTAGGCAGGCTTCTGTCCTGCCTGCTCGAACCTGTTATGCTTCTATAGCACATACATAGCATAACAGTTGAAGATATGCTACCAATTTCAGTAGGTCAAAAGTGCTCAAATAAACAAACGTAGCTGCGAGCTTCGATTTCATTATCGCACTTGCTGAGATAATTTACTCAGGATTTTGATGTAGGTCTTTTTACAGTTTCCTATTTTAAAAGAAATTGCACCATTGACCTCCAAGAAAAACCCAATTCTTCTTCGATAATATTTACTGGAATTTTTACACTTCCACCTGCAATGCCAATCTAATTTGAATATATCGCTGTCAAATTGCCTGAATCTTCTCAGAGACGTTTACCAATTGTTTCATGTCTCGGCTTCACTGCACATCATTGGCTTAATGAGTATTTAAACCTTGCATTTCATTCGTAAGACGAAATCCAGCGTGGCTTTTACTCTCTAACAAACTTTTTTGCTGCGAAAAGTTTACGACCTCCTTTTGTTGAAATGGGTTTTGAATTTTAAGATAATGACGATTCTTTGTTTGTTTCCATGTTTTTGAAGAGATTTTTGTTCTTCTTCAAACTAAATGCTTTTTATCAAAGCTTTGTAAAGAACAATTTTTTGTTCATGTTTAGCTTAATCTAGCTATTTTTATTGTTGCTTTTGACTTAAAAACCTGTTGCAGCGACCCCTTATTACATCTCTTAGTTTACTGTTATGATTCAATGCTTGTCACTTGAGAAATTTTAAGCATGGCTCGCACTCAAATGTGTGTCTAGCAGAAAATTTTTAGTAGATCTTAACAAGAAATCAGGCCATTACCCTTTCCTTCTGCGCCCAAGTTACCCTTAACGCTACCTTTAGCCTTTGCCAAGCGCTTACACGTTACAACATTTGATCAAATAATTATGTGTTTTAGGCGACTTTGCCACATTCAACCTCTTCTTGTTGCCGTTGACGAAGTTTTCTTCAGAGCACCGTCGAAAGTTGGTGACCGGGTTGTTATAACTTCAATAGTAAATAATACCTTCTCTAAGAGGTAGTTAACTGTTTTTTTCTAGTACTTTTTTTCTTCGTTTTTCTGTTTACAGAGTCAATGAAACAATGTATTCAGTTAATTAGTTTTAGTTTAAAGAGAAGAATTTAAATGGCAGAAACAGTGAACACATCACGCATGAACCATGGCGAGAATTCAACACAGCATTGACATGAAAAGTCACATGTGAAGGATCACAAATTATCATCTAGTTAGTTAAACAACTGGTTTTTATGGAAAGTTTAGTTTGCCATCCTGTTCGTTCACGCTTTTTGTATTTTTGTAACTGCTTCTTAATTATGAAATTTGTGACATTTTCCAAACATTCTAGAAAATTGCTCATAAATATAGCAGAGGTTAGGGCGCAGTAAAGTTTTGTAAAGCTATTTTGTCATGGTCTGTATGGTGAGAGGTGGTTGCTACAAGTTTGTGTGAAAATGGAATAGAGTATTGATATTTCAATGATCTTATAACCTGTCTTCTTTCCTTTAACTGAAATCAACAAACTTGATCTAACCCCTTTCTTCTTAGCCTGTCCTTCCCTTTCCCGTGTAAGGGCTTTGCTATGCGCCCCAGGCCTCTCCCTTGCATTACCAAGTTGAAAGACCGAGGCAATGGTACATGGTACGCTCAGGGCCGTCGCGTGATGGATATGGCACCCCCTCCCTCGTGAAAAATTCCGTTCCGGACGTTCCGGAGTACGGACGAGGATTTTTCTGTCATCTAAAGGTGCTTAGTCGGCAAATTTTCAAACTTGTCGGCTAAAAAAAGATGGCTCACCCATTTTGTCGGCAAATGGGACGTGGAAATCTACCTTTGAGCAAATGTAGATGGAATTCAATTTCATGGCAAACGTATCTTCTCCTTAGCTGTATTCGTCAGCAAATGTTGAAATTGCAAATGACTATAAACAAATGTGAATAAAACTGCTTTTTTTCCAGCTTGGAAGTCGGTGTGCGTGTGGATGCTTATGCTGTTGGTGGGGCAACTCGTCATATTGAAAGTGCCTACTTTACGTTTATTGCTCCTGATGAAAAGGGAAACCCGTCCACCCTGCCGTCCCTTAGGCCAGCGAACGAGGTAAGTGTTTCAGATCATTTTCATAACTATCGTATTTTGCACTATTTTAAAACAAGGAAAGGTGTACTCTCGTTTGAAGGTGCCAGCATCGGTTTGAAATTAAAGGGCTTGAATTCGCCCTTTCCCCGTAGAGAAATGCATGGTTCGGTATTCATTATTTACTGATAACACCTGATGTTTTCTTGCGAATCGACTTTGGTAGCCTGAAAAAAAAATTTTGTCCCTTCCAAATCTGCTGTTAGCACATCCGATTATTGAACAGAGCATTGCCATTGTGATTTATTCAACTGTGGCCTAGCTGTTTCTTCTAGGCTTCAAACTTCTGATCTGAAAGGCTATTAGAAGACTGTACTTAAATGTTTTTAAAAAACTTTTGTCAATATAGGAAGGCAAAGTAAAAAAGTAGGCAATATACAAATGCAAACAACTGTTTCAAAATCCGTATGACATAAATATCGCGTCACTATGTGTACCTCAATGAGGTAAACCGAGGTTGTGATCCATCATGGCGGCAATGAATTTGTCACGTGACAGATAGGAATGTACGGTATGATGTTGCGTATGTTACTTGCTGTATATAGTCACATGATAAAGAATATCAGCTTTAGCCAACCTAGCGGCCAAACAATTCATGCATTGAACATAATTCCTTTCTACCAATCTGTTGGGAAGCGTTTAGGAATAAGCTTGCATATCCAGTTTTATTTCATAATGGCCCCTGCCTCTCTATGAAGATGTCTACCGGTATTTGATTACTGCTTTGTAAAATTGTATAAGAAAATTGCTGTAATATAAGATAGCTTTATTAACAAGTTAAACAACAAGCTTCTGATCAAGGCCTCAAATTCCACAGAAATTTGATATTAAAATTTATACTACAAAGGGTTCAGTATCATTTGTTTTTTTATTATTTAGCCTTTTTCTGCTGTCTTAAGAAAAGTCTGGCCGAAATTTTTTTCCACTTTCCTCTACTGATTCTTCGGGTAACTTTTCGCCAATTCTTACTCTCTATGCTGTAATATCCGCCACTTCTAATGTTCATATCATAAACCCTAAGAATTGCCTACAGTCCGATAAATTGTTTATTTTCTTGATGTCTACAAGAGTGACTTTTCCTCAAAAGAACAAAACCCAGGTTTTCAGAGTTTCAATTAATTTGCCTACATCTTGGCTTGTTGACAAGGTGTAGAGCAATTTTAGAGTTTTGGGTATATACACTGCTAGATATAAAATAATATATTTTGACCAAGTTAAATGTTTCTTGAATGATTTTTATTCACCTTGCCAAATCCCTAGTTCAGGTCAAGGTTTGTTAGAATCATTGCAAAAAGCAGCCAGATCACGTGGTTCGCACATTTTTGGGGATTGAAATATGCCACGTTTTCTGATTTTTTGAAGTTGCATCGATATTCATTTGTGAGTTGGTAACCTGGTTTATCGCATCCCCTAACCGTAACAGGCACTTTAATCGGAAAGTTTGTTTTTTTTAATTTAATGAATGGTTGAAAATTTTGAATGTTTCAAGACTGCCTTACCAGTTTATGGTTTTTTTATTTTGAAAATGTTATCATTGTTACTTAAAATTAAAGGGCAACTGTTTCTAACAGAGTCAGTAGTAATAAATGTTAGAAAAAATTATTTCTTTGAATGTATTGAATATACTGTTCTTTTTTCTCGATGCCGAATAGGCAGAGTAGTGGAGTAACGCAGTTTAGAGAGCCTAAGTTCAATAACCAAGGGGCCCCAAGATATCCATTGTTTTAAGACTACTTTCAAGTTCACCTTCCTTTTCAAAAGTTCTTTAACTGAAGCATAGTCAATAGCTAACAACTCAGCTTTGTCCTACTTAATCACAAACATTATCATTTATACATCTTGTTGTTGTGTTTGACATGCTGTAAACCTTGGGTGGGATCCTTTTACAATCCGTAAGCAAGGGCCCATCACAGTTTTCGCAAGGGAACCGTTCAAATCTACTCACCAAGGCGTAGTTTATAATCACGTTAAATTCCTCTGTCATACTCGGGGCAATGGCTTTGGAAATGATTTTCATTCGAAAATTCGATTTCAACATCTTATAGATTTTTTGTATTTGAATTTTCATAGCTTGCAATTTCCTTGCTACGCTTTCCCACCATAAGAGTGAAGCATTCAATGCGCTTAGTAAATTGAAGAGTATCAAGATATCAAATATGGTGCTGTTTGAAAACTGAATATTGCGAAGCTCGGAAATTGGTTAACAGCCATCCGACCATATATAAGCCAGTTGGTCAGACATCATGGTCAACATCAGTGCTTCGTCTGGGTCAAGTTTTTGTTTGCAGGGGTTTCTCCCAAAGAAGAGCACATTTAGCTCGATCCCCTTTGAATCTTTTGATGCGACCGTTCGCGGATCATGTTGGCGTCTTGCAAAGTCTGACGCAGCGGAAGGTATTACACGCCGAGTTCATACTAATTGCCTTGTTTGTCTCTAAATTCATGATCTTGTTTGTCGCTCTTAATTCTATCATCAATTTTGTCAAATCTTTTTAGTAATTAAGCGCCATTTCTTGGGTATTAGCATTGTCTTGGGGCAGGTAACATGCTAAAGAAGCAAGGAATTATACCTAATGGTATTCTATTCAGTTTGCCCGCTTAGATCGGATGAGTATAAAACTAGACAATAAGATAAGCGTTAAGTCTTTTTTAGAAGCGTTTGGTCACAAAAACAGAACTACTCACATTATCTACACACATTCCGTTTTAGGAGGATAAATTATCTTTTATTAAACGCTTCAGTTAAAAAGAGTTTCTTGCTGTATTTTCAGCAGCAAAAACTAGATAGATATCAGGGAGCCTAAAAATATCTTGCTCGTCATTGTCTTATCCCAGCTCTCTTCTTTGTCTACTATAACTACACTGGAAAATTTGAATTTCTTTTTGAGAACATCTTAATCAGTTTTCTTTTTTCACAACGCAAAACTGCAAACATTCGTTTTAATTATCTCAAAAAATTTAGGAAATGAACCCTCCAGCAGTGTAGCCAAGACCAACCTGTTAGTTGCTTCCTTAGTGACGCTGTCATTCTTTGCTTCTTGCTCGAATGCAATACAGTGCTAATAAGAAAATATTTTCTTTTTGAGAAGATAGAAATTGCAATTTTACGAGCTAATGCTGGATAGCTAAACAGCTCCTTTTGCAGCTTCTTACATTGACAGAAAACATTTTTTTAACACAAAACACGCTTATATGAAGTATCACGAATTATAACTACGTAACATATACATTGGCAAATTGAAAACATTCAAAAGTGACTTGATCACCGAAAAACAGATTAACCATGATATCCAGAGCGTTAATGAATAAAAATGTGATGTATTCTTTGCAGGGCTTATGTTTTTACTATGTTACTTACGTCATTCCGCAACACACCTGTCCGGTTGCAGCCAAATGCTTTTCTTCTTGATAAATCTGATTTGTTTTTGTTTTTAATGTTATTTTGTTTTGATTTTTCTTGGACGTAATATATGCTTGGCTCCACATAGCAACTTTCCCTTCTCTGGTCTTAGATTCAAGATATCTAAGTTCTTGAAAAACCCTATCCAGCTAGTAAAGTGGTCTAGCATCTGGTATTCGAAGAAAACAAAATAACAGATCCTCTTAGACAAGTTAAAATACGATAGAAGTTAGTAACTCTGTCACAACCATGACCAATATTTGTGCAAAAAATAATGAGCAAAATGTGCAAAAAGTGTGTCTCAATTTGGTGAAAAACTACAGCATATCGATTGAACGATTATTAGATGACAAATGAAAGTATTGGCGTGATTCCTTAAGTGGGTGTAGTGAAATACCCTGAGCCCGGCGTTATCCAAGGATGTCTGTGTATTTTCCATATATTTTGATCGATTTTAAAATGAATTATTTTCATAAATACTTTCTTAAAACAGCTTGAAAAAAACAAACATTTAAAGACACACTCAAGCTTTCTGTCTTACAGTCTCCAGAGTGTGAAACTTTCTGCAGCGGTAAGAAAGAAACCGTATTCACAATTCCACATTTTGTTTTTTTATAAAAAAGTGTGTTCCAGTAAAGCGTTCTTGGTCATTTCACTTCTAGTAAGGGGGGGGGGGGGGGGGGGGATTCTGTACTCTATATATTCTGTAATCATCTATCCATAATTCTTATTCAAAACAACGCCATCTTCCTACTCAGGTTGATGACCTCATCATTAAGGTCACTTCATGTAAATTATTTATATTTAATTTGTCTTAATTAGAGATCCCCAGTTAACTCAGACCCCGTTTACACTAGAGTGTTTTATCCGGATAAATTTTCATCCGGATAAAAATTTATGCGGATAGGCTCTCCGTCTACACGAGCGAATTTTATCCGTGTAGATATTTATCCGCTTTGCCGTACAAATATTTATCCTGCTACGAAAGCGAATAAATTTTTGTCCGGATAGAAAATTATCCGGCAAAGGGGAGTGTAAACAGTTTTATCCGGATAAATTTTTATACGCATATACAGTGAGGTTATTCTGTTTCATATTGAGACCATTTAAATATGATAAAGAAACGGCGCAGGAGAAAAAATTGGCGCACTTTTGTTAATATTCCATGTCATTTTCGCTGTTTCCTGAACTATCATGGATGAAAGTTCACTTCAAAACATCACACTATCTCTGTGTGCATCTTGAAGCTCTGTAGCTGCTGCAGCAAGGCTAAACGCTCTGCTAGCTGTTCTATCTGAGAGATCCTATAGAGTTAGCCAACGCAACTTGGAATCAATAGTTGACGATAGCAATTCACGGCTACAAAGAATAAGTCGTATCGTATTCTCAAAGCTTCAAGAAGAAATCGACGACCTCGCTGGTTCTGGGAAAGACCTTGGAGCAGCAAAGCAGTTTCCTAATCTGTCCATGTGAAGTTCTTATCAGCCTTCTTGCTACTTCCTGTCGATGTATTCTCCGATTTCTTTGGTATTGTCGACTTTATGACAGAAATATGAACGTGTTC